GGGGGGGGGGGGGGAGTTAATACATACAAATCTTTGAACTGTACCTGGGTAAGCTGTTAGGTCGACCCCATTTTTCAATGCAGAATTTTCTGGGCCCAGTAGAACCTCGTAGTGCGGCGAAGCCCTCATAAGGAATGCTCGAAGTTCCTGTAACGAACTGAAGTAATCTCAGTCGTTGTTCGTTTGTAAATCTTCCTATACTGGACCAGAACCATTCGACTACGGGATGTGCATCATGGTAACCACTGCGATATTCGGTGTGTGCACGCCAATCATTCAAATCTATCTCGGCAGCACCTGCGATGACCAATTCTAATTCTCTAGCATCAAAAACTGCGACCAATCTATGAAAGAGTAGAAAACATCCATTAGATCCTATGAGTACAACTAACAGTGTAATTCAAAATATCGTGAAGCTGTGATTTATATAAATGCTTTTGTAATTCAATACCTCGGATCAACAACTTCGTAAAAACCACGGACAAGGGATTCAGTTTGTTCTGCAACACCGCGCTCCAATCTCCAACGAACTACACGTTCCAAATATTCCTTTTTATTTTTTTCAGTCACAGCAATATTACGACCACCTGGTTTTAGTTCCCTCTCAGCAACTCGACCCAGCAATTCCTCAGTCACCGAAAATGTCAACTCCAATGGTTCCGCACCAATGTCTCGTTCCTGTGAAATTTAATTTTACATCCTTCATAGAAACTGAATAAAGACACTTAAGGTAGTCAGAGCCGAAGTAATTTTCAAGATAGATAACTAGATACAAATAAATAATTTATTAACCTTAATCCAAACGAGGCTCTGATGAAATTCCTGATCCAAACTTTCAAGATCGCTGAGACTTGCAGGAATACGAAGTAGGGCTTTATAAAAGGGTCTTGTGAAAAAGACATCCAAGAGATACTGGTGTACAAGAGCGAGGCCCAGAACACGACCGGAGAACCGAAACCAATCGTGGTAGTTATCAACAAATGCTGACATCGGGGAGACTTGGACGGTATAAGTGTCATTTGCTGAGTATTCAAAGAGACCATAATAAGGATTGAAGAGCTCTCGGGAGAGGTGGAAAAAAAATTCTCTCGAGGGTCCTCCATAATCTAGGCCTTCCTCGTGATCAAATATTACGACGAGCTTTCCTTTTTGTAGATCCTTTTTCGAAGCAGCCATTATACGTGTAAAGGCATCTTCCAAAAGATGTTCTCTCCTAATGTGTAACCTATTTTGAAATAATCTAATTATTCAGTAACTCTCTTAAATATAATTTCATTCTAATAATTTAATACAGAGTCAAGATACTTGAATGGTACTGTACTTTAATTTTCCAGGTCCCTGGCCATAACCTTTGCTTTCAAGTTTTCTATAAAACGTCCTGAGCTTCGCTTCAAAATCTCTTCTATATGGAGCTGGTGCACGCGCTGATGCTCTTGTTAATCCTGGTGAAGCATGTGGGCTATTTATTGGAGACCTTCCGATATTACCAGGAACATACGACATAATCTCCTGTTCAAACAGACTGAAACAAATTTTTCATTGTAAAACTTCGTTCACGTACATAATTAAAATGAAGCCGACATTTTCGAAGTTTGAATACCTTAGAGTAATAACTGAACAATTGAAAATTCAAATAGTCCTTACAGATTCAAATTGGAACTCGAGGCTACCCGTATATTCACTTGTTCATTTGTTATTTTAGAGTAAACAATCAGTTACCTGAGTAAAAGGGCTAAAGGTACGTCATGACCAAGTCGCTGCAGAGCAGTTGTGCCTTCAACACGGATGGTGTTAACTTTTTCACGAAGGGCAATATTTTGTCCAAGAGCAGCATGACGTTCTTTTAGAATATCTATAATGTTTGGTTGACGTAGAAAGGCTACGACCTTATCATTATAGGCCACCGGTATGTCCGGGGATGTGGTAACTGAAGATTGCTGAGGTCGTGGTGGTGGTACAGGCGCCTCGTCAAGCGCTGTACGTGGATGAGCGGATTCCGTTGGCAGTCTTGGATCAATGAAAGACGTCGCCTTTCTTGAATGACTTATGAAAAATCTCTGCAAATAGGCATTTCCCAAATCCATATCATATACATGCCATATACAACCAAGATCATAGTATTAAAAGGTAAATGATATCCTAATAATACAAATCTGCTTTAACTTACTTTTCCAGTACGATCCAGCTTCGATTCGTATCCTCTGGGAAGATCCTTAGTAGGATCAGCGAAAAAATTAATGAGAGCAACAAGATCTCTATTATGCTCATAACGCGGAAACACCGTTGGGTCTCTACGAACTCGGCTAATCATGTGTTTGAGACTAGGATTACGATTATATAGCTTCATGGCGTCCGAATTCGTATGAAGTACGGTAAAGAAATCTGGCCTGGTGAGAAAGAGGACAGGTGGTGTTACAGTAATGTCAAAGGGTTCACTTTCAGTACGTTCCGATCGATTTCTCCCAGGAGCATCCGACTGACTTGACAATGCAGCTTCACGATCAATATTGTCTGGTCTAGAGATTGTTCTTCTAACACTCTGGTACCGACGGTCCAGCTGCTGCCGACGAAAGTCGCACCCTGAGTTTCTTGTTGCAACCCCAGGTTTCTGCCAGGTTGTAGTTCGATTAACGTGATCAATGTAGAAGACCCGACCATGGCTATCGATTCTTGCTTCCCAAGCTGTAAGAAAACGATTTATAGTAGTCATTTTTTAAGGAGAAATAAATAATATGCATGGCATAGTTTTATAGATGTTAAACTTACATGGCGGTAACGGTTCTTCTGAAGATACAGAAGTGTTTGATCTTCGACAAATAGGCAGTGGCCCTAATGGCTTCGGTCTATGTGTTGGGGTAGGTGGACATTCAGTTTGATTTTGATTTTGTGCTTGGCTAGGATTTTGATTTGGGACTGGTTCTGGTCTTGTTAATGGACGATGTGGACGTGGCGAACTCAACAAAGCTATACTCTTCGTCACAGCTGTTCGAGACTGAAAATATATCAGACAGTCCTGTGCTTAGCTTGCGTTTAATTATTACACAATTTTTGTGACGACGGTCATTCATTATTGCTAATATTGATAAATTCTTAAGATTAGTGTTCATTACCTTTAAACTTGATGTCTCGTCCACGTCAACGATTTCAAACCCAAAACAATCCTCTGGATGAAATGGTGTTGGATTACGATGTGGATGTCTACGTTGTGGCAGTTCTGGTGCCACTGTAGGCAGAGCATTACTCCGATGAAGAGGTTTATGTGCTGCCCTTGGAGGTAATGGTGGCGGCGGGTTTGGATAAAGAGTTTCATACAAGGACTCTGGTGCCGTTATGCCAGCTCTACTTCGCCATAAATGATAATATTGTACGTCGTCTTTATTTACTACGCCATTGGTGTTGTATGGTTTCTGAAATAAATCATCAATTGCAAATGTAATTAAAGAATAACTAGATATTATAGGAATATGATAAATGCAATTAAAACAATATTTAGAGTGGTCTAATGGGAAATGATTTCATAGATTCATACCTTTTTGGTCCCACTGTGTGTTGCAGCAGCTTGTTGAGATTCAGTATCTGAATTACTAGCATCGCTACTGTTTGAAGACCTACGTTCCACTTCAAGACCTCTAGCTTCATCCATTTCAACTCTGTTCGTTGATTCAGATAACACTTCAGCATTTTCCTCTAATTTTGCTCTTTGTGCTTCAGCGACTTCAAGTAAATTTGCCAAACTTGGTAAACGAAAAGGTTTTTTTGGCTGACAGGGAGAATCTAGCGAACCCTTATTCAAATGTTCAGAAAGGTTGTCAGTGTCTACAGTGATTTCCGTTCCTGGTGGTAAAGACACTGCACCATCCATAGAATTTATACAAGATTCAATATCATTGTCTGAGTCTTCAGATCGATTAAAATTTGTCTGTCGAAAGAAATCTTGATAAGTCAATTCCTCCTCAGATTGACTATTCTTGAAAAATGGTTTCTCTCTTACAAGCTTTTTTCGTGTTATTGATGTACCAAATTGACTAGATTCTAAAGCATCCGAAGCATTGCCTTGCTGCTCTAAAGGACGGACATATTCCAAAAAGTCTTCAACAGGGAGTCCATTTTGTGATGACGACGAAGGAACAGGTTCTAAAATGGAAACAGGAAGATTGCCCGAATTGGAAACAGGTAGCAAGTCTGGAAGAGGCATGGAGAGTGGTTCAGAGGCAGAACCATGAACAAGATCTGAAGCAAAAGCTTCACGATCAGGCTCGTCAGGTTGTCCATTTTCATTTATAACAGAATCTTCATTCTGTACTTCTTCAGGCCTGCCAGACTCTCCTTCTGGCACCATTTCAGCCAAGTCTGTATCCAAAGGCATCTCAAGACATTACATAAGATTCTATATAAAAAACAAAGATTACATTTTAATACAGAATGTACAAAATATTCATTTTGAAAAATAAATATTATTTACCAGAGATAGAAAATATTGAATTTGAGAAGTTATCAATAATCCGTATTTTTATAAATTTTCAAAGTGACACCAGCATTTTATGGCAACATACAGCAATAAACATATCACTAGTTCAAAACTAAATAAATAAAATCCATAAATAAAGAGGAAATAGATTCATCACAAAAACCTTGAAACTCAAATCTGTATAAAAAAAATAAAAAAGAACTAGTCAAGTCAGGAAATGTTTAAGCAAATCAAAAAGTCTTTAATATTCAATGATTTCATCAAATCCACGTCATACAAGCTAAAATCTAGTTGGGCAGGAAGAACTTGATGATACTACTAGGCAATCGTACCGGAAAATACGTGTATGCCGAAGAATTTAAAGGTTAACTCCTATGTGTGGTAGAAGATTGACGATTAATCATCAATCGACGTTATTCATAACGATTTTCTTTCAACTCAATTATAAACAAGCAGCCATCTGCCTTAAAAGATTAATTATTGGAGCATATTTGTCATTTTATTATTTATTCTCTCACCTGGCATCTGAGGGTGATACACTTTCTCGGCATCATTTCTCAGACACAATCGATAATAACTCGTAGTAGAGTAGTATAATTAACTTGCATCATGTTAATTAAAGCCAAAGGGCACACGATAGAGACCAAAAAAGATGAATAGAGACACCACAGTTTTGACAGCGGAGAGTAGCAGCAGAGATAAGTATATATATATATCTGGTAGCAGACCAAATTTAGGGATTTTGATATATTACTAGCACTAGACATTTTGGTTCAAAGGTAGTCCCGGCAATATTTGAAACTAAATAGTGATGAATAGTACCCTTTTATATATTACTGTTATACTATATAATTTAACTTATAACAAATTCATTATATAAACTTAATCAAATACAATACATTATACAATATTTTTTGTTGTTGAACCCTTTTCACTCCAGAGTTCTCCATTTTCCATATATTTTGGTTCTCAGAGGAGAAAGTTGAATACAAAGAGTTAATCAAAACAATCAGAGGTAATAGAAAAAGTTTGTATAAATTTTATTTTTATATTTTACATAGCATACATAGAAAAATATAAACTTTCTCATTGGCACAGTGTCAATCCTCCGAAATGTCAGTAATCTTCCCGCTTATTTTATCTTGAATAACACCAATCAACTGGCTGCTAATATTCGCAGTTTTGTTAATTGTCTTCATGTTATCATTAAACTCCTCGGCAACGTTTTGGATATTCTGAAGATTCTGGAAAGTAATATATAACAGCTTCTGAAGTGGCAAATAGGCTTAATGAAATGAATCGTGAAATACGACCTAACCATGAACATACCATTTTCAGCTCATGATACAATAACGCGATTTTCTCCTCCGAAAATTCTATACGAGGTTCGTAGAAAGATGGATTTGATGATGATGACATTGAATTATTCGCCATAATGTTATCAATTGAATATCTTTTAGGAATTAACTTTTCACTTTAAAAAAAGTATAAGCCGATTCAAACAGCTCAAAATGTTGAAGGACGCCTTATTTCGAACGATATCACTATTTTATACTTTATTCACCAGTAGATGGTAAAGAAGAATATCAGACATTTTAATACTCCGTTTTAAACGAAAGATGGTATTATTGATCTTTCTTTTTAATTAAAATACTTATAGAATATTTAGAAATCTCTATTTCGATCCTATTTTCTAAACAAGTCTGAACATTACAGAATTGCGTTGCAATCGATCAGTGTAATCGCTCTAATTACACCCAAATTCTGTTGCGGGTTAGTTCAAGGAATATCTTCTAATGCGATATAAAGCATAAAGCAATCCCCGGTTTTTCACAAAATATGGCGGATGCTGAGGTGAGTTTTGTCACGTGGAATATTAAAAATCTATATTTATTCATAAAATAATGTGTCTTAACCGGTTTTTCCATTGCAGTTATCTAAAGCCTTAAAGGATTTACCAAATCGCATTCAAACCGCCAGTAAAAATGAGCGGCGAGAGATTTTGCAGAACGTCGTCGACGTGTTGTCAAATCCTGGTAAGATATAGTAAAAAGATTTATTCCATATAAGGATCGTTGTTTCCACGTAATATTTCTCATGCAAAATAACTTTCCTTTTTACTTTTAGAAAAAAAATGATTGTTTTTTGTAGTTTGTTATATTACTTACTTTTACATTTTGCAATTTATACTTAACACGTTTCATTAATCGTTATTTAAAATGCAGTTTAATGTTATTATTATAAACGTGAAAAACTGATTATCTTGCTATTATACATATTCTGATTGATATTATATAGGTCGATCAATGGTTAAGAAAAATAATGTCTGTTGTGCAATAAATTTAATTTTTTTATATACTGTATTGTTGGCATTCTAAGAAACAGTATTTCCTGTTCCAGGCATCAATGAAAAAATTGTTGGAGGGATATGTAAAGTACTGTCAATTACTTTGCATCGATATAAGGATACTGCATCACAATCTTACGTAAAATATTTAATTGTGGCTTTACTCAAGGAACAAAGAGAAGCTACTATAAAGCATATGTCAAATGCTATTACAGAGCAGGCTGTCTGGCATAAAAATGTGGTGCCAACGTAAGTTTCTGATTAACAAACTAAGTTCAAAGAGATACTTTTTCATGTTTTAATGAATTTTAATTTTATTTCATATTTAGTTACAACACTGCTCTGACGGCTTATCTAACATTAAAGTGGTCTGTGCTGGTTGTACGTCATGGCATCAATAATGGATCTAAAGAAAGCTGGTTGGAACTTCCAAAGTTAATCGAGGCTCAGACAAATTTAAGTGCAGCTGCATTGGCTTCTGCAGAAAAGAAACTTTCTGAAAAAGTATATACATTGTTCACACACGAATGGAAACTTGTTCCTGCTATCGAAGAAAAATATATAGAAGTTCTAATGAAACTTGAAGCTAGTAATGGAGTTATTGTATTGGCCAGTTTATTGACTAGGTATTTGGTAGAAACAAAAAAGGATGATCTAATCGATAAACTGAAGGTAAAAGCCTTATCTTCTGACACCATTTACTATTACTAATTTAATCTCAATCATTATTTTTTATAGCCAAGCATGATTGAGGCTCTTATAAAAGTCAGTATCAGCTGCAAAAAGAAGCCTGAACTTTATGTCGTTGATGCTGCTGCATCACTTCTTAAAAGAGTATCTCATGAGGAGTTTAAAAACCTGTTACTCCCAGCCCTTCAAAAGGCGATGCTAAGAAATCCAGAAATAATCATCGAATCTGTCGGACGTATCCTAAGTGGAATGAGTCTTGATTTGAGTCAATACAGTCAAGACATTAGCAAAGGACTCTTTGCAAACCTACATTCTAAAGAAGATTTAGTACGCGATGAAGCAGCAGATGCTTGTCGTCGCTTGGCTTTACAATGTTCGGATTCAACAGCCCTGGAAAATTTACTTTCATCCCTTTTTGCTGTGTTCCACGGTTCCGAGGGTAAGCTCACCGTAGCTACGCATAAGATATCAGTACTTCAAGGCGCAGGAAATCTCAGCTACAATGTCGTATCTGGCAGTAACATACAGAAACTAACGGAAACAGCATGTAGTCACTTTATAAAAGTCTTGGAAACCGAGGTCCATGAGAAAACCTTAATTCATGCGTTAGAAATGATGTCGTTGTGGTGCAAAAAGTTTGCAAACGACATTCCTAAGAGCGTAATTGATGCATTTAAAAAGGGAATGGCTGCAAAGACATCTACTGCTGGAGTACGTACTGCATACATTAAACTTCTCTCCTGGACACCTATTACTTCACACTCTGCAATGATAGCGCCAATACTAACCCAGGCAATAACCAGGGCGACGACGCAATCTGCTCAGCCGGCAGCAGTTACAGAAGGTCTCCTTGCAACTTACTTATTGTTAAAGCTTGTACTTGCTGGTCAGGTCGAAAACGACAAACAGAGTATTCTCTGGAATGCTGTAGACGATCAGCTGTTTTTCTCTGAAAAATTTCTGAGCACTTGTGGCGATGACATCCTTTACTACCTGATGCTCCTCTGCGAACGCCTTGTGACAGAATTTTCAGATCGTCTTAATGAGAAAGCTCTTGGCGGCATATACCGTGCTATAGTGGCTTGTGTGACAGCTCCTAAATCATCAATTCGCAGGAAGTGCGCTCCGGTACTTAAAAAAATGTTAACCGGATTGAATAGTTACGAGCTAGTTGAGGCGCTCTTGTTGGAGTTTAATAAATTTCTGGAGACTGCGAAGATCAGAGTTGACAGTGAAAAGGAAAGTAAGGAGGAAACATCTAGTGGAGAAGTCAGTGGTAGATCCTTAGCAGATGGACTCATGGCTATATGTTCTGGATCTTTCTTGTTTGAAGTGCCTTCGATGCAGATCACTAGAGACGCCTTAATTCCTGCACATCATCCAACAATATTTAGAGCTGTTCCTAATCTCTGGTTTAAAATCGCTAGAAACTTTGGTCTGGTACCAAAAGACTTTTTACGAACTTTCGGCAGTGAGATTAAAAAGCTGTTTCTTAATAACTATAAGCCTGTTCCTAGTTATGAGAACGCCCTTGCTAGCGTAATATCTCTAGCACCGGATGTAATATTACCATCGCTAATATCAAATGTTACCGGGAAATTAGATGATCCTGAAATCCTGAGGGTTACAAAGGATGAATATTTTACCTATCTGACACCAGAAGGTGAATTATATGACAAGAGTGTTATACCAGGCAATGATGAGAACGATATCTTGAATGCAATGAATATGAAACGTGAGAGTAAAGTATATTCATTCAAGGAACAACAAGAAGAGCTACAACTTCGTCGAGAGTTGTACGAGAAACGTAAAAGGGAGGGTAAAATAAAAGAGCCTAAGCTTACTCCAAAGCAGGAAGAAGCACTGAAAGCTCAAACTGCTAAGGAGAGTGGAATTAGAAAACGTTTGGCAGAATTAAATGCAAAAATTACTGATGCAGTATCGATGATAAATGCTGCAGCGCGTGGAAACAGCTTTGAATTGGGTTTACATTTAAAGGATCTACTTCATCCTATATTAAAGGATCTAGGATCGCCTTTAGCAGCACCAACAATGTTACAACTCTATATAAGTCTTCGTAAAACTGTTAAAATATCAAACAATAATACCCTTAGTGATTTAATAGCACATGTAACTCTTCGGCAGCTACAACCTCAATGTGATCTCGATCAAGCGTGGGAGGAAGAGCCTCTTGACGAGGCGGTGAAACGTACTTTGGCATTGATACACACCTACACTATACGTCAGAAAGTATTGTTCACGGCTCCAACATTTTGCTATATCTTTGCGTTTATCAAGAAAACACTATTGTCTTGTAAGGATGACGGTATGATAACACAAGGGCTGCAAATTGTACAAGAACATGCTAAGCAAAGAGGAGACATCAGCATTTCTAAAGACGCAAGGCATCCGAAATTGTTACCCAGGAAACAAATGTTTGATTTACTGATAGAGCTGATGAGCACTACTACTGGTCGAGTTCAGTCCCAGGCAGTTGCTACTCTTCTAGACGTAGCTCAATCTGGTAGTGGTTTACCCAACTGTGCGTTGGCAACTGGTGAAGATATAGATTCATTAACTGGAGCCTTACAGAATTCATTACCAGCTGTAAGGGATGCAGCTCTGAGAGGTCTTATGATTATACGTCTTGCATTTCCGTCTGAGAAGGAAGACTACAATCAGTTACTTAGACTTACAAGGAGGATCTGGGTAGCTAAGTTTGATATCTGTGAAGAAAACAAACATCTGGCGGAAGAATTGTGGACTGCGGCAGGGCTTGTGGCGAACCCTGACATCCTGTGCGAAGAACTTATTCAGGATATTGCACATCCAGTTGAGCCTATTCAACAAGCGGCTGCTTGTGCCTTGGCGCAACTTTTGACCGATGATCCTCAACTCATGCCTGCGATCTTGGATAGACTATTAGAATTATACCAGGATAAACTTGCAATGATTCCACCAAAGTTAAATGATTTTGGTCGTGTTGTTGAACAACCTATTGATACCTGGGGACCACGAAGAGGAGTTGCTTTGGCACTGGCACAATTGGCACCTTTATTAACACCAGAGACTATACACAGACTTGTACAGTTCTTCGTCTCTACTGGATTAGGTGACAGGAATCATGCTGTCCGTACAGAAATGCTTACTGCCGCAGTTGCAGCTGTCGATCTTCACGGCAAGGCAAACATAACATCCTTGTTACCAGTTTTTGAAGATTTCATGGATAAGGCTCCAAAGATTGGTAGTTTTGATTCAATAAAACAATCTGTGGTAATCCTTATGGGATTATTGGCGCGACATTTAGAGAAGGATGATCCTAGGATAAAGCCCATAGTATTGAGACTGATTTCGGCTCTTTCTACACCGTCACAGCAAGTACAAGAAGCTGTCGCCAATTGTTTGCCTCATCTGGTGCCTTCTATCAAGGATGATGCTCCTAGAATTGTGGATAATTTGATGGACCAACTGCTAAAGTCTGATAAATATGGAGAGCGTAAAGGAGCTGCATATGGATTAGCTGGTCTTATCAAGGGAATGGGTATTCTTGCTCTCAAACAGCTTGATATCATGACCACTCTTACCAATGCTATTCAGGATAAAAAAAATTATAGACACAGAGAGGGTGCATTGTTCGCTTTTGAAATGCTGTGTACGATGCTTGGAAGGTTGTTCGAACCTTACATAGTTCATGTTCTTCCACATTTGTTATTATGTTTCGGAGATTCAAGTCAATATGTAAGAACAGCTACGGACGACACTGCTAGAGTAGTAATGAGTAAACTTTCCGCTCATGGTGTAAAGCTAGTTCTGCCTAGCCTGTTGGCAGCTCTAGAAGAGGATTCTTGGAGAACGAAAACAGGTAAGTTCTTTAAAAGCATATCATAACCACGTAGCTTATATTACATACAATTTTTAGGATCTGTGGAACTATTAGGAGCAATGGCATATTGTGCTCCTAAACAATTGAGCAGTTGCCTACCAAGCATTGTACCAAAACTAATAGAAGTTTTGAGTGATTCTCATACAAAAGTCCAGGAAGCTGGGGCAGAAGCTCTTAAAGTTATTGGTAGTGTCATTCGAAATCCTGAGATTCAGGCTATCGTTCCAGTTCTATTGAAAGCTCTTCAGGATCCATCAAGGAAAACGGCGACGTGTTTGCAAACATTATTAGATACGCAATTCGTGCATTTCATAGATGCACCATCATTAGCTTTGATTATGCCAGTAGTCCAAAGAGCCTTTATGGACCGATCAACAGAAACACGAAAAATGGCAGCTCAGATCATTGGTAACATGTACTCATTGACTGATCAGAAGGATCTGACTCCATATCTACCCACAATTATTCCTGGACTGAAGACTAGCTTGCTGGATCCTGTACCGGAAGTACGTAGTGTATCGGCCCGAGCTCTTGGTGCAATGGTGCGGGGAATGGGAGAGTCCAGCTTTGAGGATCTTCTTCCATGGCTAATGCAAACATTAACTTCTGAGACTAGCAGCGTAGATCGTTCTGGAGCCGCTCAGGGTCTCTCTGAAGTCGTAAGAGGTCTTGGTGTTGAGAAACTTCATAAACTGATGCCTGAAATCATCAGTACAGCCGAGAGAACTGATATAGCGCCTCATGTTAAGGACGGCTACATAATGATGTTCATCTACATGCCCAGTGCGTTCACGACTGAATTTACTCCATACATTGGACAGATTATTAATCCTATCTTAAAAGCTTTGGCTGATGAAAATGAGTACGTTCGTGAAACTGCTCTCAGGGCAGGTCAAAGAATAGTGACACTGTATGCTGACTCTGCTATAATGTTACTACTACCGGAATTAGAAAAAGGTCTCTTCGATGATAATTGGCGTATTAGATACTCATCAGTTCAATTACTTGGAGATTTACTATACCGCATCTCCGGAGTATCTGGAAAAATGTCTACTGAAACCGCTAGTGAAGATGATAACTTTGGAACTGAACAGTCCCACTATGCTATTATCAATGCATTGGGAGCGGAGCGGCGAAACCGTGTCTTGGCAGGGCTATACATGGGTAGATCTGACGTGGCTTTAATGGTTCGTCAGGCAGCACTTCATGTATGGAAGGTGGTAGTAACAAATACACCAAAAACATTAAGAGAAATTTTACCTACGTTGTTCAGTTTGTTATTGGGATGTTTGGCGAGCACCAGCTATGACAAGAGGCAAGTAGCTGCCCGTACCTTGGGAGACCTCGTCAGAAAATTAGGGGAGAGAGTACTTCCAGAAATCATTCCAATCCTGGAGAGGGGTTTGCAGAGCGAACAAGCTGATCAGAGACAAGGAGTTTGTATTGGTCTATCAGAGATCATGGCTAGTACTAGCAAAGATATGGTTTTGACATTCGTAAATAGTTTGGTACCAACAGTCAGGTAAACACATAATGACACAACCGAACTTATTTTATAAATGCAACAGTGTTATAAAACGTACTGATATTATTTTCTAGAAAAGCTCTATGCGATCCTTTGCCAGAGGTCAGACAAGCTGCTGCCAAGACTTTTGACAGTCTTCATTCAACAGTAGGAGTACGAGCGTTAGATGATATTCTGCCTGCCATGCTGACTCAATTGAATTCTCCAGATCAAGCGGAGGCTGAGAACACATTGGACGGTTTGCGTCAAGTGATGGCAATTAAATCTCGCGTGGTTTTGCCGTATCTGGTTCCACAATTGACCAGCCCACCCGTTAACACAAAAGCTTTGTCTATACTGGCTAGCGTGGCTGGAGAAGCTTTGACGAGATTCCTCCACAAGATCTTACCTGCATTATTGACAGCCTTATCTAGTGCACAAGGCACACCAAATGAAGTACAGGAATTAGAGTATTGCCAGGCAGTCATTCTATCTGTTACTGATGAAGTTGGAGTAAGGACCGTCATGGACCAACTTATGGAAGCTACCAGAGCCGAGGATGCATCTCGACGACGAAGTGCAGCCACTCTGCTGTGTGCATTCTGTCGAGATACTCGAGCGGATTACAGTCAATACGTTCCACAATTACTTAGAGGATTGATACATTTGTTTACTGATGATGATAAGGACGTGCTTCAGATGAGCTGGGAAGCACTTACGGCAGTTACTAAGGCAAGAACGACGTTCCTCTTCATCGAGGTATCTTTGAAATCTGTTAATTTTTTAACGTTTCTTTTTATTTTTAGACTCTTGGGTCAGACCAACAAATAGCGCACGTGCAGGACATAAGACAGGCTGTACGCTTCGCCGTGTCAGATTTAAAGGGCCATGAACTACTTCCAGGATTTTGTCTACCCAAGGGTATAACACCGATTCTACCCATATTCAGGGAAGCTATACTAAATGGAATGCCGGAAGCAAAGGAACAAGCAGCACAAGGCTTGGGCGAAGTCATTCGACTTACAAGTGCTGCGGCGTTACAGCCCAGTGTGGTACACATCACTGGTCCTCTTATTCGTATTCTTGGAGATCGTTTTAATTGGAGTGTTAAGGCTGCAGTTCTGGAGACCTTGGCTATATTGCTTGGCAAGGTTGGTAACGAGTTATATATTTGTTAATAAATTAGAATTCAAACTTATTCCTCATTTCTCGCTGCACTAGGTGGGCGTAATGTTGAAACAATTTTTACCGCAACTCCAAACAACATTTTTGAAAGCTTTAAATGACAGTAATAGACAAGTCAGACTCAAAGCAGCATACGCTCTCAGTAATCTTATAGTAATTCACACCAGAGCTGATCCTTTATTCGCTGAATTGCATATTGGCATTAAAACGGCTGATGATCCCACTATCAGGTATCTTTTTATATAATTCCTAATCATTGAATCTTTTCCCACTTATTATAACCTATGACAATGATCTATTGTCATTTTAGAGAAACTATGTTGCAAGCCTTACGAGGAGTATTAACACCAGCTGGCGACAAGATGACAGAACCTATGAGAAAACAAGTATTTGCTACCTTGAGTAATATGCTTGGATACTCGGAAGATGTTACAAGAAATGCAGTAGCCGGATGTTACGGTGCTCTTTTAAGATGGCTAACGCCAGAGCAATTAGCTGCAGCCTTCAATGACAATCTACTATGTAAGTCTCTCAAGTGGCACCATTGTGATTTATTATCGCCAGAGTAAACCATTAACAAATATTATTATTTAGGTAACGACGTGAATGCTGATTGGATGTTGAGGCACGGTCGTTCGGCGGCATTATTCGTGGTGCTGAAGGAATCTCCAGGAACAGTTTACACTGGGAAGGAGAAAGAGCGAGTTTGCAAAGTGATACTCTCGTATCTAGCTGCTGACAGAGTTCAAATAGCTATGAATGGAGTGCGTGCTTGTGGTTATTTGTTCCAGTATCTTATGAACGACGGCCAGCCGATACCACAGCAGATATTAACACCTTTCGTCCGAGTAAGCAAAGCAGCCGTGCGTAAAACATTCTTAAAGTAAACTATACATTCATCTTCTTTACAGTCAATGAATCATACGAATAACGATGTGAAGCAACTGTTGGCAAGAGTATGCACACACCTTGCAAGGAATATACCGTCAGAGAAAATGTCACCGGAATTACTGAAAGCCTTGTTACCAATGTTGGTTAATGGTACCAAGGAGAAGAATGGTTACGTCAAGGCCAATAGCGAACTTGCACTTATCGCTGTGCTCAGGCTTAAGCATGGAGATGAAGAGCATCAGGTACTCATATCAGTTTATAAAATATATTTATAGTAGAACATTTATTTGGTACGTCTATTATTGTTTGCTGGTTGTCCTTTACAGAGGTGCATAGCTCTTCTTGACGTGGGAGCTAAGGAGTCTTTGTCAGACGTGGTGAGCAAAGTCTTAAGGAAGGTTCTCTCCCAACCGGAAGGCAAGATAGAAGAGTTGGACGATACGTTACTCACATGAGAGACATTATATACCCCGGGGCTCATTATTCGTTATTCCTGTTCCTATTCCCGTCGTCAATACCCACGTGATCATCCTTGCTCTCCTAATTTCTACGACAGAAAGTATTACTCGTGTACTAGCCGAGACTTTACCTCGAAATTATTTCGATTAATTGTCTATCTTAATAAGGAATTAGATAGCCTTAAGAAAAGTAACAGGTCTATGAGTTTCAAGCTATTAAAGCTCAAATGCCCTGAGATCCGGGTGACTGCAGTAAGAACAACCAAGTGCAGGTCGCAATGTCGTGTGTCACAAGAATCAAGAGTTGTCATCATGAGGTATCAAAGAAGTAATCATTGTCGACTCGACGAGGATGTTTCAAGGAATGAATCTATCTCCAATCGCGTGATAAATACTCCAACAGATAATTGCGCTACTACAGTAGATTATTCAAAAGATCGCGAGAGTAGTCTGAGAAATGATAAAAATGTTCCCACGGTTAGTAAAAACGATAAAGTATCCAGGGACTTCGTTGGACAAATTGTTGCCTGCTTTCAAAATAAATATTACACGTCTCACCTGGAGCTAAGAGAAACTTTTAAGAGACACTGTCATGTCCAAGGAAGAGAGAAAGTCAGAAGATATTGTATGGGCAATTGTGCGAAGAATCAAATGGTTGATCGTCTAGGATTTAACTTTGAGGAATCTTTTGTTAAACCACGTCCGCCCTATGGCGAGGACGTTAACGATAACGAAGACGTTAGTACCTTTTCTTTTGTAATATCCATGCATCTAAGTCACAGATGAACAGTGCGATTATACATTGTTCCCTAGTTATACACATCGGTATATAGTTTATATTTGAAAATAAATATAAGAATTGTTACGTCGATCGTATTGATCGGTCGTGACAAATCGGCGCCACTTCTGGGACAGTCAACAAAGCATCGACTCGCTTACTTGCTCCAATAACAATATATACGTTTATCAATATTTCTACTTTATATAACATATAATTTTTCACTTTGTATAACCTCATAAATTATGACTGCCATGATTATCGACCACGTGATTTTCTACTTGATTTAGAAATTAAAACTTCTCCTAATTGACACTTTCAACGGAGTTTTAATAAGAATATATAGAGGGAGGTTGATTCGACCAATATTGTTATTACTCCTTTCATTTCTTACAAATTTTTGTACTTTTATAACGTTTAACCATTAACTCGTATACTGCTTTTCCTGTGAACATGTCTGTCGTCTGATAATTTTTTGGATCAGTATGAAAAGCATGGAAGATTGAGGTTTTTTTGAAAATTTCATATTGCATAAAACCATGTAAGTTCTTTTATACTGCGAATTCCTATCGTTAACAATATACTACGTGACTTCTTTTGTGAATGTCCTCGAAAAAAAAAGAAAAAAAAATGTGGAGAGGTGAGAAGGTGACAGTGCCTGGAAGTGCGCTTTGGTGTGTTTTTAGTAACGAATATCCCTTGCATCCTAACTCCTCCTGTCTCCCGCTGTTCCTATTCCATAAAGAGCCCCGGGACTGCCAAGAGCATGCAACGGGTCGTACGCGCAAGATCGGTTAAGTTTTTATTTGATGGTTATCCGGCAATAAAGTGCTTCTTATTTGTTCAGTGTAATTTGTCAATTTTTTAATCATTGGCGCGCAATACGTTAGACTACTGCGCGGCTCATTCAGCCTTTCTTTTCCTTGATCGTTACTGTACTTTACTTTATGCATTTAACGTAATATAATCCTATGATAATTACCGAGCAATTATTTATCATGTCTTTGTAACGAATATAGGTTTGTTATGTATGAATGGAGGAATGTGATATGATTATCATATAAAGAATGATGCTCTGAAAAGCTTTTATGTATCAAATTTTTTTTACCTTCAATATGCAATCAGCCATATACAAAAATATTTTGTAAAATCAAAATCCTAATACTTCACCTTTCCAATTATTGTCAGTATTCTGAAAATGGTAATTGTCCTTTTGGTTTAAAATCTACCCCAAAAATCCTTTTTAAGTACTGTTTAAGTACAGTTTCGTTTCGGTATTGCTAATTAACATACCAACATTTCGTAAAGTCCCCTTTCCGACGAAAAGGTTCTATTGTTTTCGAAATTCTAGAACCGAATGAAGCTCTACACGGTCAGGACTTACACGATGCCAAAATTTCCCACGTGCACGAGAGTCCTACCACTATACCTCAAAGATTGGTAAGACCCTTAGGAAAAGTGTTGAGACTTCAGGAAGTTTCGTTTTCCTGAAGGACACCCCGTCGATCAAATAATCACCTTTCCCTTAGAATAAATACCGGAATGCGCGAGCCGCGCCAAATGGCCACATTCAGTAAGAAGATTAACTAACAATGAGATTATTAGTGAAATGGATATGGCCTAGCTTAGCAGCTCGTAACAATGCAGCCCAAGTAGGAAAAAGAATCCCGCTGAGTTTTACAGTAAATGAACTTTTATTGCAACACGAGTAATTCTTACCTGAGAACAAATTGTCGTATTTTAGAACCATAATAAAAATATAATCTTACAAAGAAACAATCATAACACCCACTTAATCGACACACTTAATCTGTTGATTAAAACAGATACAGAGATGAATGCATGCCAGTAAAGCAATCGCAGGAAGGTGATTTCAAAAGTGATTATCACCTTAGTAGTGTAGAGGGCGGAAACAACTTAACAAACCGACAAAGATTCTCCGTGCAAATCGCAATCATTTATACACAGGAACGTGTTTAAAAAATTGAATCTGATATGAGAAGTCGGACCACTGCAATGGTCGTCGGCCACTACAAAGCGCATGGAAAACCCACGCGCGAAAACACTTTACTACATTAGGAAGTGGCATTCATTTTATGTGGACTTCGTGATCGCGAGGGAATTGTTGTTCGTTCGCTTCCTCCGTTATTGTGTGCATATGCACTTTTTGCGCAAAGAACCACGTCCGACATACACCTGACAGCATCAGTATTTCCTGTAGGATGCAGGAAGAAGAAAGGATAAGTATAATATTTTTTACTTAACTTACCCGCCACTGTGTTGGGTGGTCTCTTAATGACGTGACTCATACGGCTGGCTTTTGTTATTCCTCGTGCAGAATCCCGCGACGACGCACTCTGGACTTCCTGTCCTCCATATTGTTCAAACATTGGGATGAGTCCTGCCAATGGCTTCTACCACCGTAGAAGTAGGAGTAGATATACACGATGAGATAAGTGATGGTGGATATACAAAACATTTCGCAGAACACCAGAAAACCCTCGAAAGTCCTTACGCTTTTCTAGTTGCTGTAATGGCCGTAGTAGGTAGCTGTAATACTTGGCCGAGTTTCCATGGGAGGATGTCACGCGACAAATAAACATACGAACTAAGTAATGGGAAATGTTTGTTTACGCTTTGTAAAGGATAACAAGAATGGCTATTGGATTCCTTGTTTCTTTATTATATGCATATTTTACTTTTTGAACTTTTCCCTCCACGCCTCAGGTAATTTAAATACGAATTGTCAATCCCTCCCGGTGGGTACGAGCAGACGATATAAACGCGAGTTAAGATGGCGATAGGACAATTGCAAAAGTTTATGATCAATGTGTATCTTACAAATACGAGGAGTGTTGCGTCCGGGTTTGATCGTAATTCAAAGATTTGTTATGAACATTACAGTTGTTTGTTTGTGAAAAGGCGTGAAGCGAGTATCTGATAAGATTCACGGAATTATGAAGTATCCTGACGCATTAGTTTTGTGAAGTAAATTTGGTAGTCTGACAGTGATTCATGGTGACGATAAGGATTATCATTCTTATCATGGAGAAGTTTCGATAGTTTTTATTATGATCTGTGATATAATATCACTTTAAAAATGTGTTTATGTTTTTTATAAGATTTCACCATTGCACTAAAGTCAGGTTTGGGTGACCATCATCCAACTGTCAGAATATACAGTTGAGTATTGTCAAGGATACTTATTTTTAATGATTTTCCAGGAATATTACTCGTGCAACTATATTTTATATTCATCAGTGGTTATCTTGCCCATCCCATTTGTCATCCATGATGGACACCAAACTATGTGTAGAGCCTGTTTACTTTCGTCTGTCCTGAAACAACAATTCCCAGTGCTCGTCCACCCAGTCATAACTCATCGTTTGGTTTATTTAACAATTCACGATCTGAGATTCAGCACGGGTCCGGTGTAAACCACATGGTTACAAAACATCGCATTAACAGAAGGTAACCTAAGAATTTTTTCACTGGTCGAAGAATATCACGTCCGTAGAATGATAACGATGATAACAGTCTAATAAGAAAAATGAACATTGTCAAGGCAGTTTTGATATAATTAAATATTTATTAAGCAAGAACCATTGCCAAGTGGTGAAGCATATTGAACCGATTTTTGTTTAAATCTGTAAACACGTCATACATAACGCAGATAAGTGGCCACTTCAAAAAAAAGCCAGTTGCACTCATCATTCCACACAGCAATCGAAATTTTCGTTTATTTATTCCAGAACACTGCTGTAGGTAAACAGCTCCAGAATGCTACCTATACCTAAAGCAATTCCCGGTCATTAATATGCAAAGAAATATTTTTTATTTTGGTAAAACACTTTATTTCTTTACCTTGCCACACTACTGCACTTATTAATTTTTTATGACACTAAAATAATCATACCGTTACTATTAAACATCGTAGAATTACTTTTCTCGTCAAAAACAATACTCTTACCCTTGATCATTCCAATCGGCAGGGGTAATATACATATCTATATATCTTTTCCATTTCGTATAAGGTAAGCGGCGGGATTTCCCTTTTTGAAATCTCGAATAGCGATCATAGTAGCCCATAAAGGTCGTGCATTAGGTCCCGCAGTGATGTCAAGCGTTTCCCGACGTGAAAGGGAAACCTTCTGAAAATGTCATACATCCCTTAAAAAAAAGGGTAGAATACGAGAAAAAAAACGATCCACCCGTTTGTCGGAACCACAATCGTTTCTGGATCTGAGTTTTTGCGGTGCACTTCCTCAATAACCCTGCGGGAAATCGAGAGTCAAAGAAAAAAAGGAAAAAAAAAAAGATGAAACGACGAGAAAATTCAAACAGGCGAAAATAATGTCAACCAATTGAGAATAGCCGCAAAGAGAAGAATACGAAGAATGAAAGATCCAACAGAATAAGAAATCACATGCAATTTTGAATTCCTGATGTCTTCTCAATTTTTGGTTAAAAGTAAAAAAAGGGAAGTTTCATCAAGACACCATTACTGTCAGACAACAGGGAATGAACCGTAAAACTAAATGGTTAAGTTCCACTTACACCCACTTTTTAAGACCATATTAAATTATTGGAAAGTGCACTTATAAGGTCACATGATTAATATGGCATGATAGTCACATCATTCTTCAATATCCAACAAGCTTATCACTGAAGGTAAAATTTTTATGGAATAATTAATAGTAAACTATAAAAATATAACTGAATAACATAAATAAATGACTTTTTTTTTTCAGTACGTGTCGATGCCAAAAGTTATCTCAGTTACGCCCTTTCAAAATTTTACTGGCAGGCGCCGTAAGTGCACAGTGATTTTTCTAATTCCTCCAGACGCCATTGACGAGGTCGTTCCAAGATCCTTGTCGCATGGAAAAGTGGGTAATTAAGGTAATGCAAGGGAACAACACGACCAGGGTGGAATGCCCCACTACTTCCGCATCTTTAGAAAACAAGGTGTTAATGCAAAGGTACCCAGGTACATACAATACTGGCTTCGGTTGATAAATGGACATTAAATAGTTACTAGATAAGTAAACGCTGGTACTATGTGAAACTGCATATGGATTAGTTAAAAAAATTGGACAGGTAGAAAATAGAAGACTGTTACGTAACGTACCCTCTTTGTATTATATATTCATTAAAATTGAAAAATCTATTCTAAACTGCTAGATATACCTGAATTAGTTTTTTTTTTCCTTTTCTTCACAATACTTATGGATGGCACGTGGACGATTTTACTTTTATTGCCTTTGTAAGTGCTACCGTAACTCATAAAATTGAACCCCTATATATTGTTCTAGACATTCCCTTGTGTAAAATGTTTTATATTCATAGCTCAGGGAATTTGTTGAAAGGGTATATTTTGGGTCTGAATTTCGTCGAGTATATTTCAGAATGCTTCAACGAAGTCTTGAAGTCTGTGAAGTCCTTAGGAGCGATCAGGGGTTTTTGAATACAGGTAGTGAGGCTAAACGGGAGGGATGAAAAGGCGCGGACCAAACCCTCATTGTTGTGGGTATCGCTTACAGTTAATCCGCAATACGAAATTCACAACAACCGAGCGACGACTACATCCCTAAAGGTAGATGAATAGGTAAGGGTGGGCGTGGAGGGTGTGTTGAGAAAAAAAGGAAAAAAAAGAAATGGAGATTCTTATCGCTTAGAACCACTACTGTTTAGTCGCCGACAGTTCGGTCTGAACATCCGATTTTTATCTGTACCGCTGTGATCTTATGAGCGCAGAACCGATTAACTGTCATCTTGCGCTAGAATTCTTTAATTTATGTGATTCTCGTCAAGTTTCTAAAATCCCATAAATAAAGAATATTTACATTTGCTATAAAAATTTTCTATAATAAATTTTATTTGTGAGATAAAAATGGTCTTTTATAAATCTAATCTAATTTGTTCCCTACATTTTTACACATATTTTATTTATTCCATTAATTAATATTGTATATTGTGCATCGATTGGTATTACGATATTGGTTTTCGAAATAATCAGTCATCTTATACAATAGAAGAATTTTTAAGTATCCAATAATTGTCAGCAGAGAATCGGCTGACGCAAAAGTTTATCCTTTGACTTTTTTTCAGACTTTCAGTCCCATTTGCCTTTCCTTTTTGTGAAGTCTGAAGCCAATGGGAAAGCAGTAGGCGTGTCGATGGTCCCTCCAATGGGGACTATATACCGCACAAGGGTGGAGGACAGGCCCACGCGACTTCCCCTAGTAAAGACAAGTAACTAGTAGCCGTTGAGTTAGTCTGGCCCTGACTGCAGTGCCGAGTATCAGAGTATCGTGATACTCTTGTTTTACCCACATTCATTAATAACAAATAGTTTCTAGAGTTAACGAGGACTTAATAATAACACAAGGATTTTTTGGAAGAATCACGTGCGTGCTTGAAGAAAATTAAAAATCATGAATTTGGTTTCACCCATGGATCTGCAGCTGCATCTGCACCAGCAGATGCTCTACAGACAGCAGCAAATCACGCTACATCATCATCGACCAGGTATTTTTTTAACTATCTAATACATTTCTTTACCACATAAATTGATTACCTTTCAGCATGTTAAATAATTGAACGACATTACTTATCGTGGAATTATTAATTGGACTAAACAGTATGAAGATCTTGAACAGATACCAGTGTGTTATCATGTATATGTACGGGCCGCCCCTTTTTTATGGCGTGTTAACTCGACACATTCTGAAGAACATGTTTACAACGGACTCCTCGTCGCGGCTTCCGTTTGTCAGCGAGTAAAATACGTCATTAGACATTGCGTACAGACAAATAAATAGTTGAGTCGCTTATAGAATCCTAGAGAAGGTTTACCCGTTATAACGAGTGACGTTAGACCACGAAGAATTCACACCGAGATCTTTTCCAATGTTCAAATAACGGATAAAGAGGATATATAAATTTTCCACGACTCCATTGCACTGTACAAACTTCATAAGAAAAGAATAATTGCAAGAAAGAAGAAACACGTGGTACACAGGAGAATTATTTTGCATGGCTTTTGCCAGCCAGGGAGAGATCTTCCAAGAAACGTGAAGTCGGTAGACCTCATAACTGCAAAAATGACGAATCACGCGAATCCAGATATAACGAACGGTCCTGAGAATCATCAGCATCATTGCCTGTCTGTGGTACAAAGGTCACGATTATCATTAATTAAGAAGGTCGTCCAAGAAATCAAGTACCAGGGGGAGTGGCTACCATCTTAAGATTGTTTGGACGATAAAAACGAGATTGAGGGTGCATTTTGAGTTTGTTCTAAAAAAAGGGGAAAAAAGGACCAGATCCTGGAATTTCGTAGCAGGACACGCTCGTTACACGATGACAGCTCGTGCGTCCCTGTAAAAGGAAAATCAGGGTGAGGGAAAGGTTGTCGCGTCATCGTAATTGTCCCACAGAAGAAGACAGTCCCATCCGAGTCACCGCCATTAGGTATTAGAAAAAGTCACGAAAGGATCCCACACCACCCCCTTGTTGAAACTAACAGTGTCCTCGACGTAGTGCGGTTTCCGGGCTGACAAATAAGCATCTGCTCTTGTTTGCCGTGTCTCCGGGCCATTCTGTGTATCCCAAATACAGAAAGGTGGAATATTGTCATTATTTTTTATACCTAATGGCATAAAGATGTTTGCTCGGAGGGCGTGGGCCATTTAATGGTCCCTCTTCTAACGCATCAGGGGACACTGGTAGTAATACCACAGTAGTAAGGATAACGACAGCGATGATCGCTGAGTATTAGATAAAGAAAAACTAAAAACCGTAGGATCTTATGGTAAGCAAAAAATGTTCGATTTTCAAAAAAAAAAAAATAGCACCTGTCAAATCTTATACAGAACGTCAAGAGATTCGGGGTAAGACATGCGCAGACTATACTTAATCTCTACTTTTTTTTTTCTATGTGTATTTCTTTTCTACCAGTTGCCAAGGCACTGCGCTATTAAGTCACTTTCCAAGGGGGTAATTCGGTTATAATGGTTTGTTTGTTTTCTAGAGATGCGTGTTATGTGCACCACCCTAAGTATAGAGCCGAGCCGGGAAAGGCGGGTGCGTGGCGTGCATGCGTTATGGTGGTCCCACATTATAAGTTCATTAGGGCGCGAACGGCTACGCCAGTCCTCTACCCCATAACCCGTCATTACCTCTAATGTGCCCTAAGGATTTCTAGACAGGTGTTGAAACACTTCTAAATACGGATCTGCCCCGTTTCCATGTATGGTCGTTACGAAACATTAGATTCTGTTGGAGTTGACGTTCTAATTTATTTTTATTCATGGTCCACCATACTTATTACTTCATGCTATACAATTTACAATCTAGATCACATTTAAGTACAGATTTGAATCTGGTCCCGAATAAAATTTTGGAACAGTTGAATTCTACTGTGAATTTGATTGCGTCACTGCATTTGGTATGTATATGATAACTCTATAAAATAATTTACCTAAAAATGAATGAATTTGAAGAAAAAGACACAAATATGTATGGATGTACATTGGTTAGGAATTTATCTAGCTCTAGGAGACGAAGCTGTCCCACAAGTATCCACATCAAACGTGCCGCTACCCAGCGAACCGGACAATCGTTATCTGCCGCCAAGAATGGGAGAGCCCGAAAGCTTCCCTCACTGAATATCCCTTATGTCCGCGGTCAATGCCAATTATCCTGGCAGGATAATGCTCCCAGGGTTCTAGGAGAAACTCGTCCTCGAGGAGACAAGTGCAGAAGCGCTCATGCATGGAGACAGAAGGAGACGACCCGCTAAGACATCTTGGTTCGGTATATCCACGGATAGACCTTTCTTCCTTTTATGCACAGCGCGACCATAATCCTTCGTCATCACCTTCCTGGCGGAAAGAAGAAAAAAAAAGTGCCTAGGAGGATGTTTACTTGGCGGCTCGTCGCGTGCTGCTATTGTCAGACTTAGAAAAATATTTTACGACATTTTTACCTGCACTTGTACATGCAGCGAAGAATCTTACCTTTTTGAAATATACAAAATTTTTATTAAATTTTTTTTTATTGTTTCAGAAGAGATGCCAGGATCAGGTTGGCTGGTGTCACCGTGTCCAGGAGGCGGTCCGCCTCTGCCACGAGAAGTCACAGTCGAATTGCAGAATCGTCGATTGTGGCAGCAATTTCATGCTGAAACCACGGAGATGATCATCACCAAGCTTGGCCGGTGAGAAAACATAAATTTTAGTCAATTGGTATACTGGAAAGAAAAACTGTATATAGTATTGGGTCTGGGTCCTCCGTGTCAGTTGCGTACGAAATGTTTATTACCCTCGTGAATGGCGCCGACCGGATACTTAAAAGGCTACCGAATAATCCCTCTGAGCTGACCTAGTCTAACGTGAGCTCGTTACACCGGGTAAGCGATACCTCAGCTACTCTCATTGAGTCGAAGCAACCTTGCGCGACTAAGCACCCAGCTAAACGTTCAGCTCTTGTCTAATGTTCACCTTCCGAATAGCCCAACCTTCAACTTCCACCACCTTCGGGGAGGTGAAACTAAGGGAACACTAGCCAGCTGCCTGTCGGCCACTGTCTTTATGAACGTCGCGACCCGTCGGCGTCGCGACGCATGGCTGCGCTCTCGCGGTCCCTTTGAAAGCGACCTTTCCGATCTTCCAGACCTCCTTAATTAGACGTTTCGGGATAAGATTCTTGTGACATTGGTTTTTCTTTTTCTTTGCAAGAATTAAGCAATATGCGGCACCCCCTCCCCATTCTTGTTCACTTAACACTTTGTCCAATATGTGTTTCTGGGGACATTTTTACCCGGTTGAAACATTTTCTTTTATCTTTTCTCAAGATATATAAAAATATTTACCTTTTCAATAACGACTACTCGTTTTGCAAAACATGGTAATTTTTTTATTATATTACAAATTTTACAATACTTGTACTTGTATAAAATCAGTTAATTATTTCCTACATACATTCGATAACAAAAATTTTAAATACTGTAGTATATACACATCTCGCTAAATACTTCCAAATTTTCAATTAGCACCGTATCGATCTATCAATTTCTACATTTAATATGTCTACACCTGGTATTCCCAATCAGGTATATCAAAGCACCAATGGAAATTAAACGGACAGGCATCGGCTATTGAGATTCGGATCCCACGCGCAGGGGGTCGGTTGCCTGTTGGCTGTTAGTTTGGCCCGACAGACGAGCGGACAGACAGTCGCCGGCGCCTCAAACTACTTTTCTTTGTCTTAGGGCCGCCACCGCCACCGCCAACATCATGGTGGTAGACAGTGGGTAGAGGAACGCATGGAGAGTGAACGGTAGAGTCAGAAACGACGAGAATGAGAGAGAGAGAGAGAGAGAGAGAGAGAGAATCCGTAGGACACATAGCTAAGCCACATTCCAAAATTATTAGCCGCGACATTTCTTCTTGCGATTGATAAATTGACGTAGAAAATTCTTCCAAGACACATTTTAATATAAAAACTGTACTATACAGTATATTATACACGATACATATTATGAGATTCAAATTTTTCTTTAAATTCCCGCCAAACGGTATATATACGTGACAAAGGCGCAATTAGTTTCACGGGGCGGAAAGATAGAAAGAAACTCAGATGGGACAATAGTAAAAACTTATCTGCACCATCGCGGCTCCTTGGGGACGTGGACCTTTGCACGCCATTTACAAGGGTGTAGACAAGCGACCGGACCTGTCTGGCTACGCATTCCGGGACCTTTACGCTCTTTCCTTCTTCGTGTCTCACTTATGCGTCACGAAGAGAAAAAGACCGGGAAGGACATACAATTTGATTCTGCACTTCCGGTCGTAAGTGGATGCCACCACGGAAGCAAGAACTTCCTAATGTACGGAAATGTACACAGATAGTGTACACAGAATTTATGCAAGTGATAAGTTCGTGTAGATTCGTTAGAAAAACGGAAACGGATGCTTCCTACAAGATCGTTCCGCAGATTACCTGTGTGCCTGTTATTTTTAAATATAAACGAAATCACGTCCTCGCGATTTGACTTAAACGCCATTCAAGTTTTAACGACACAGGCTGCTCGCCAGATAATTTGCAGGATGTCCATCCTTACAAAGATTTAAGACCTATACGAATGTTTTTTCGTGGGCGATCGAGATTCAACAATGGCGTCAACGCTGTTGTCGACCTTCCTGCTTGGCCAGGTTTGCCTAGTAATTTCACTCACCACGTGTCCGACATATGCCTGAAGCATGTTGTCGAGTTGTAACTGATCAGTATTCCATGGCACGATTGACTTTTTTTCTCTCTTCTTTCTGCCATACTCGCACAATTTTGCACACAGTGACCGCTCATCAGGGCGTCCGCTTCCTGCTGTTATGTCGTACATAACCTATAACCCCGTACTGACTCATTGTCTTGTTTTTCTTACTTCACTGGTGAAAATGACAGCGGACGTAAAGCTTGCAGGTATTACGTTTGAGGAAATATGTCTGACAGACATCTGTATTCAAAATAGTTATATTTTTCTCATTAGCTACTATCTATTTAGTGGCTATGCGGTACCTTTTGAATGGACAATGAATGCACGAGTGAACTATTTGATAAATTTCCTTTGCTGGGGATTAAGAAAATGACGTTCTAAAAGCTGTTATAGGTTAGGACAACTTCGACCATTACGTTACTGCTGTTATTAACAGTTCTTACCTTGGGAACTACCGGATAATTACTGATCAGTTCAATCCTTTCATCGGATAGCAATCGTGGTGTCAAGCGATTCTTATCTGTCGGATTGTACGTGTGTCTTTCGAGAAATGTGTATTTATTGACCTTTTAAAGGTAGCAACCCAACGGAAAATGTCTACCGATTAAATCTTGGTGGTATACCCTTGTACAGATGTCCTATCACACTTTACAGTCTTCATAGAAATTTACTAGAAATTCAATATAATAACAAATTGACCCTTAGACTTGTTCATAATAATTGATAAAATCAAGATGTTTCGACTGTTAAAAAATTATCTAACGGTTTCTGCAATTATGAGGTTAAACGTTAGCAGCATTATTTTAAATCCAATGTAGTATTGAATTATGTGAAATTGTCTATATTAAAATTCATTGAAATAGCATACTTGTAAAATACATGGAGTGCTGTATTGGATTCTATAGAGAAGAACAGAAGTGACGAGAAGGAAAGAGAAGACACAGTCACAGGAGGGCAGACAGGCGCCAGTGCTGTTGGCCAGGCGCCAGTGCAGTAATCGTCCTTCCTTGCAAAGCCTTGTCCCACGGACTTGTCTACTCCTGGTAGAAGTGGCCACTACTCGCCGGTGCATGAGTATCCTGGCATAGAGTCTATCCAGCCGGCACTTGGAGGCGCCTGTCGTCTTGCCTCTGCAAACTTAACCTCAAATTCAGTCCCCGTACCAAGGAGCTATTACTCAACTTCGTGCCATATCGCGACCTCCATAGACATGAAAACTGTATACTTGATCATCCATGGGATAATGACATTTCATACTAGGGTATGTCCGTTAACTCTGTGAAGTGGCATCTTAATTGCGTTTGTCATTAACTATCCTTTTTGGATTAAGGGATTTAAACATAGGTACAGGTATAAAGTACGTACCTAGTTATACGTAGGTAAATAGTCTTTTTCTTGACTAAAAGTGTAGCGCGATTTTTTTCAGTATTCTTTTTAGTCACTGAGTAACGTAGTCATTCGACGTCAGTGCTGTTCGAAGGTGATAACCGTGCTTTAGTTGGTTCCTTATGATTTTCACTGAAGAAAGCCATTTCCTTGCGTACTCGGTAACTATTTTGGGCACAAGACTGTAGAGATCCTTGGGTCTTGGCTCAGGGCCTGAGGAAGCTTGCAATTATGTACGTAAACAAAAGTCCAAAGTGAAGATTGACTTTTCGGACTTGACTTACGGATTAGCTGAGTTTGAAATGTTTACGTAGTGGAGGGGCGTAGCATCGTGTCGATAAGATCAAAGGATTGCAGCCTCTGGAAGTTCCCTGTCCTGATCCTTTTTCTCTTTTCTCTCTCTTTCTGAAGTCCAGACTGACGCAGTCCGGCCGCTACGCATCCCGTAAAACTTACTACGTGCGGTCCTACAAAATGACAAGGGATTTTTGTTTATTATTACAAGGATTTCTTGTATCTTTCCCGTCGGGTAGAAAAAGAAATGTGCATTGACAGATAAGAAGAAATATGGCAATCAGCGAATACTTAATAACCTACCCAATAAATAATGCGTCGGCGTGTGCTTCGTGATAAGCTGATTACTCTTATCACTGAGCGGCACGATTCGAGTATCGTCGCGTGTCCTGAAGAAGCCAGATGCTTCATGGAACAGATTCAGGCTCATAGGCGTGTCCATGCGCAGAGATAAATAGAGCACGTTGCCTCATGTGGGATGCAGTATTATCCAAATCAGAATATTATCATTGGCATCATATGCAGTTTTGGGCTCATTCAAAATCCTAACCTTAAATTTTATGTACGGTAATAAGAAAAATGGAATTGCATCGTTCTATTATTTTTTTTTATAATTACAAATTTTCTTTTTCTTTCAGCCGCATGTTTCCCTCAGTTCAATTGGTTATCCGTGGCTTAGAGCGTCGCGCGCGTTACTGCCTATTACTGGAGGTGGCACCGGCGTCTCGACGTCGCCATAAATACGTCGGTGGAGGCGGAGAAAATGGTGGCAACCCCTGCGCAAGGGGATGGACCTCAGCAGGCCCAGCAGAACCCCAGCCACGCATTAATCGCAGGGTATACCTACATCCCGACAGTCCAGCTACCGGTGCCCACTGGATGCAGCATCCAGTGAGCTTCAGCAAGCTGAAGCTCACGAACAACGCCGTAGATCATCACAATAACGTGAGTGCTTTTCTTAGAGCTTGACGAATGATGCATGCGCTTCGACGAAAAAAAACAAGTGGTTCCATTACCAGGGCGTTAATAGAGCCGATAAAAAAAAAGTATAAGGAAGAAGAAGAAAAAATGAAGTACTGCCTTCCCTCGGGATAATAACACTTCCTGGGAATGATAGGGTAACTCCTCCGTGGGGACTCTCTCTATAAGTCTCACACGCAAATCAGTGGCGGGCCCATTTATCTGAGAGACTCTTGTTTGGACAGCTTCTTTTCTCTAGGTGCTTTACCGGGGTTCGGATTACAGTCGAAACATGCCCGACATATTCTGAGCATGGGAGGTCGCCACACACGGGTTTCTATTATTTTTTGAATTTTCTTTTTCCTCTCTCGTTGGTACCTAGTAGCCATATAGCTATTACGAACGTATCTGTCACTCTACTAATTTTTTTGAGATTAGATTATTACCGGGATATAGGGATACCATTTTGGATTATATTGTTAAACTATAACTTTGGTATATTATTATTATTATTGTTGTTGTCGCCTGGAACCAGAATCGTTACGTCATTTTGAAGGGATAAAATGAGGGGTAGAATGGAATGCAATGAAGCTTTAAGATATACTTCCTTCGTGGATCCACACTGCGACGGCGTGATGGTGGAGGCTATTGGGTCAGTTTTCCCGGTACCCTGAAATATTTAAACGAACAGAGGCGCCGCGGAACTATGGCGGCAATCCCGAGAAATATTTATTACGTAGACAGGATCTTATCGAGGTATAGCGGGGAGCAGAGAACATTTCTTTACAACGGAAAGTAACAAATGTCGTTTCGCCGCGTGATAAGATTCTTTTTTTTTTACATTTTTTTTCGTCTTCGTACCAACATCCCCACTTCTCGCCTTCTATTGGAAGGAGCATAGAGAAGTGGAAGTTTGAAGCCGAAGAACGGGAGACCGCCCGCGTGTCTATTTCCACGTAGACGCTACCGCTGAAAACAGACTCGGCCCACGTTCACGTCTCTTTATCTGACAATGCATTAGGGCTACCGTTAGCCACTACCGAGTAGATAAGAAAACCTTCAGACACTTTTGTCGCCGGTTTTTACCTTCTCCCAAGCACACTCTACCGTCTGGTCTATTAATTTGACCCGCGCATCACTTTTCGAAACTCGGTGGCATTCGTAATTATACGAGGCTGACGATTCTAACGTGATTATGCATACTTCGACTAGAGTCCCGTGTTCCGACATAAGCTTTCGGTACTGTGAAAATGCTGTCGCTTTAGAGTTAACGTATTGACGTCATTTTCACAGTACTGACAGCTTATATCGGAACACAGGGTAGGACGCGCTGTAAGTTTATGTAGATGGCGCGCGTTATGGTTGGCGCGCTTTTTGAATGTTTCTATGTGCGAAGTGAGAATATTATTTGACGGGTAAAAGAGAATTTGAAAAGAAGGGTCTTAAGTATGGTAATGTATAAGCTCCTCGTGCTATTCTGGGATGGGGCCTTACACGGGTATAGTAAGATCGTGTATTGTATTGTTATAATGGAGATTAACGCGCTTGAAAGGACTCTGTAATAGATATACCTAGGTGGCTACTGGCGTCCTTTACACTTAGGGTTTTTCATTTTTACGGGGACTACCGTACATTCCCAGCTGTTGGTACTACCTTGCCAATTAATATAAGCCGGAGTCGTGGTGAGCCCTAAGGGCTTGTGGTTTTGCCTGTAACACGAGACGACCTGGACATTTCTTAAAGCTTTCTTTAAGAGATCTAGATATATAGATATACAAGCGTCTATACGTTGCACATAAAATAGTATAGGAAGAATAAAAAGTGTTTCAATAAAGTCAATTCCAGGAAGGGAGACCAAGTCCAGTCTGGATTTTAAGAATCGCGTCTGTCCCTTGATCGTAATGCTCTTTAAAAAGGCGCCCATCTTATCTAGAGCGGTGCCCTTGATGATGAATTCCACAAACTAATTATGATTTTAATAAAAAATATATATATATACTGGCAACCCTTTTTCTCTTGTGTCAGGGCATATATGTAGTTACTGCAGTTTTATCTGAAATCTTCTTCCTGGTCTCTATAAAGACACTCTAATGTCTTGATTCTTTTTTCTGTTTTATAGGTGGTACTAACCTCCATGCACAAGTACATTCCGAAGATTTGGGTCATCCGGTGTGACGATGCTACCAGTTTGAATAATCTTTACTCCCAACCTGCTTCGTCCTTTACTTTCGATGAAACAGAATTTATAGCTGTAACTGCTTACCAGGTGAGTAATAAAGATTGCCATCTTTATAGACTCTTTTTATATTCACTTTTTGAATGTCTTTTACACGGAATCATATTTCTTACTGTATTCTTTTTTTTTTCTAGAACGAAAATATAACCAAGTTGAAGATTGACAATAATCCCTTCGCTAAAGGTTTTCGGGAGACTGGACAGTCTCGTTGTAAAAGAAAATTACATCACGTGACCTCTAGCGATTCCGGCCTTGATTCGAGCCAGGAACACTGTGCGGCGGATGACGAGGAGGAAAATAATTCTTCTTCGGAATCAGAGTCGAATAGGATTCAACGGCCTTCAGAATGCGAGGGTCAAAGGTTAAAGAGAGCCTTCAGCGAGACTGGAAGCTTTGACGACAGCGGCGTCAGTAGTTCAGGCGGTGCGAGTCCACCTCTTCCGTCGGCAAGCATCAATCCTTGTCCCAGGATTGAAAATCATAATCCTACGCCACGTCTTCACAGACCCTGGTCAGATTCACCACCACCGGTACAACAGACGCCAGAACCTAAACCCTTACACGCACCGTTACCTACGCACTTTCAACTCTTACATCCTTTTGTATTTCCGTCTCATCACTTGACAGCTTTAGAATTTGCCAGGATTCATCAGATGCATCGTTATCAGGCTGCTGGATATTTATCGAAATTCTATCCTTAAATACTTTTTTTTATGTCTAGCACTTAAGCATTATTTCCTATAAGTAAGGCTAGTGAAATTTGATTTCATTGCAACCCACCCACTCTTACCACTCTCGTTTTATTTTAAGTATTGTATATTTACCGCGCATAGTTCCTTTTATTTTTGAAGTGTTCAATAGTTTTTAATATTCTTTTATTTTGTAATATTTGTATAGGATTAAACTATTATTTTATCATACTTCTAAATATTGTTAATTCTCGTCGACTCTCTGTCTGTCAAAACTTCCATGTTAGGCATTGGTGTCTATCAGGTTGCATATTATGTAGGCGTATAAAGTTTGCCATTATTGGATATATTCTTCAGTTAGGGTCAAGTATCGGGATTACATATAATTTTTATGATACTCGTTACAAGTAAATTACTATACTTAAAGCTCAAAATTTTTATATGAATTGACTATAGAATTTTTATAAGAAATCGGCTGTAACAATACAGAATATCTGTACAATAATTATCTGTAACAATACAGATTTTATACGTTGCCTTTAAATGTACTCCACTTTATATTAATGACATTAACAAATAATACGTCTCCCAACTCAGCAATTATAATTGATAATTACGTGCTCGCACGTATATTGTAAAAATTAGGATAACTGTATAAGATTGTTATTTAAATAATAGTTTAAAAGACTGGAAGGTTTTTATGTTTTATATTACAACGTTACAATAAATTACATTTTACATAAGAAAACTATAAAAATGTCTCATCAATTAATTTCCTCATTCTATTCCACAATGCTTTGATTATAATCAATTCATATCGCATGTACCAAGTATTACTTAAGTAGCACAGGAGTCAGTGTCAATTAACAGTTGTAGCTACACATGTTACTCTCAGTCTGTTTTCAATTTCCCGTTTTAAAAGTGGGTATCGATGTTTCTTAAGAAGGCGCCACTTTGGATATGGGCGCCATCACTCTGTCCAGACCAGACAAATCCTGCTGGTTTAGCTGCCATTTACCTACATACAATACGAAACTGTCACAGCAGTTTGAAGTTGTCTCCACACTGAACCCGTAACTCGAAACCTGACGGTACAATGTCATTTATCAAATGGGAAAGACAAAAGTAGAAAAACTCGTACAAAATTTCAATGAATCATCTATACCAGGCTATGTATGCTATTTTTATGGCGTCACTTATTAGCATCATATTACAATAATCGCAAGTCAAAAGAGTATAGGTCTATAGCTAAGTTTCTCTGTGCTCAAAAATCTCAGCTATGTGAAAGAAAGCAGAAGTCTCTTGGAGCACTTTGAAAGATAGGACAGTGTGCTTTCACTTTAGTGGCTCGGCAAGGAGATGTCTACGTGGGTGGACCCCGGTGCCAAATCCCTAATAAGTTTTGTCGCAAGGACGACGCCTGCTCGGTCTTGCGTTTAAAACGGCGCCTTTCGGCGTCGAGTGGTGTCGCCAGTTAGGACGATTAGTCGTGACCGTCTATTGGCGTCTCTATAGTTTGTCAGTTGACTTTTTCATCTTTTTTTTGTCTCCTCTCCTCTTCACTCTTATTATACAAAACTATATCAAGTCAATTTGTTACCTATAAACGATACAAATGGAAATAAGTTTGACACTTATGGAAAAAATATTTATTTATAACAAAGAAATTTCTGTCATAGAAGTGTCATTTAAAAATACTGATACCTGAAAATAAGTACAAAAGAACTAAAAAAAATTACGGCTGCTTTCTTGAACTCTTTTATGGAACACTTAACGGTACCGCAATCCGTTATTACCGATGCAAGATTTTCCTGAACAGGTACATATGCTGAATGTAAATCGACCTCACCTTGTTACAAGAAGTGTTTGCAACGAATGAAAATTATTTACTGTGTATAGTCTATATTTTCTGATCACGAATTATCAAAGTAACTGATGAGATCATTAATTCACATCACAATGCTTATAGAATAATTCATATGAAATTTAAATGACGCAATGGAGTATCGGACATCGACTGGTCTCAAAATGGCGAAGCAGGTCTAACGAGGTGATACAGTACAATGACCGTAGATAATCGATATTACAGATTAATTGTCGTATAAATATTTCAAAATATTTCTAAGATTTTTTGTTACAAACAAAATTGAACTTTATTACTCTCTCTTGGCACATCAGTTACACTCTGTTACAGCATGTAATATATATCATGTCTATACATGTGATTACGTTAACTGAAACAAACTGTATATATATATGTTTAATTTAAGATTTATAGATACACCGATTAAAGGACATATCTTTAGTAAGTGTAACTTTAACCCTGATATCTGTCTTCAAATAATACTTAAACACAGCATCTTTTGTCTCCTCGATTTTTTAAATATTTCGGACAATAAGGAGGATCGTAACTAGTCAGACAGAAGGATCCTCTGGCGCCATTTGGAGTATGCTGTCCCATTATCAATACCTCTCCAGCCCTTGAAGATATCCTAGGTCCTGAAGGACATCTCCTAGAGCATGGTTCGGCCATCATATCGTTCCCGCCATCGATACTATGCGCCATGAAGCACACAACCCAGACATGACTGCAAAGTTGGGAATTAGATCGGTTTTCACAGAAGGGTTGAACCTTGCCGCCATTAACGCAAAAATCCACATGACCCACTCCGCCCATTTCACCATAATATCCAGCATTCGTATGGATAACTTCAACAAAATCTGCATCCCCACTGTCCAATCTATTCAACAATCCTGGCCTGATAAGTGGTCTGGCTGGATCCAGACCTATAATTCTGTTCATACGAAACAGTAAATAATTTGCCATTATTCCACATATATGAGCACCTAAAGAATGTCCCACGCAGGTAGTCCTGGGAATGGACAATCCCAAGTTCCTCAGAGTGGTAAGTGTCCCAGCAAGACATTTGGCAACAGGACGGAGATTTGCAACGGCTGCAGGGTAACAAGGTGCTGCACAAAGTGCACCCCAATCCACCATGAAGACGTTGTAGCTTCCATTCCTAATATACGCATCCCTCAGAACGGATATGGGTAGAGTATCGTCACCTCCAGCATAGCCATGGATTAATATAATGTTCTCACTCCTTGGATCATACTCTGCATGTCGTAACCAATCAGATTCGTGCACATCCAGCTTACGCTTTGGGTGTCCTGGACTGTAGAGAAATATATGAATGTCAGGATCCGGACAAGCATCTCTGTCGTTTCCTCGACGCCAGATACAATCGTCCTTATTGTAATCTGCAGCCGCGCCACTTTGTATAGCTTCCTGAATGGGTCCTCTGGCACCCCATGAGAACTGTATTAACGTAAGCACTACTGTCAAAGTCACTAAACTTCTCATGATTATTATCCGTGCAGATATTTAAGTTAAAAAAAACTGATACTCCTCACTCAAGCACGAACGCTCTTCTTCTAGACTCAATCAAAAATGTATTTCACTTTTATTCATGGCGGGCCGTGCTTTACCGTTTAACTTCCTCGCGGTACCGTTGGCTCCCCTTCTTTCGCGGCTGACTTCTCGTACATTCTGACGGGTGACACTTTTGGATGGGGATTCGAGCGTTCAAGGAGCTCCGCGAATAATTGATAATTATTATATTTGGATATCAAAGAACCGCATCTGTAGGATACCCTATCATACGGTACTGATATATGAGATTATGATTATGAGTATAAATCTTCCCTTTGTCTATTCTGTGTTCGAAATTCCAAACTCAGGTGAGAGTGTATAGGTTATTTTGACTAGGAGAAATTGTTTGTTGATACAGTTATTAGATATTCAGTTGCGTCAGGTTATCTTATGGTAATAGTAAAGTGGGCACAAAAATCATTAGTGCTTGCCACGGTGTTACACAAGAGAAGACCGTTTCGATCAACGATTACTTATATACGGAATGGAAGTCCCATTCTGAGCCTCGTAAAATTTAGAGACTCCATTTGGTATCTGACTTTCTAGGCTACTTGATTTCGCAAGATTCCAAAAAGACGGTAACAGGCCAGGGGGAAGGCCGTTCACGCATCCTCTGTGAGAGCACCGACGATTCCGCAAACATGGAATATTCTGAAATATCCAAGAAGCGAAAATATTCAACTGTCGTCTGAAGGTCGGTAGAATCATCATGTAAACGTGACAAGGTGTGCTCCCACGGAGGTCTTATTTTCAACTCTTTATGCGCCTTTCAAAAAGGCCGCCATTCGATATTACATTTTCATTTGTTGATTAGTAAATACGTTTTGGATGTATACTATGATCATTCTGTCAAAAGGGCTTCGCAGTATCACACCTTATCTCCTTTACTTCATGGGTAAAATTAGAATGTGTCTATAATACGACGGAAAAAAAATCTTGTCATAAGTAAATCATTATATAGATATCAATGGCCATAATAATAATATAATAATGCATCACAGGCGCTGACCTACTAGACAAAAAAGGTTAACGATTATTATAGCGATTGGCAAAACTACTGAAGGAGCCGGTCATTAAAGTGAAAGTGTACAGTGAAATTAAAAATGCCATAATGCTAAAAGCCTGAATGATTGATTATCATAATTGGATGAGATCGGTAATTGGATATTTGTTTCGGGACAACTGACTTTTGTCCCGCTTACATATACATTAACGTTTGTTGAATAATAAGATGTTTACAAGGAAGTAAGTAGAGGTGGGGACCTGTGGGTGTAAGCGGATAGTTGTAAGAAAGTTACGAAAGTGAAAAATTCTTAATATTTACTTGTTAATTTCGCCACTTTCGTTCAATAGACCCACAGACAACAAGACCATTTGTTCTGGACTTGAATTACGACCGGTGAATTCCGGTTGCCGCGGTCAAAATGCCAGTGACTCTTTACGTCACTTCCTTTTTGACTCATCCTGTAGGCGTCTTGCGATCTGTAATTCGTCTGACAACTCTTTAATTCTTGGTGATTCGTCTGATTTACGGTACGAGATTCCTGATAGGTTTAACGACGGTTAGCATTTGACGTTAATTGAAAAGACGATGGTTATTTTTATTATGCACTATAAAAGCAAAATATGCCTAGTGTCCTTTTTATAATATATAACTTACCCTCACCTATTATAACATAATATGACATAGTTGTTGTTAATCCTGGCACTTTATTTCATTCAACGTGTTGTGCGGAATTGTGGAATCATAGAGAATGTAACGGTTGTTTTTCTCGAAGGAAATTTGAATTTACATTAGACACTAAACATGTATTCACCTTCATGTATAGCGATAGCCAGATAGAATCAAGTGGAATTCATGAAGAATGAGTGGATAGTTACTTTTCTTCACACAGTAAAAAGTACAATGGCTATTGCGATTCCCGGGAGTGTCCCGGCCAGCACCAGTATTAACCTACCGCCTGACTTCATACTTTGGGAATTCCGAGGTAGTGACATGCAAATTGTAAAAGATAATAGAACTTTACTGATCGTGAAATGTAACTGGCCGTTTTAACGAACAGGCTCCATAGAGTGTGTCGTTAAACAAAATAACTTTAGTCGGATACGATTGAATCAAAGGATTGATGAATACGTAAGGTAGTATGTTGCACACAAAAGTATTTTATTTAAAATCATGGACTATAAAAGTTCACGAGAACATGAATTGAAGAATCATGAGTGACACTTGCGACTAAGTACGGGTGTACACGATGATGACTGTGATTAGATTATTATAACTCGGAGCACGTAATATTAGCACTTTAAGAGACGTAAAATTTTTGAGTGTGAAATATATGAATATGTATCTTGATATTATATCTATGTATATGGGAGAACAATGTATTTTGGTAACAGAACGTACGATTCTCGTATCAAATAGAGATTGTACTGTTTTTGGTTCTCGGTCAATGGCGGGTGGCTATTCTCCTCAATTAAACTTACGTTTATCTATTTTGTAATACAGAAACCTTTCGGCAAGGCTGCGTGTATATATCTGGAACACAGCATTTGTTCTCCCAACTTCTTTCCTTCATTCTTTCTTGATCTTTTTTTGTTTTTCCTTTCGTGGGTAACCGTCGCATAAATAGACACTCCAAGATCATGGATTCGTGCGTCGGGATTAACTTATTAAATACAATCGACACGTATAATACCTACACGAACAGCTATGTACACAAATAAATCAAATTGTCAGATAAACAACATTTGTGTCGTTTATTTCTGGCAAATGGTACTTTGCATACAATTGATCCCTTTAATTTACTGCCAAATTCTGTAGTCTCGAACTAACAGCGTTACCGATTTGCACCTTGTCCGCATCGCTTAGTTTCACGTTGTTTGATGACTGACCTAATCTTGCGCATGCTTTTTTGTGCATGAACCAATGGAGTCTTTGACATTCACGATCGCAATATTGCACAGCCTTACACTTGCTGCATTTCTTTGTTGCTTTCTCTTCGCCACATGTCACACAGACTTGTAGGTTATCCGAGAATCCTCGTTGACCGTTTATTGCTGCGGATACTACGGACACAGCTGATGGGGGATCTGATCCTGCGAGAGTGGCGACCATTTGACGGAAAATTGTACTCTCTCGGAAAGGAAATTCTCTCACTGCTTCTCTTAAAAAGGCTTCCTGGTATTCGGGATTCCCATCGGTCTTGCTACACTTTAGAAACTTTCGAACCAGCAGTTCCACAGCATCGGATTTTTTCTCTTCTGCTTCATCGTTTATTTTTTCTTTATCACTTCTCTCTGCTTTCATTGCTTCTTGGCGTTTTTGACACTTAATTATTTCGGCCGTTACACAACTGAGATAGTGATATTTGAATGCCATTACTTCATTTGTTTCTACACCTCGAGTCATTTCTCTGTGGCGCATTGCTTCCAAGACCTTTTGAACCTAAGAATTTAATATGACATATTACGTAAGAGCTGTGACAATCTTAATGTAATAGTAAGTGGGAGGGAGAATGTGTACCTTGACCAAATTTTCCAAGAGGCCAGGACATTTCTGAAGATTTATAGCAACTCGTACAGGATGAACATTAACTTCCATGATGAACTTATGGAAGGAATCTGCCAGGTGTGGTAGCAACATTGGTTCAGTTTGCAAACCCTGTGGTTTTATGTAATAATCTATGTCAGCCTTCGGGATGAAGTTGTTAATGGTTGCGACACAGTTGTGATTTCCCACAAATGCTGCCATTTGTGCAGGTGTGCGTCCTACACTGTTTGTAGCAGTTAATCGTGCACCGTAGGACATTAAGAGATGGCACAGTTCAGCATTACCACTTAAAGCAGCAAAATGCAGAGCTGTATAACCATGTTCATGCTGACATGAATTAACATCTGCACCCTGAAAAGAGAAGTGGTTACAGTTTTAATACAGAACAAGAAAGACCTTCGATAGTGATCTTTTGCAGATTCAAATGCACATAAATGATGAAATTGTAGTATTTTTCTACCAAAGATATAGAAATACGACAAAAATAGATCAAGACAACACATTATTATCTTCACTCCCAGTGAACGTATTGTTCTGTGATGAGTAATACATTGAAATATCGGCATCTTAACCTACCTGGTCTAGAAGCATCTGTACAATTTCCTTGTTTCCTTTATAGCAGGCATGTTGCAGTGGACTCATACCGTTCTCGTCGACGAAATCCATTTTCATTTTATTTGCCGTCAGCAGGGTTTTGAGTTCCGCCACCTCATTATTACTGATTTTCGTAAAAATCTCCTTCTGCAAATCCGTCAGAGACTCTGTGGCTGGCGCCATGTTGTTTAATGTCGGCTAATCGAATTTTCAAGAATCATCGACGACGGAACCTCAAAAAACCCACAATCACATACACTATAGAAATTGAATAAACAACAAGTACTAATTCTTCACTCATAAATTTTCGTTATAAATAATAGCCTAAGATTCTGTTGGTTAACCAATGCAAAGTAAACAACTACAGACACTTGGCTTCTGCGTACTACTAGATGCACAGTAATTGAGATGAGATATGATTATTATTAGTACCTATAAGTAAGTATTTCATTCAAGAAAGAATCTCTACTCATAGTCAAATATTTGCATCCGTATGGACCTTCCATACCGCGATATGGCATCCTGTATTAAATATCAATTTCATATGTATATTCTCATAACCAAATATCGCTTCATCCTATCTACTTACATACATACATATATTCTAGCTGCTAAAAATATAATTTCTCACAAGATTAACGAAAAAGTCACAGTAGTCATGCTATCTATTTGTTACACCCAAGTCAATCAATTCAAAAATTATTCTTAATTTCTAACTTTAATCAATTAGATAACGTCCACTTGCCATGAATTCCTATATACACAAAGAGAAAACTCATCTGTAATAAATTCATCCTAAAACATTTAAAAAAGAATACGTTATTCATATTTAAGGTGAACACATTCCTATACACAATTTACTAATAATCACTTCTCATTCGAGTATAATTGCGACTGCGTCGCGTAAATGGTACAAGTCAAAGCATATTACTGGTATTACTGAATTGAAACTTCTCACGCGACCGGGCATTCGTGAGAATTAGGTAAACACAGTGTAGGCGTCTATTAAGTACTTTGTCACTGAACGACTTGGCACCATTAGAACAGCAGTCAACTTTATATTACCTCATGTACTCATTAGAAGCGTTAAAGAAATTATTATAGAGCAAATTTAAAATTTTAAAAACCAAGTAAAGATCCTTAATCAGTAATGAAACATTGGTATTTTATTATAAAGAAACAAATTTTATTCGACAAAACCATCTTTACACAGGTGACACTTCTACGTGTAAAAGGATAATTTTTTAAAGCAGTAACTATAGTTCACAAACAGGAGAAAAATCAATATCCATTTACTCTTATAAACTCTGTGAAATCTCCATGACGTACAATAAATTAATCCTTCAATATGGCTCTTGAAGGATAATGAACGTCAGGCTGATAATAATAATCGTATAATAATAATAATAACAAGCCTATTATCCTTTAACAATAAGTACTACTACAATACGTGTAAACGGCAACTGACATATGCATGTACATACGTAGACATTATAATAATATATTATATTTTAACCAGCCGTTCTTATCTTGTCATTTCTTATTATCTTACGTTACTAATTCATTAATACTAACAACAAGGCCTGAACTGCTACCTATGGCTGTGGCTGCAGTTCAGATGCGATGTACAAAATATATATTTTATTAGTCAACAACCAGCTATACAATATATCTAACTCATGTTACTATAAGATAATGTATACGACAAATTCTACGTTATACTTCCAACACGATATAATTAATGATATACTTTAGTACATGTCATCTTTTCATTGCCTAACATCAGTGTATCGTAATTATTGCGCAAGAGTCAGCGACTGTACAATCGCACAGATCTTATTATTACATTCCCTAATAAAGCGCAGGATTTTTATATCTTTCTATATATATAGACTTTTAAACTATATTTATTAATATGATAATTTTCAGGAGAGATCAATTCGCGACTTTAATGTTCAGCATGGAATGTCACCATTGCTAGTATCCAGAGAGGTAGAACAGTAATACAGAAGGCTATTATTAGAAGCCTCATTCATTTATATAGATTAGAATGATGATATAGAAGGAAGACAACTTTGATGATTAACCATTAAACGATAAGTATTGTATAGGCTGTTAGGTTATTCCCGATAAGTAAAATCTTGACTTAATCCTGATTAAGTTGAGATTGGATTTACTTATGGATAAATAATTTTTTTTTCCATTACTGTACGATTAGATTTTTTCCATACTCTGATAAGACGCACCTGTCGCCATTTAGTCTGATCTAATAATTATCTTCCGTCGTTAGATACTTTACAGACTGTTTTACAGTTATCTGGCGGTTACAATTCGTGTATAGTCCACACAGCAAGTATACCCAGACGCAGATTGTTGGGCCTGGGTGAAATATGTAGTAGAGTAATTGAATGATAATTAAAAAGTATATGTAATTCCATTGTTTAGTCACGACACATTCATTCGATCCTTATGAATTGTTTTCTCTCTGTTACCGTTTGTAATCTTTATAGGAATATTCATTAGATTTTCAATTGTCAACTTTGCACAGCTTTCTTTGCTCGTAACACACTACATGAGAATATAGTATTAGTTTTCTCATGAACTCAAGAGATAATTATTTTAGGAATTTTTAAATAACTACAGTAACTACATGACTACTTTTCTACTAAAGCCTTTACCTAATCGAACAGTCATTTTCAGATTATCTTAAATTCTAATGACTAGTTCCGTCTAAGACAACTTATAAAGCGATAACTAAATTCCCAATTACTTTCTAATTTTTTCTAGGCTATTTGTTTACTGTTCCACCTGAAACCTGCCGACGCTCAATGCGATCATGTATACTTATTTACACACAGAGTATGTCTATGTAAAGTAATATGGGTTATTACCTCGTTTACCTCAATCTCATTAGGATACGTCTACAATTGGCGATTCTAATATACAGTATGATTTTTGGTTTTTTAAATATATTACGGAAACTACTCGTACCGCACAGTAAACATTTAACTAGCGAGAGATGCATACGATTAGACTTTTTACAGGAATGACATAAGAGGAAGAGCTAATCGTCATGGAGTTATACTTTTATACGGTCTTTTGCTGTTTTCTAAATGCGATAAATAATTCTAGTGCAGTCGTCCATCATTAACGATTCTTCGTTGTTACAAAATAAAATTAAAAAATCAATTCCTTAACATAAGTAAACTTGAAATCTAGCTCCATGTAGGACCACAACGCTGTTTTCCTAGACCGGTTCAGGTGGTGGATCGCCATTAACGCTTTCACACTCTTGAATCGTCACTTCCGTTTGTTCCTTCGTTACTTCCGGGTGCTCCTTGGTGACATCAAGTCCTTCAGCTCCCACGAAGCTTCTTCTAACTGCTCCATTCGCTGTTGAAGACACTGTCGACCTCTGTTGAGTATCTCTCCAAGGTGTTGTTAGAATTTTCATCCTCTATGAGAAAAAATTGAATGAAATTCAGTTCATAAATTATTTCTGAACAATGTTCAAGATTGCAATAACTAAGCTGATTACCTCAACGAATGTACCGGGTGTTACTATGATCTTGTAAATGGCTACCCCGGGAATCATAGCCACTGATGATGTCGCAATTAACCAACCTAGGACATTTGCCCATAGAGGATATACGTAATCCTCGTATGATAAAGGTTCGTAGCCCATTAAACCATAAACGATAATAAACTAAAACGTAAATATGATATTAATAGTAATAGAAGATAAGTCGAGTATTTTATATCGAATTCAGATTTACCATGATGAAGATAGGCGCTACAAATTTCCAGCAAACGCGCCAATAAACTCCAGGAGAGAAACCAATCATGTCTTTAATATCCGCACAGAAGCGATCAGCTCCATAAATCCAACTGACAGCAATAGCCTCAGCCAAAACAGCGAAGAGCATTGAATAACCAGCAGCATATCGGTCGAGTAGATGAAAGAAATAAAAGCCACCCTAAGAAAAAGAGGTACAGTTCAAATCCATATTAAATATTGTTGTATAAATTCTTTTTCACTAGAGAAATCATTTACCTGAGAACAAGACGCAAGACCAACTAAAAAATAGAGACTGAAAAGACAGGCGACGAAGATCTCACGATTTTTACCGATTACTGGAAACTCGTCACTCAATGCCGTAATAATTGCTTCGGAGCCACCGAACTGTAATGAGAATAAAATGTAAACAATTTTATATAAACAATTAATGTTTAGCTCTGCCACTACTACATACCGAACTGTCCAGACCAAGTGTGAGCAGCATCATAAAGAATATCAGTGCCCAAAACATAGATCCTGGCATGGTAGCAATAGCAGCAGGATAAACAATGAATACTAAACCAGGACCCTCTGTAGCTACGTCCTGAATAGATTTCCCACTGGCATGTGCCATGTAGCCAAGTACTGAGAAAATGACAAAACCAGCCACGAAGGAAGTGACACTGTTTATCACACTTGTCAACAGAGCATCCCTTCAAGATAAAGAGAAATAATGCATTTACATAAATATAAAGCTACACAGTATTCAAACAAGATGACTGTGTAACGTACTTGTATACATTATTGTGATACTTATTGTAGCTGGCATAAGCAAGTAAAACACCAAATCCAGGACCCAGGGAAAAGAATACCTGCGTAGCTGCATCTACCCAGACCTGTTTTTTTTTTGGAATATAAGAAAAATTTAACGAATCACCAAGGATTATCTGAATACGTGTTACACATATGCGAAAGTAGTGTAGCCAGTAAGTAATTTTCAACAGAAGTGGTAAGTTAATCTGTGGTTTCAGAATGTGGTATCCCAACTAAAACGCAATGCACGTACGAATAGAGAGGGTTGAGAATACACGTCCCAATCTCTAATGGCCATTATGACAGCTACATAGAGTTTCCATTTTCACGAGGGGGTTCGCCCTTTTTCTCTTAGCCGTAGCTATAACGTCCATTCTTATCCCCCTACGAGTTTTTCCTTTACCCTCTTTGCCAGCGCAGTCCGATCGCACATGATGCATTAGCGTGACTGTGATATTTCTTTTTTGTTATACTAGACCCTCCAATATAATTCAATTGTAAAGATTGTAACACGTTTGATTACTAATTAATTCAAGCATCTCTCCAATCTGTTTTGCAATATAGATAAAGAAATTATTACCTCGGCCTTTGTAATTGCTGAAAAATTGGGACTCAAGTAATATCGTATTCCTTCGTCGCTTCCAGGCAGAGTGACACCGCGTACCAGTAAAATAAGTAAAACAGCATAAGGAAACAGTGCAGTGAACCAAACGACCTAGGACAAGAAATAAAGCAATATTGGTAAGAATCGTCTTTTGGATGAATAAGCAAGACTCACTTTTCCTGACGTAGAGATTCCTTTCCACAGAGAAAAATAGCAAATGAGGTAAACCACGAAGAGGCACAATGCTATGTCCCACTTGACAGCACCGAGATCATGTAAACCGCCACTCTCGTGTAACTCGAGGATGGCTCGACTGCGGATGAGTATATTAAAATTTTATTTTATTAATCAACAACCTAATAACTTTTAAGCTTACTTGAAGTATTCCTGAGCAGCGCTGGTATATTTAGTACTGTTATCAATACCATAAGGATCGACAAAACTTTCCAGATGATTTTGCGACCAATTAGCCAAATTTTCAAGGGACGAAAAGCCCCAGCCTTCCACGTAGGAGACGTTTACATCGAATTCACGACATCGTGGCGTGTTCCAGGAATTGTTACACGTTGTCCATGGTAACATACCCGAGAAGGATGCAAAGAAATATCTCAATGCCCAGGCGATAATGACGTTATAGTAAAAATCGACGTAGAACGCGATCAATACCACTGCGTAACCAATTCCTGTAACGAAGTCAATCGTATAATTAATTTTAAAGTAGTAAGCAAAGGTAGGTATAACAGAAAGAAAAAAGTCATGTATAGAACGTTCAAGATAAATAATCCTCCTTGATCGGCTTTGCCAAGATCTTCGTGAACGTCGAGGATTTGAAATGAAGCTTGAAATCTACGGAAATGGGCGACCCTTCGTGATCTTCCACTCGTGGAAGATTCGACCCTATCCTTGTACATATATACATTATACATCACGTATGTACAACATTTATGCCCAGCAGTGAACAAAATTTTAGAAATTTGACGTGAGTGCCGCTGCTTTATGGTCAGCAATAGTGTCCTTGTGCATAAAAATCTTTCAGAACCAAAGTAGCATTCGTCCCCGTACTCGCTAGTGCGTATCTGAATATGTACTGAAAAATGTCCCTTTGAATATATATATATATATATATAAAAGCATAATATATACATATATATATATACACACACACAATACTTTAATATATAATACGTATACGTGGTCTCTGGACCAAACCGAACAATTGTCCTTAAGTGACTGCGGGGAGATGATAAAAGAAAGGAAAAGAGTGAAAAGTGAGTGGTACTATCCCTCCACCAGAATACCAATGCTCCGCGAAGCTGAAATACAATAAAAATAAAATAGCCACTCTCGACCCTTCGCTTGTGGATTTAAGGGATTTATCCTAAGAGCAGATTGTCCTCTGACTAGTATTTACGTCCAGACATCAGTGACGACTGTTAAGGATTCACCTTTTTTTTTATATTTTCAGTACCTTTAAGAAGGGGTACCAATCGACCCCAGCAAGTGATGGCGCCTTTCCTGTTGAATTGACCCAGGGCAAGTTCCATGTAAAACAAAGGTATCCCTCCGACTACCAACATCACGCAGTAAGGAACAAGAAAAGCACCTAGAAGAAAAAAAAAATTAAAGATGAAATATGCTCCCAGCACGATGCAATGCATTTTTGACCAAATACACTTTGCGGGTTCAATAGAAAGAGAAAGAGGATACTAAAACCGCTAAAAACTCCTAAAGTCCTAAACTCCCAACTACCCTCTGAGAGTCTCTCGTTATTTCTGAAAAGCAAGAGGGTGTCGCCATTGTATGGAAAAAGAGGGTTGGTAATTGTAGCAGTCGACAGTCACCCTCCCCACAAGAAATTCTCCAACAGAATAACCAGGGAGAACGAAGCGTCGCGACGCATTCGTATTTGACGGAACAATTTGCCGTCGGAGCTTTTTAAGAGTGCGAGTGCCAAATGCTTTTAGAATTCATCCCGTGCTTTGAATTTCTTATCGGACTTTCTCCTTGCACATGAGAAAATGGCTTTTACGGTAAGAAATTCAGTAACTCCTCTGTGACAATTGGCAATAAATAATTGTTCACTTTGTCCACTATCCGTAAATACACGTTTTCGTTCTCTTTCTTTTTCTTTCCCTGTCTCTATTTTTTTAGCCATCTACGATTCATCGAGCCTGATACTAATGTTGGACTTGGCTACGGTGGACGAATATGGGATACGCAGCATGCAAACGACCATAGCACTTTCAATAGAATTTATCCAGTGCACTCTCCTACATATTTATGATAGGATATGCTTTTAACGGGACGTAATTCGATTACAAAGTTCGACAAGTACGCAAGGCCATTATTATATTACGAAAGACTCGCGGGTCAATTGGCCATAGGTACTGCTGATGAATAGTCACTGTCGAACGGCCTTCTTTCATTCCTACTGCTTGACGTTTACGGCACATCCACCGAATCTTAGAACACTTCAATTAAATTAACTGACCTAAACTAGACGCACAATTACTTCAATAACCGTGAACACTGCGAAATTAACAATAGGATGAGTGCAGTGAATATTTAGGTCGTATTACACTATTATGGAAATTCTTTGATACGTCATAGAAGAATTTGTTATTTTTCTTAATAATCATACAGTGCACAAGCAGAATTATGTGGAAGTCAAGTCTGGAAAATTTTCATTCAAGGGCGGTAGGACGAAACTTGGAGTAGATGGATATAATTATCTATAAAATGTTATATATCTATATTGTACTTTAAGGAACAAATGCGGGAACGGAAGGCTGTAAAGATGGACGGAATTTCGCAAGACGTAATTGCTTTCTAATCTCTTGAGAGAGAGAGCCCTCGACTGGAAGATCATCCTCGAGATTCCTTCCTCCCTTGATTCTCCATGATGCTCGAGTAAATCAGTCTAATTTGCCAGGGCGAGAGCTTATTAGCGATAGCGCTGAGGAAAGTGGTATTTTTAAGATTTCAAATTCACTTAGGCTATGCCTATAGATAGTCTGCAACTAAATCTTGTATAATTAAGAGAAATTATGTCTAGCAGATACAATGGTAATAACACTTTAGAAAAATGGCTAATAAATGTATGCAGCCGTTTGTGAACGGATTAAACTTCATCGCAAACCATCAAAAATAAGAGAGATGATGATCGCAAAGGAGAATCCCAAGAAATAGATGGAGCATCCGAGTGATTCACTGGATAATCCAAAGAATTTCCAAGGGATCAACAGGTTCTGGCCTCGACTACTACATAGAATTCGTCTTGGACCGTCTTACCAGAAGTTCTCAGCCAGATCCTTAAGACAGAACATTATAGAAAGGAAGGTATAAGAGTCATCAAAAAGGAAGATGATTTTCTTTGATCGTCGCCATGGATACTGATCCGGCATAATCGCATTAGGTTGGATATTGTCTATTGACTTATTGATTAAATTCTTATGACGAATTCTTTCCCGTTCGTATGCCTTGCAAAAGACCTTTACAATAATTCACCATCTATTTCACAGTCGCCTTCCATTTCCATTACTTTTGGTATACGATCCTCTAAAAGGTTCCTTTTGAACCTCATAGACTCGATTATCATGGCTTACAAAGACTCACTGCTATATTCCCAACGTCGCTGGCAAACATCCGCTCCTGAATGGCTCATCCGGTCAATTTCTTTGGCATACGCGTGGCGAGTAAACCTCGAAATTACCTTTGTAGTAATACCATAAGTAGATATAAATAATAGAAATACAAACAAACTAATTAATAATAGATTTTCCAAATTTACAAATATTCAACTGAAATTCTTTAATGTCATTTTTATATAAAAATAATATTGATAAATCGGTACAATAGACTCGTTTCGCGTTAACCATTATACTATATGCATCCTCGTGGTACTACTGTCCATGATCAAAGGTGTCCCGAATAGGAAATTACGATTACTTAAGGTAATTGGTAATTAGCGACCGATCTTGCCCGTCCTAATGGCGCTGTGCGCTTCGCTACTAGCTCTGCCATCCTCTCTACACTTAATTGTGTTAGCAGCCGCTTTTGAGAAGCTTCTGTATCACTGACAGCCAGTCCTAATCATATTCCTACAACCCTTGATAGAGAACTAATGGCATCGACGTCGATGGTTTTACACCGAAGGTGGTACGCATTGCAATTTTCATTGTCCACAATCGATAAATCAAATTGATTTATATAAATATATTTAACATGAAAAATTATACCAACATGTACATATTTCCTACAAATAATTCAAATGGCAACTACGCGTAAATCGTAACCTTGAAGTTCCGTTTAATAATGGTGACGAAATTGTATCTTAATTCCGAATTTGAAATTTAAAGATCATTTTCTACGAAGGCTAAATGACAATTAACACTCTAATTAACGTTTTATTATCCGCAGCGCACTAATATTACTCAAGCTTACACTCTCAGTACATCAGCTAAGCTCGGATGGAAATAATGGTTCATGGATACGAGGCGCTGACGAGGTTAGCTCTCCATTTGGAAGAAAAAAAAGGTTCCTCGACATATTCAATCTTTTTTTTTTTGTTATCCATTCAGCCTGGTAGAGCTTTTCAGCTCTTTCCGGTCGATCTCCAGCACTTTTCCCCATGGAGAGGAGAGAAATAAGGAAGCGTCAGAAATCTTTACGTGACAGGACGGCTGGGGACACAAGCTCTTCGTTGGAAAGTAGTCAAAATCAAAATAATCTCAAACAAAAAGAAAAAGAAAAAAAGAAAATTCTGCACAACATAATATCCTATAGTTAACACTCAGTCGATAATTATTGCGTGATTATATTTTCAACATAAAACTTACCACCTCCATTTTTGTAACATAGATATGGAAATCGCCATACGTTCGCAAGATCGACAGCAAATCCAATAACTGAGAGAAGAAAATCGACTTTTCCAGACCAAGTTTCACGTCTCTCGGTGTTCGCATCAACCCCTCCCGGAGTTGAAGTCTTTACAACCCTCGATGGCATCATCCCTTTCAACAACCTGGAACTATCAACATCATAATAGATACACATGCATATTTCTTGCAAAAGAGAAATAAAGAAAGGAAAATATTAAAATGGCAAAAATATAAAAATACGAGGATCAACCCCACAAGCGGGGTTAAATATCGCGGGGCATAACGCGTGCTCGCGCAACCCTTATATCTACAATCGCATAGATACGATTGCCGGAGGTATTAGCCAGGAGAGCGATGTGTGTAATTTGGTGACGACAAGTTATGGATAGCCCTTCACACATCAGCACTCACCCCTAACGAGCTCATTGTGCTTGGTGACGGGCACCGGTCAAACAGCATTATTTCAAAGGCGATATAACAGCCTGATCTGAGGGGTCCTTCACGAGGGGTTTTCTGTCACATGCACGATCCTGCATTTATAGAATCGAAGGTTAATTATTATTCGGCAATACGTGTACTGACTGTACCTATATGTATATATATATACATTTTTTTTCATTTTTATTATCAACGTCATTAGCCGACGTAAGACTGCTCCTTGGACTTTCTTTTGAAATCGATTTTTTTGGGGTTGGTGTAAACGGATATATTATTTCTGTATCAATAGATAGAGCGTTCAAGTACATTTGATGAGCTTTGTCAAGTTTATAATAAACTTGTTAAAGACTTATTATTTTCTAAAATTACACATGTGAATACTATGGAATTCAACTAATAGAATCGAGATTTTATTGTACTTAAGTGGGTTCATCATAAAAAGAAATACTGAGGCCCATTTTCTTCAACGCGGTTCAATGCAGAAGCTCCGTTTACCTTGAAAATAAGAGTGTTTCATTGGCTAATAGCACAGTTAAACCGAGTTTATGCATTAAATCGCGTCGAAGAAAGCTGGCGTAAGTTAATTATAATTATTGGTGTGGAATATTCTCAACTGGGTGCTTTAGAATAATTATTAATTATATGCGTAAGAATGTTTTGTTGCTTTTACTTTACACGAAGCAATAATTGTATTTGAATTGAATAATTCTATCTAAAATAATTTTTTCTCATACTTATCAGTTATTAATAGATTAATAATTATTTTCCTTTACTGTAAGCCTTGAATTATTATTAGAATTCAAGATGCAGTGCAATGCAACCTTTATTTGGTATAAGTAAGATATAGCTCGTTAGTTTAAATATGGATTCACTTACTAGATCGAGTTAATGAACGCCGTTGACGTCGCAGCAAGTTAACATATCACGAAACTGCCAGAAATTTTCTCTCCAAACAAAATCGGCAACGAGAACACGCCACAGAGTAAGAATAATTTCAAAACTGGTATCCGTCATACCCATGCCCACCGTAATGTTCAAATAAAATCACTTAATCAATATAATATAGAATATATATTAATCTAGTAACACTGTCTCACAATTGAAAGGTGTTTTAACGTTAATAAAAATATACCTATTAACTTACGTCACTTTACACCCTCATCGCGGATAGAGATATACGTGATGCAACGATATTATGAAAAAATCGCACTAACTACCTGATAGATTCACAAAATGACATTTGTATCATTGAGATAAGTCATAAATCTTATATTGCATGATTATATATTCTAAGGACATTGAATAAACGGATCTGCTCTCCACAATGTAGCGGCCTTAGGGCAATAGATAGGCTTTCTTTACTAGTAAAGTCAACAACAACTGAGGACTATACTATATTAACGTATCTCAATCTCTTCTAAGTGATGTTCGATATTAACACCGATGTGTACTGAATACGATTGAAGATTTCTAACGTCGTACACGGGCTTTCGGAACTCGACGCGAAAGTCTGAAGAAGCAAATGACAAATCTCTGCTATGGTCAGACGTATATACGCGCTGCCGTCACGTGGTACCACCGACTCGACCAATGAGAACGACGGAGAGCCTAGTACAGGCGCAACAATGCTTTTCGAATTAGGTCGCAATGTATATTATAAATTGAAGAAAATTTGTATCATTTCATGAGATTACAATTCAATATAACGATATATTTTAGAATTATCGAATAGAATATTAGAGTCCCAAAAATATATTCCGTACTCGGAGCATACTGCGAGTCTTCGTGAATAATTAACGTTATAACGCATAGAATAAATTATTAATATTATATGTCTTGGTAGATTTGAAAGTATAGTGAGACTAGGAATATTGCGTCAAGAATTTATCGTAAGTGGAACAAAGTTGGCTATATTTAATATGGAAAATGAGAAAATATTTCTATTCCTGGCAAATGATATTTAAACTAGCGATGAAAACGCGCGTCGTGTACGAAGCCACTTCGTGTTCGTCCATTGGTTCTCGGTGGGCCAGTTAGAATATAAAACGGACCAAAGAAATATGGCCGCTCCGTGGCGAATGTAAATACGATCGCATCGTCCAAATATTGTATCCGCATTCATCATTTGCACGTCAAGCAGGTATTTATGCACAATTGAACATGATCGAGTAGATTTAAATAGTGCTATTCCTGGTCCTAACAATATTACGAATTTAGTTAAAACGCGAAAACGGGGCGTATTCTCCTGCATCTTTATCCCTTCCTCTCTCTTTCTGTATTCTTCCTACGCTGTCAAAGTGACTGACAGATTTTTACAACTGCTGTCTACACAGAGCACAACGGTAACAGGCTCTTAGTCTCGTCTCATCATATCGTCATTACTCATTTACAGTTTATACATTCGTCTACTAATGTACTAATCCTGGTATTTCCATAGTGATTCCAATATAGCTTCATTCCCAAACTGAGTACAGAAATCGTGTCTTACGTCCTGCTGTATTTCTATATCGTGTTCTATATATGGAACAGTCAATCCCACTCGAACCGAACTGTTATTTTTTACGAATTAGAAATGTTCGGTGATGTCACATCTATGCTCAACAAACTTCCAGAAATAATTCTCTCATCAAGTTTTGTAATCTTGTAAAATTTCAATGCTTTCTTACAGAGTTTAAATCTATGTGATATTTATACTATGTAGTTATTTGCATATTTAAAGAATGTACAGTACTTGACTATAGCAAACACGAATTGCATAATACTTTCTGTCGGACAAATTATTTTACGCTACATCGTTATCTTATGTTGTGCCACGTTGCTTGTGATATTTAACAGAACAACGATGATCAAAATTTTTTTAATAGTCACATTATTTACGCCTTCCACTTATACATTTATCAATCAGCAATGTGTGTTAGTTATGATTTCCTCTCGATTTAGCGATTTCAATAACACGCAATATAAAACAGTAACATTTATCTTCTCTTTTATAGGGAGAGAAAAAATAAATATACTAAATAGAAAGTATAAAAATTGCATTACGTTTCGTTCCAATTTATTACGAAATATATTTCTTACTGTTTCAGTTAAACATTCAGAGTTGAAAGCAGTGCCTTGATTTTAACATGAGTGACAAAGGATTTGATCCATGCGAATGCATATGGAGCCATGAGCTGGCAATGCAGCGTCTCCTCTCGATTGTAAGTCCTTCATATGATTGTGCACTCTTTGATAATATCTATTCACATAAATTATCATTACAATCTGCATAATTAGAGTATGCCGTACGTGCGAGATGCGCATTGCGCGATAAACATTAAGCAATCCTGATGTCGTCCACGGGTGTAATGATATTTGCGAAGCTTGCATATAACTTCTGTAGTTGGTAGTTGCATAAAATGCAATACACGTTTTCGCAATACATTACTCTTGTCGTTCATCATACACACTGGCATCGCGTACGTAACAATACTCCGTATTGTCAAAATTTTATTGCTTCAAAAAATCAGTGCCAGCAAGAACCATGGTTGATTTTGATATTAGCTAATGTATTAGGAGTACCCATAAATCATTTTTAAAACTGTTCAATAATTTTAAGAAACGACATTACATATGGGTACCCATAATACATGCGATGCACTCACACAGTACTGTATATAGATACATACGTCTATATAAAGTACAACTAAAAAATACAGATTTCCTGAGTTATATGGAGAATTTTAAGAAACTGAAAAGAAATGTATCTTCGTGCAACCAGGGGGGATAGATAATGCGTTGTGATTTTAGCTGCGGCAGACGCAGGCTTATTGTACCGACAATGAATGTCTCAACCTGTCGAGACGTACGTATTATCAGCTGAAAAAATAAAATGCTATTGCTCATGATTATCTAGAGGAAAGGCAAGTGCATCTTAATGGAAAAACTTAACGCATCTTTTGCAGTTCCTGGGCCCAGAAATGGCTTACCAAGTTCGGATTTCTTTCTGATGTGCATGACTTTTGGGATCATCGCTTTAATGTATGCACTTAGGCCAAGATCTCTTCGCCAGGAAAGGGCCGAAGGTAGCAAGACACGGAATAACGGAGGCGTAAGTCACTGACTTACTTTTTTTAACATTGAAAGTAAAAATTAGTAATATTGGAAAAAACTTGGTTTTCTATATTGCGATAAAGCCTTTAAAAAATAGCCGAATAGGTTGCTGATTATCGTGTATAAGATTGAGATTTTTTGTCGCAGGGGCCCAATGGCGATCCACCTGCTCCTCCGCCAACAGCCGATTGAAGACCACCTTGATGTTATCTAAAGTTCATTAAGCTCTTATAGCTGGATCTATCGAGCTTAAAATCGTTAAAGACAATAAAGCAAATAATTGAACCGTCACTTCTCCGTTTCACATGATAAATAAGGGTCGTAATGAAAAACGTAATTTTGATTAAGGTATATAACTACGAAAATAGGGAAGAGGACCATAATTATAAATATTTATGTAACAGTACATACACAAAAGTGCCTTTCTGGCTTCTTAGTATTGTAGATCAAATTAAATGCTTTCAAAAAAGAAAAAGGTAATTGCGAACAAGAGCTGTATGGATTTCGATATACCTTGATCGATATAAAATCAATATTTTTTAAATATTATTTTAATGAGAACGATGCAAATTTTGAATCTCCAATTGGATGCTGAGCATATGATAATTAGAGATTATTATTTTTCAAGATATTGTTAAATTAATAAAAATAGCAGAGGGTCCAACTATTTTTAGCACATTTTTCGAAGTCCTCTACAATATTTTTTATACTCCAAGAAGACCTTTTTCTAAGATTGTAACATTCCTGCATAATCTCTTCAAATAATAAAATTGGTTAATTACTCACGATTATGACTGAGATCATGATTAATTTTTCCAATGCAATCTTTCCTGAAGTCCCATAAAAACATAGATAGAATGTATAAATATCCCGTGTATTTTCTTCTTCGAGTGCATTAAATGTAAAATAAAAGTCTGGTGACTGTGAAAATAAAGTGTGTCGCGCAAATAAGTACTCGTAAATTATCAACAAGAAACGCAGAAATCTTTGATGAAATCAACAAGTCTTTGATGGTTCTATTTTATTTATTTTCTTAAAAAATATGACCGATCCAAATGCGGATGTTAAGAGAGTCCTTTTGTACAATATTAATATACTTAAGGCTTACTATATCTTGTAGAAAAAGCTAAATCGTTTTAACGTTATATTTCGTGAAGAGTTTCAAGATGAATCTATTAATTTGAACTTGAACATGTCAATCAAAAAGAGTTTTTATTAATTCCATGTTTATTACCACCTACAGTGTATTGCCAATTTTAATTTACTTTAGAGCAATGTTTCTCCATTGATGTTTTCACTATTACAACATCACGTTATTGGAGAATAATTTAATGTTTTCTTGTATCCAATCCAAGGTCAAATGTCTTTCCAATCAGGAATATTATGGTGTTTGTACTTTTGTTAGTCAGAATAGAAGTTATCTTATCAGTACATAAAGAGAATATTCTAACGATTAATGATAGGCAGAAAAAAAATAATTCTCAATTTAAAATTGAAATGCAATATCGCAATTAAACTTGTGATGGCTGTGCAAATTTACAAGATTTTTTCATCATTTTTAATTCATTTCAACGCTGCGTTAATTTATTATTATGCTCCATAACATAAAACCGTGTTTCCAGATGAGCATAATGTATAAAAATCAAGCAAATATTTCCTTATTACAATTTTATTTAATTACACGTAAATGATCAATGAATGGTTGACAGCCAGTCGGTCAGATCACAACAGCTATTTTTGAAACGTCTTGATCTTTGAATAATTTAAAATAACATTGAATGACATCACAAGAATTTAGTCATCGAAGATGAAAGATAATATTTTAAACCAAACTTTAATTTTTTTCTAACGAAATTTGGTGGATAATTATGCAAAAAATATCTAAAATATTTCAATAATATACAAATAAAGAATATTCCTCTAATCTACACCCCTGCGTACATCACACAGGAATTATGCATAAATCGATTGACGAAGACATTGACGTCACGATTTTCCTTTGCCCGTCGAATTTATAAAAATATATATATACTCACCGAGCACCTAATTCAGAAAGTCGACACACGCCACAGTAAACTAATAGATTATTCTTGTTGTATTTTCGCCAGGGTGGTGCGCACCTTCTGAATAAGACCACTCATTTGCTCGTACTTACCCGTTGAATCTGGTAAAGTCTCAAAGTGCAACACGTCGCAGATATCCTTTGAGAATTTTTCGGACGATGGCAATTTATTGTACGGCGATGTACTATGTATTAGTGGAGTACCCAACTCCACTGATTTCACTGAACCGCAACTATCGTTTAGTGTCTTTCTGGCACTGTGAGTTCGACTTGTTTGCGGTGTGACAACACAACTTGAGACAGACATTTTGACGCCAGGCGTAGTCGGCGTCGAAGTGATTAACGCATTATTACTGATCCCTGCAGGGCTCTCTAAATTCGAATGTGAACTAGAGTCGTCCAGCTCTTCTAGTAGCAATTTCTTTGCAGATTCCAGATCCGAGAGCGACGGCGAATTTGCGCGGGACGATGGTGTTGTGCTTTCATTCTGAATTATTACGGAAGTAGATTAATATTATAGTATTGTTGATAAAGTTTAGAGATTAGAATGATTAATAAAAAAGAAACATACAATAGAATCTGGGGAATGAGAACCCTGAGACTGACTATTCGAGTCCTCTGACACTCCTGGTGGTGGAGGAGGTCTGACGGGTATATCTCTCGGTAATGGTGGTATGAAGTGTCCATTGCTTGGTATAGATTCTACTAAACCATTTATAGCTGTGTAATTATTTTTTAATGTTTACTATAAAATATTACTTCTTCTTTTAAATGTAACTCACCTTCCCCTTCATCTATGTCCATTTCACTTGGGACTACAATAGCGTCTATAGATTTGGTTTCAGCTGTTTTCATTTTTTTTCTTTTATATCCTTCATCTGCTTTTCTACCGCTGAGCATTAGCAGCATCGCCTCCTTACTGTGTTGCGGCTGCATTCTTGGTGCTCCGTGTTTATACTCCTGCTATTAGTATTTCATTAGAATTATTTATAGAGAGAAGAGTTGACGTTGTTTATTATAAATTACTCACTTCACGTGTGCCCGGCGGTGGCGGCACATTGAAACCGGGATAATCATAGATCTTTTTTACATCAAATTGATCTTTGTCCCCTTCGGCTATGATCTCTCCTTCATCCTCATTAGGATCAGCCTCAACAGTCCCATCCGAATTAAACAACGTTATACCCGAATGTTGGAGACGGGCTTCTTCTAACCACCCTGGAGGGTAGCCAAGTATTCTCATTCTAAGAAAAATATTTCAACATACGGAAAGAATAAAGTCTGCTGATAATTTCGATTTTTTAGATGGATTTATCCACGCCATTTCTAATCGCGGATAATTTACATACTCCTAATTGCGAGCTTTCCTTAAGGATTGTTTTGTAATAAATTTTATTTATAATGATTCATTAAAAATATCTCTGAAAACTGATAGTGTAATAATATAATTGTAAACTCATATCACTACCTGTAGATATGCTTAGGCAGATCATTGTCTTTAAGGCCCAATGCTTTACGTAGGTTATTACTAATTTGGCCTGGTATTAAATGACCAAATCTCTGATCATCATCCAAGTGATATCTGGAATATCTTGGACCCATTTTTGCATTATGTTCTTTGCGGTTTTTGTTGATATTATTGTAATCGCGTGGCTTGGTACAATCACGTAAATTATGATCACCCGAACAATTAAAGCAATTCAGTTTAGGAGTACATGCATCCTTTGATTCTGATTTATCCTCGGTACCTGATTTCTCCAGTAATTGTTTATACTTCTGTAATACCCCGAGCATGTAGATACCTCATTAAAAAAACCATCAGTATAGGTATTTTATGTAAAATTATCCAGCATCACAAACCTTGCCATAAGTAGGAATGGCATAATTGTTTTTCTGCTTGGGGTTAGTGTCAACAGTGAAAAGTGTATTGCCTGATGAATCTTCAACTTTATCACTCTTTATACATACATCATCATCAGACTTATTAGAATCAATCTCTTTGCCCCAAATTTCCAAAACTAAATCTCTGTCACTATCTTCATTTTTGTTAGGTTCAGTTGATATCAAACTCTCCAGGAAAGTTCTCACCTGTTTTCGATGTTTCCTAAAAAAATATTTTGTACATACAGCATCAATGTAATGTACAATTTAAAAATACGGCAATACTACATACAAAGTCAAAATAATGTCGTCACGACTATACCACCCTTGTATATCTCAACGAACATAGTTCACGAACATCCTATATAAAAGTAAATAAAATGCTGTTTACCGTGCGACATTCTCGTCCCTAAATATAACCTTAAACAAAGGTTGTCCGTCATCAGGTAACTTCGAATCTTGTAGTGAGATGTTACGGGATTCAACATTGATATTCTCGTCAGAGTTAATAGAATCTTTATACGTGTCCGCTGACAATGCAGTGTCATCCAAAGTTATTATATCGAAAGAAGAAACGTTATTATGCTCACTGTCGGCAACGGATTCTTGGCTATCATCCAAAACGATTACTTCCCTATCCGGGACGTTTATCGTCTCTATGGATTCCATATATGCTGGATTGGTCGATTGGATCTCGTAGTTAACGTTAATCATAAACTACTCGACCTGAAGTATTCTGTCACTGGACAATAACACAATTACCAAAATCTCAGTAAAAGCCGAGAAATTACCACTGATCGATCCACATATTCAGTTTACACTGCTTAGAGGGCGCTTCTCTTGGAGCAAACCTACAGAGCAAACCCGCAAGAGATTTGAACTTACAATCGCCAACACTTTACTGTTTTGAAAATTTTGATTATTCGTATTTATTTCTACGAAGGAAACTCGATTGAAATGCCAAGAATTTTTGTATTAAGTTAATAAATTCAAATTATAGGTGTGTGCATAGTTCCGGGTACTTCGGGAACATAAATAGAAAACTAAAATACGTGACAATCGTTCATATCATAGTAGTTCAGAGAGAATTAATATTTTGATATTGAACAATTTTTGAAGATATTTCTAAAATCTTCATCTAATCATGCCTATATCGAAAACCATAAAGACCAATCGTATTACGGCTAGAGACAAACTTAGCGATCGAAACGGATGGCGACATTCGATATATAGTCCCAGTGCACCTGCAAAAGATTATTACAAGGGTCAATGGAAAGATGACAAGAAAGAGGGAAAGGGCACAGAATTTACTAGGTTCGTACTAACTTTATCTGCATTCTAATATACAGTACATAATATAATTATTATTCAGGTATAATTGGTTGTATGAAGGTGACTGGTTAAATGGTTTAAAACACGGTTATGGGACTCTCAGTAGAACTGCGAAGGATGGTACAACTTTTAAATCTTATACGGGTAACTGGTTGCATGGAATGAAACATGGATTTGGAGGACACTGGTATCAAAATGGAGATTACTATGAAGGTACATTCCAGAAAAATAAAAAACATGGATTTGGTCACATGTCCTATGGTACTAAAGCATTTTACCGAGGAATGTGGATGGACGATTATCCTCATGGAAAAGGAGTTTTAAATCAAGGTAAATCCCGTCTTGTATATCAGTGACGAACACTTTATGGTAAAATTAATTTAAACAGCTAATGGAAATACCTACGATGGTCAATTCTTCAATGGTAAAAAACAAGGGTATGGTGTATTTTATCATTTTGACACTGGTCAACTGCAAGAAGGAGTTTGGGATAATGATATTTGCTTAACAAGTACGATGAAGGATATTTGTTGGCGGCAGTCTGCAATACATCCTACTCCTTATCCCATTCCAATAGTCAGTCTATATTTTTTTTTATCATCTCATAAGTAATACATGAACACAATTTTTTACGTTTCCCACTTAATTTTTCAGTTACAACTGCAGAGCTGAATATTATACCACTGACAATGAAAACGAGCAAGAAGCATGGTATACCTTTATTGGTAATTAATAATTTAATTTTTATGACAAATCATTCATTTTGAGACTGAAGGCTGAGTCTATATATTTGGTATCTGTTCTTTTTGAAAATGTTTATAGTATCATATGGGAATAGAAAATTTTTATATTTATATGTATTCTGTCTCATGGTAGAAGTGTACTTGTCATTTTTCTAAACAAATACGTTTCTGTTTATTCAACATAATCATATCTATAACATAATAGATACTAATGTCTGTATATAATATTAAGTATAGATGTCACATATTAAAATATTGCTACGTTTTGCCGCATTGGCGCTTATGAATGGTTTAAAAATCTCATTAGTTCAAAAGCTAATGAACAAATCGTCGCAACCAGTGAATAGAAGCGACATTAAATTCAGATAGTCGGTCTACACGTGTCAGAGATAATAGCTAACTGAATCACCAAATAGATATTTCCCAATTAAGGATTAGAGCGCAAACATTGATTAATCAGCCTTTCAACTCGAACAGCTGTAGTTCAAAATGCCATTCAAATAGAAATTTCCAATGATTCAGCTGTGAAATCGTGGACGCATTTTATAATATATGTATATATGTATACATATATAACTATAGACAAAGAACAATTCATAATAGCAAACACGCTTTAGAATTTTTTATTAATCCTGAATCAAATGGACGAGACTCTTTCAGCCTTGTGAATTGTTTAGATTATGTTTCGTTGAACGTTATGATATTTCATATAAGATATAAGTTAAGATTTAAGATTCTTCAATATAAATCTTACTGGTTACAATAAATTTTTATATATCATCCATTCGTATTGAGCGAGTCGACCGAACTTTACTTGTCGGAAGCGTATCACTGCCATTATTTTAAGTCACTATGCATGAAAGGGAATGTTTCAGATTCGTATTTACAATGGCGTCAAGGTGATTTTACCGTCTTCCACTTTTGTAGTTACTTGATCTGCGAGTAGACTGATCCAACTCTATAGCATGCAATAGGAAAGTAAGTCCATGTCTATTTAGTACATGATAAAGGAATAGTACATTATCATGAAGGAAGACAGTCTCAGTCCGTTACAAAATAACTTAGAATTAGACAGAACTGTACAGGAAGAAAACCAATTCCAGACTATTCGACTTTACCAAGTTACAGTCCGAAATATATCCAAGAGTGGACTCAAGCATAATGCCAAAAAAAAAAAGATATTTTTCGGACCAAAAAGTTATACTCTAGACAAACCAATATTTATCTCCGTACCTCTTCTGTTCAGTCATCGATGACTTCTCATCTAACAACTGATCCAAAGAAGATGTCAATCGCTTGAATAATCCTCTGTATCATATTAGCACTGGTTATTTGTCCCGATCAGTTACTCCTTAAGAGCTGTTGCATTAAATTTCCCTAATACGATCACATCGCACGACGTTATATAAAATCGTATACTGCCTACCTTCTAGAAGGATACAAGGTATCAAAAGCAGATAAACAGATACATGAGAAACTCCACGTATATCCTATACTGAACATTCTTCACCCTGATCCACAGGAAGACGGTTCAGACGATATGGGTACTACCTTGAAGAAGATTGACACCATTTCTACCCTCAACATCAGTTGATTCAATTTGTTCCTTGAGAAGCTCAAGTTCCCTGATACCCGAAATGGTAACTTCGTATTTGTGCGCCACTAGACTTCGGTAAAAGTGGATCGCAAAGGCTAGGAAGATAATGAGAACTGGTATCAGGACTATACAAGCCGACCAAGCAGCCACTTCGGAGAAGTCGTAGAATTTAACCCAGCACAGGATCGCAATTTCCAAAAGGAAGAGAATAAGACCAAGAAGCGTCGAAAAGGCCCACGCAACTTCTATGTACCAATGAAGACGTTCATGTGGAGATTCGTGTACAAGGCTAATACTATGCAAATTGCACACAGCTTCTATGTTTGGTAGAATGCAGGTAGATATCATCAAGGCCAGCATGTGAACTGCTACTAGAAGTGTTGTACAAATCGCAAAAGCTATCAGCATCCCATCAGGTACCTGCGTATCGCTATTCAACTGTACCTCAACCATGGCGACCTGTAACACAAACAGAATATAACTACTATCATATCAGTTAATAGAATCCAAAGAAGTTTTCTAAGAATACTGAAACTATACCATGGCAAAACCAGAGAGCAACGCCGACGTCTTGCTGGAGGCTTTGAGTTTAGCTCGGCTGAGCTGCAGTTTTCTCCACGATAAATAGCCCGGCGTATGTAGACCGTCTCCGGACTGTGACATCTTTGACTAAAGAACAGACAAGTAAATACTTTCATAACGGAAAAAAGTCCTAAGATACCTAGAAATAAGACATTTGCGGTATCGAGTGTCATATTTTAAAATGGTTAATAAGTAAATTCACTAGTACATTCTAAACATATGAAATGGCTAAAAGGCAAATTCTAAAAGGCCATTCGCAATAGACGTAACGAATGTTAGTAGATTTCGTACAGACTTGGTAAAGTACTATGAGGAGACATACCAAACGTTGGTGCCAATTGAAGGAGAAGAAGTACTTGTGGCAAGTCCGACGTGGAATAAAAATACCGTGAAGTGCTGAACCAAACAAAATAAGAAGGAACATTAACGGAAACCTCGAGAGCACCGCAACAGAATACAGTTAATTGAGAAGCGACTCAGATATGCCACAAAGGTTTATATTACAGTCCATTAAACTCTAGCAAAGTCGCACGGACTGATAGATATGAAGTAAAATGCCCTATATGTTACACAATCGATATTACCATGTTATCTTAGTCCCCAGAGAAATATTATTTTTCTCGCTACTTTATGTAATTTGATAACTCTAATATGTTTACACAAATCAAGAGTAATGGTGTGATATGAAAAATAAATTTAGACACAGAAACGTTTCTCGATTGACCATCATGTTAGTTGATTCTAACATTACAATTAGTATAATAATAATAAACCAGTGATCAGCTATGGCAATGAAGTAAAGTGTAAAAATAATTTGACAAAAGAAGACAGCAATACTGATATTAGTCACAATCGTCTAAATGTGATTTTACAATATTTATTGACAAATATTCACTTACGGTTGTTAAGTTCCAGTAGGTACGCGCAATCCAGTGAGAAAAGGGTTGTTAAAATTAATTAAAGCGCCAATAAGCATTACCAGAAATATATACCGAGCAGTTAATATGAATCGCATACCAATTGACACCAATTATTCATAGGGTATGTCATTAATTAACTGACCTGACAATTATGGAGCCGCTTGTGAAAGCAGTGCCCGTTGTTATTGTGCAGAGAATAGGTCTGTCCTCCCAAGTGTGAGGAGGGAGGTTGTACGCCCTCCACACCAAACACTGAATTCCGACCAGTGCTTGTCGACCATACAGACATTAGGCCACTTTATTGTACGATCCTGACCAACGCTGAAAGATAAAAAATCAAATTAGTGAATAAGATAAGATTCTTTATTGAAAAGAGTCGTTCTAGAAACTCTAGTCGTTCCTAACCTAAAAAAGCATTAAACAGTGTATGCCAGAGTGATATTCTAGGTTGTACGTATGGGTGCCTAAGCTCGTTGAGGAATTTAGAGAAGCCTATATTGTGAATGCAAAAATAGTATAATGAATTTCCTTGAAAAAAAGAATGTAGTGAAAAATTCAGGCACCTAGTTTATAGCGCTATTCCGAGAATACTAAGTCAGACGAGCGGGTTTATACGAATTGGAATACAATTTTACGAGGCCGACGGCATCTAAATATTTGGCAACCAGAGCGTATAATAACTTCAGGTATACCAACCAGCAATAGAAGCAACAACAATATTTCACTTTAGCAGCAGACAAATCATTGTTATTATAATAGTTTATTTTTCTGGCGAGAACGTGAAATCTCTTCGCCTGAGAATGCACGATTTGATAGAGGGAGAAAAATGTATGTTTCCATGATAATCAATTGATTTTCAACACAGTGGTGGTTGTACTGTGTATGTATAAGTTTCATGACTCCTGGCCATTTAATTGTGCTACGTTATTCACAAGGAGAAGGTGCTGCGCTAACCTCCACATTTGTGGGTCAGGGTAAGGAACTATCATCGTAACACCATTCTGGTAACTCAGACTACTTTAACAGACTTCAGTCATGATTCGACTAAATAAATAAAAAAGAATTCAAATCATTGCAAGCCGTCGACGCGTCACTCATTAATGAAGTGAATTCCTTCAAGCTGATAATAACGGCGAATATCAATGAAAATCTAAGTATTCAGTATTTAATGTGTTATTTCCGCATGGAAATTCTTACGTGACGTAACATCGCGATAACCGAAGCCTCACTGAAATTTCATCCTTTTCAAACAACACACATTGCATTGTGCATCCTCGACTTGTAGTTGCCTGTACAGTCGTACAAAAAAGTTTATCCTATCAAAAAACAAAATTGTGTATATTTTACTAAGACACAAAATATGCATCGCAAAACCCATAAACAAAATACCCCAGGCTTAATCACTACTATATTTTGACTAAAACTTTCAAATAATTTTCCCGTATCTTCATATCTCTGAGTGACAAGAGACTTTTTTGTACAACTGAAAATTAAATGTAAAATGAAATAAGCCTTCTGTTGACTTTATACATTCATTGCGTAATCAATTCTCTTTTTTAAACAGTACTCAAGCCTCGGTATTTGCGGAACCAACCATTATTTATTTATCACAACCCCAAAGACACTTTTGTGTATACTGACAAGGATAAAAAATTCTCCCACGCTTAAAATTTCTTGAGTGTTTTACATACTTGACCGTATTTCTTAGTTTAGTAATGGAATGTGGGTCATAATCGAAGTTCGCGACTAAGTAATAATCCCAATAAATTTGACTAGACTATATTCGCATTAGTTTGCTTAAAATAATCTTGGGCGACGTTTGCAAAATTGTGATGCTCCTAGGATAACACGACTCGAGCACATTAAATAATCATATTATATGATTTGATTTCGATAAATAACTAAGCACTATATTATTGTCACTATTTATTTACTTACATCACGGCTTGTAATAACAAAATGAATAACGTTCCAACGTCTATTAAAGTTAATTAATAAGTTCATAAATTTAAAGCTTTGTTCAATTTCCCAGTACATATATGTCTTGCCATAGCCACGTATTGTTTGTATGACTACAAAGAATGTAAGCGGAGCAAACACTTGTCACAAGATACCGTGGGTCGTAATTCAATAGACATGAAAACTTAAGGCATTAAAGGCCTAAGTCAAGCTAGAGAGAATCCTCGTTAAATAATTATTCAGGACAATATTTGCTTATGCTTACACGTATGTCTTGGAGAAAATGCCGCGTTATACCGGTATCCAACAATGAAGATATTCACGAATGAAAAGAACATTTCTTTTAGCTAAGAAAAATAATGGTATGTATAAAGAATTCGATACAGGCATCGACACTTATGAACGTCAGTGATAAGGACCATGTGATTAAATAAGGCAGTGGCATTATTAAGCATTTATTTACGTTGTCAATATGACATCATATACTAGTATTAGTTTGATTGGCTGTATTAATAATAAAGCATCGAATATACTTTGCAATGGCTGTTATATAGCGGCTATATTATGCGTATAAAGTGTCTTATAATTATATACCTACGCACGTTATAGTAATGTGTCAAAGCGATCGCCTCAAATGGAAATAATTTCTACCGTCAATTGCCAATTAATGATTCATATCATTTAAAATTTATATTAATAGTCAAGTCCCGGTGCACTCTTTTTACGACAATTGACTGGCAGCACGTTTTATTGAGCATATGTGGAGCATTGGTGCTGTTGAATAACAAATGCCTTGTATGACAGGTCAGTCAAATTGGCAAGAGGGTCTAGCCAAAAAAATGTTCGAGTGTAGGAGAAAGATGTTAATTCAAAAATTAAATACTGCTCGACGTGCATAAGAGAGACGAGACATTCTTAGCTTCTTTAGATGTAAAATACGTATTGAGGAAACGCTTCAAAAACAAGAGAATAAAATTCTGTGTGAAATGATATTTAGTGTAGTATATCGGTTGCGTCAAGGTTTAACAAGTCTTTTTTGTTTGGCAGGGGATAAAGTGTTTATTCTTATCCTCCTTTCGATGACACGGCAGGAGCCAGACATTAACGGAGACTTATTAATGCATTCTTTGAGGCTTACGGTACTGCACGAAATTACATCCATAAGTGGAAATACTTTTTGTATAGTCGATTAATAGATGTCAGTTATTCGGCTTTAAAATACTAAAACGTCTCTTAGAATTTTGGGATTTCAGTGCCAGTATCACTAAAAATACCATGTGTGCTGTGACTCCATACCTGGCTCGTGTACGAAATTAACACAGGATTTGTTAAAGTGTGCAAAGCATATTGCGAGTTAACTCCAAAATAATATTATGATTGTCCATAGTCGACGTAGATATAGTAGGAAGTGATTAATATGATAACTTTGTAGGTTAAGTCAGTCCGTAAGACAATTATTACCATTTTCAGTATGAGGAACGTACACGATGCAAGAACATATCTATGTCGCCACTATTAGTTAGAATTTTATAGTAAAGAAATTATCACAATGTTACCGAACATTCAATCCACCATTGTATCACATTTGCCACACTGATTAAATATCGTGGCACTCTACGGCAGACACAAAACAAATGCTTTACCGTTCCGAATCGAAGTGCCAACCGATGACGAGAATTACCGAGGATTGCCGAAGCCAAGAAAGTTAACTGTCGCGCATGCGCACTTTCAAGTTCAAGGCAAAATGCATTGCCGCGCGCAAAACGTAAACCAATCGTTATGCAGCATCCAGCCGGACAGACTTATTACACATGATATTATACAATCTCAACGAACATTACTTCCAGTCTCCAATTTACTCTGCTACCCGAGTATCCGGTTAGCAAGCATGCCTTTCTATCTATCACAGCTTAATTAATATGTATATACAGTACTACTCATACTCTATTGTGTACTGATAACGAGAGCACAGGACCATTTCAACTGCAGGCGAAATATCAAATTCAAATACATCATGCCAAATGTATCAAACAATCTTATCGTTCCAGAATTCAGAAATTGTATAACACTTCTATTGTTCATGAACGTATTTCCTCTATACATATGCAGGATATTATGATAATATGTTGTTAATCTTTGGTGTAACGAGTTATACATATAGTATCACATGATTATGTGTCGTTGCTAAGATTGTACATAGATGAATGTACGTTATATGATAGAAAGAGTTATTGTTTGTAATTCTTAGAATGATTAACAAAACAGTACCATAACTCAAGGAAGTTAAAAATAAAAGTTTCGATACAACAGTCACTCAATAGTGATGCGATTGTAAGCAGCACAAACTACTAAATTAAGCAGCAAAACTTTTGATGCCAGCATCATAAAATTAGCGTAGACCTTTGAATCCGAGAAGTTTGAAAATTTACTCCTGCATGATTCACAATGATTCTCAATCTGGCAGAGTTTCAAAAGCCATTGTCCGCCCATGCGCGTTTCCTTTGAAACCGAAGATTTTCTATAGACAATAGATCCAAATGTTTACATGAAAGGTTTCATCGGATTTTAATGGGTAGATTATTTTTAATATTTATACAATGGAATTACCCTTATGTCGAATTAACAAAGCACTGCAATTCCTATCTATAGCGCTCAGGTAACCCAATAACCTGTAACCTATAGACACCCCGGGTATTGGACGACACGTATCGCGTGTTGGACAAGTAGTTTAATTTGGGAGTTTGACTCTACATGTCAATTGGCCAGGATGCTACCACTTCTGTAGAGAGGTGATGCAGCAGTCATGGTCAGGGCACCCCTAGCCTACTTCCTAGTGGTGCAGTCTAATCTATTTAAATGTGCATTCCAAGGGAAACATAATACTGTTGAATTTTAATCATCCGCTACTTAAAGTTATTTCGCTTTAAATCACTATAATGATTAATTGATAGAGGACGGATGATAGTGATTGATTATGGCTCGTCATGTAGGCAACATCAGAAATACCCTTCAGGCTATGAAATCTGTATGGGTTAAGTATAGTGAAGTCATGCGATGGTCGCAATAACAAAATTAAAGGACCGGCATCATGCTTATTAATAGAACGCCTCATATTTGCTTTAGGATGGGAAACCCAACAGAATTTGTTTAAAGAGACAGTCATCTTTTAAATTGTACTTTGATGCTTATAGCTTTATACTTTAATCTGTCCTGAACAGTATAGTTTGCTAGTAAGTTGAATTTGGCAATTGTACACTTGAGAATCGTCGTGACTGATTGTGTTTATATCAATTGAGACGTTTAAAACGAATATTAATATTTACTTTACTGTATTATTATTTGCTTAGTTACGTGCGATCACAGTATATTCAAATACGGTAATATATATATTTCTACGCAAAGATATACATGTCTGGAAGGAATATCGATATCCTATCTGTAACTTTAAGCTATTTCATACATAGAACAATTTTATATAACCACTACACAAGAATAGATACTCCGTTTAATTTAGATAGCGGATTTGAAATCCTTATGTGGGTTTAACGTTATTCAAATTGGTCACAATATGGCCACACACTGTACTTCCTATATTTGAGTTTTCTGTTTCTTAATGTAAGTCGGTTACTAGGTTAATATATCTCCCAGACAATATATAAATCTTACTAATCCTTAAGATACTTTAAAAACAACCTCCTTCCCAATGGACATCTTCAAGACGACTTTTGGACATTATATGTTGTTGGGGTTTCTAGATTTCGTGCAACACAATATAGTCATAGTGTCCCAATTAACCGTCAGCACGATGATTGCTTGTTATGATCATGAAATGCCACACTTAATTATACGCACAAAGCATATTTGCTGTCGGACCTTGATAATATATTATACTGTCAGTCGTAATGGTTATTATTGATTATGAAAAATTATTAAGTAAATAAACTGATCCATGTTACAATACAAATTCGCACGTAATTATATAAATTGAAGCGTATGTTTCACTCACAAAAATAATATGCTTTGAAAGTTCTCGTAACTTTTTACTGACTTCTCAACTTTACTTCAAAATACACTCCTCGTATAGCGGCGTTTCCCCTGAGCTTTCTTTCTAAACTATCGTACCGAGAGAGGATGGCTTCCTCTACTCTTTTGTGCCTCGTAGCGCACGTGTTATCCGCGCTCTATCGAATGCTCGACCTATTACAGTGGAGTTGCAGTTTTCCGTAATATCACTCTCTTGCTAGTTATCGCGTCTTAGAGCCCCGGATGTGCACTTAGACAGAGCGTCGACTGTACTACAGTTCGTATTGAAAATAAGTTCCCGAAACGTTTCCCTACAGTGTGATAAAACTTCAAATCCCACGCATGCGTCATTTACAGCGCCTTAGTAATTGGCTTAATAAATGCATCAAATGCACGCAATCTGGCCTTCTTATTTACACGCTCGTTTATACTGACGAGAATCAAACAGTACTTTGCCACAATAAGTGAATATTCATTATAGAACGGTAGTCTGATAAACAAACTGGTTCGTTTGGAGCAGGAAAAAAGGAAAACAAAAGAAATGTGTCAAGTCAGAGACCGAAGAACAGGAAAACTTCTGAGATTTTATGCTTTCGCGGCCAATATTATTAATAATACTCATGGTTTCCGAACGAAAATCATGAGTACAAAGGAAAACTTCTTATCATCTGCATATTTCCTCCTCTATCACATTGCGGCTCTATTCTTATAGTCGTAAGTTTTTCAAATAGACGTGTCTGAAGTATACACCTAATTTGATTTATTATTAAAAGTAAATGTTTGTCTCAGTTAGCCGTAAAATTATTTCACTTACAAGAAAATCGGAAATTATCCTTCCTTCGACGTAGCTGTTTATCTACTGCAACGCTGCGTCCTCCAAGTCAATGCACTTTTTCGTTAAGTTTACTTTCTCGACCAGTACACACGAGTATTGCAGTTTGATGTCGACGTACAAGCCCAATATTCTATTTCTTGAATATTTTTGTTCAAAACTGTTTAGAATCGATGAAGGTTACTGACCATTTTGCACCACTGTTGGGAATCCTGGGAAAATATTCCGTAATTATTGGAACGCTGAATAACTGTAAATATCCTTTTTTCTAATGTAAGCGATACAAAATGCATTCTGTATGTACACTAACCGTAAGCTGCTTCGATGGTGGATTCCTACTTTCATCAGCACGATCGATACAAGTCCCTTTACTGATATTATTTTTTACCGTACACTTGTGATATGAATCTCACAACTTTGCACTGAGGCGACTAGATGGCGACACTATACCGTTACCCACAGTGCAGTTACAGTTTGTTATGCATTTACAGTTTGTTATGAACTTTCAAATGTACTAATTAATTAATTCGTTGCAAATATTAGACAGTATAAAGATCCACAAGAGTCAATTATTCTATATAAATAAAAAAGAGTAATAATAAAGTAATTACCAAATTTATAACTCTAATTCATTACTACAAATATTTATTCGTAATATTGAAATATTACTCTTTTCAGCATACCTATACGAACGCTCTCAAGTTAGTAAAATCTCAATGTACTATGAATTGGCACAATGTTGACAGTGATGATTCAAAGATTTCTCACTGTTTTGTTTATCTCTTGCGTCTTTCACCTGAGGTAATGGTGGGGCTCGCACCAGTCATGTTGCACATTCCTGCCGATGGGGAGTAGTTGCGCGCTGTCGCTCCTTGAGAATAGTGTCGATCACTTGTAATAGTAGTAGTAGTATAGTGAAGGTACGAAAAATTAGTTTACTTGTTGACGGAATTAGGCAGAAGTGGACTGTGAAAACAATGGCTCCATTGAATTTGGCAGATGATCAACGCTTCGCTCTGATGAAGGTAACGTGAAGAGATTAACGTCACAGTGAAACACGAATAAAAAAAAGAGACTTATTTTCGCGTGCTATACAACAACCAGAGAATAACTCATGCTAAATAGAAGTAAATTTTGATAATACAAATTGGAGTGACCGTTTGATAATATCTACGCAAATGATCGTCCAGTTCCTTTGGCGTTTTGAACAATACTTTTCGCAAGATAATATTAGAGCATTATAACGTATTTGACAATTAAATAAAAATTCTTTATATACTTCAATGACAATGAAATTATTTTCTTTACTTGATGTAATTCATATCATTTCAAGAAAGGTTAAACAATACATTAAGTCAGTGACCCATTATCAATGTGTTTGGTTTGAATTAAATATCGCATCCTGATAAGAATCAATCGATTTATCATATATTATTATAGTTCCAAGTTTTGCGACCCATGAATAAATTTTGTGTAAGCTCATATTACAAGAAAAATGACTAAAAAAACAGGTAATATGTCAAAGTAATTATTGTTTGATAATGATATAATAAAATGAATTTTTAATAACAACGACCTTGGCATCAAACTACGTCAATCTAACCGTTTTATGTTAAAGCCGGTTCAAATAAACTTTCCAAGTAAAAAATATCGCCTGAAGGATGAGGATAAATAACCACAAGAGAATATCTACATGATGCTATTTATATGCGGCCGCCATATAGGTACAGCAAGACATGCAAAATGTATCTTCAAATATATATGAACCAGTGACAATCTTCATCCTATCATCTACTATACAGTTTCGTGCATATAGGAATAATAAATTTCATCTCTTGAAAGCGCTCTTCACGTATGACCTCCAAGTCATTACGTAATACAGAGTTCCCAAAGATATTTAAGTTTCTCCATGACGTTCATGACGAGTATTATGCACGTTATACGCACATCGTTCCACTGTCACTGCAGCAAATAGTACAGCTCATTGGTACTTATCCATAATAATTCAACAATTTTTAAAACTTAGTCGATCTTTGAAATGACGTCACATGGTTCTACAAAATATTTCAACTTAATAAAAAACGATAATAAAAACTATATGCAAAACTAGATATTATGTATAGCTGTATAATATGTAGTATCACGGTCAGCTGTGCAGTAATAGGCAAGAACCAGTATGTAGATGAACACGTCAGATAACTAGTAAGCAATTTCGTTGAAATGGGTAACAACTGAACTTTGTATATTGGAGGTAAAACGAGCAATGAAAGGTAGAAACAGTTTGTAAAACGTGGAAATCATTCAGTTGAGAAAATGCCATTGAACAAGATGCTATAAATATTATCCAGCAGAATGCGTCTACAAGGAAATTTTCATAATCGTTCGTTTGGCCTCGAACTGTCGGATTGATTATGCAAAATGTAATTACCTGATATATTCACCATAATCGATCTCAGATTATTATAATAGAGGGTACTGGGTACTTATAATAGAGGATAGAGTACTGTTACATTATATTTTCCTCGCCAAACAAAGGGGACACCTCAGTGCATGAAATATTCTGACCCGTGAACTTTGTCGATTTATTATTCAATCGACGAGTGAATACGTTATGAAAAGTCATCGTTTTCGTGGATCCTTCTATTGGTGTTTCTTTCACATAGGATTCTTTTTCGACGAAGCTTTGAGACTGGTAGGAAGGAAATGAAAATTTATCAAACTCTCAAATATAACGGGTTCGACAGACTTCGATGGAATCGCCTAAGCCTTAGGCGTGTGTCGCAACGTTAATGAAATTTGGTCGAGTCTCACGCCATTTTTACGACTAGCTTCTACATGCGGAAGTACATTTTGAATAAGGCGCTAATAAGTTAGAACGTTTTTACAGTATTTCGGTAGTACACATATAGTATAGTCCCCTTACGTAAATGAGAGATTGAGATTGTTTTTCTAAGGATCTTGTATGTAATAAATAAACAAAAAAAGAGAACGTATAAGGATTAAATAACAAAATAACGATTTGCACTTGCGCCGATTATGCAATTTTGCTTGTAGAATTCTATTTTTAAAAAAGATCAATATCATACATTAATTAAGTTGCAGGCTAAACACTTAAGTAAGAATTGGTAATATCGATTTAATAATAAGACAAATTTTATTCAATATCAATGTAATTGTTTGCGTCTGATCGTTCGATGCAGTTTAAAGCAATGATAGTATTCTTTTATAGCGGCCATTGAACTGTCTAGGAAATAAAGAAAGGTATCGTGCCTACGACTTAAGTACGTGTACGTAATAAGTGTGAAATACTTAATACTCAAAACTTTTATAATTTCTTAGTATATTTATATGCCAAGTATCATGTTGGGTACGTTCATTGCCAGGTAACGACAATTTAATTCGCAAACTAAAGAGAGATTGCTCGATCGTTGTTCTACTGACACAATTATTTTTGGTTCGACTGATAGCTGCTATAATCGGGTACGTTCATGCAGTTACACTTTTTCTTTTCTTTCTCTTCTGTACGATGCTTTAAGAGAATTTAATCGTAGGAAACATAGCGCTATTTATAAGAGACAGTTAAATCATTCATATTACATATTCAGTGTGAATTTATATATTTATATACTTTATAACTAATATCAAAAGTAATCAGTATATAGGTAGTAGGAATTATATATTTACATAATTTATAGCTAATCTTGAAAGGAGTTAGTGTGAACGTAACGACAGCTAAAATTTTGATACAGTAACATAGGATTTTGGGTAATTTCGATACAGAGCTGTTATGTATTAACTTTCTTGGCCGCGAGCGAATATTACGATAGTCAGTGAGTTCCTGTTAAGAATTACAAAAGTATACGAGGAAAAATATTAAATTTATACATCAATACATGTCATGAGCTAAGTGTGGGTATTGCGTATTTATGCAGTGCCTAATGTTAAAAATTAATTTCTTAATTTTTCGGTGTCATTGCTAAAACGAAGGTACTGAATATCTACAAGTCTAACTTACTAATGTTTCCAGTTTCATTCATGCTTAATTTAGAATTTTTTAATAAACATAACGTGCGTTCCTTAATCCGCATGGTGTATTTAATTAATTAGTGATTTTTGAATATATACAAATTATTGAAGTTTGCGCGTGCTAATTTCTCAAAAATTTTTATTATTTTTGTTGCAGTTTAGACGTAGCGTGCACGAGATTCTGGAACCACATCATGATGATCATTTTTTAGTTCGTTGGCTCAGAGGTAAGAAAAGAGAAAGAAGATTGATTTAATGGTTCCAGTAGAAGCTCTATGACGTTTAAAGAATTTTTGTTCGTAAAAATTTACCCAAAGTTTCGCATGTATCCAAGTTTTGTATCCAAGTAATATATTTTGCTATTGTTTTTCAGCCAGGAAGTGGGATGCCGCGGCCGCTGAAAAAATGCTCAGAGACGTGAGTATGCATGTATATCGACATCGAAATTTTTTTTAGCGGTTTATAGTTAGACTTTAATGTTTGTGTTAACGTAAGTCGAACGAAACTAGTCGTGCCGAACACAAATGACGTTCTGAGAAAGTCAGGGAAATGATTATAAGGTGGAACGGGCATTCTCCTTATTTGTGAACAGCGTTAAGCACTTTAACAGATTCGATGCATTAACGAGAAAATCATTTATTACAATTAAATGAAATTAGCAAGCATGACTGTGAAAGCAACTCTCTCTCTATGTTATTATGATGCCATTTTGCCTGGAAAAAAAAAATTGTGCTACAACACAAAGAGGCTCACCTATTCCAAGAAAAATGATTGTGAGTGTGTTAATATAAGTATAGAAATAATTGAATTGTGAATTCTGTTACCGACAGTCCTTGGAGTGGAGGAAACAGTGGGAAGTTGATAAACTGGACGAATGGGATCCACCACAAATCCTCAAGGATCATTTACCGCATGGACTCAGTGGCTTCGATAAGGATGGAGCGCCAGGTAGACAATTAACTGGAAAATTATATAAAGGCTATAAGTTTTAATTGATATCTGTTCTTTTAGTTGTCATAACTCCTTTCGCTGGTTTGGATATGTATGGTATCCTTCATGTGGTCTCTCGAAGAGATATGATTTGCATTACTATTCAACAACTTGAACGTTATTTAAAAATCTGTGAGGAACAGGCCAAGAAACATGGAGAAGCAGCTAGACAGATCACAGTCATCTTTGATATGGAGGGATTTAATCTTAGACAGTATATGTGGCGACCAGGTATGTTATTCTCCCTCGAGGTCGACAAATCACATGTTCACGTACTTAATTTTCTAATATCATCAAGAGGTACAACTTAAGGTTTTCCTTTCTGATTTTAGCTGGCGAAGTTGTTATTGCACTTATTCAAATGTATGAGGCTAATTACCCGGAAATCTTAAAAACATGCTTTATCATAAACGGTAATATATGTATATGTATGATATGTAACCGGGAAAATCAGGTGTTTCAGCATTTGGATTATACGTTCTTACATATGGATTATATTCTGCAGCTCCAAAAGTATTTGCTTTGGCTTTTTCCGTTGCTAAAAAATTCATGAACGAGTACACTTTGTCAAAAATTCAAATATACAAGGCTGATCCATCCAGATGGAAACATGCATTATTAGAAGTCATTCCAGAAGATCAAATACCGGTACACTTTGGTGGTACTCTTACTGATCCTGATGGAAATCCACGGCTCACGACCAAGGTAATTAATCATACTAACAACATATAATAAGAGTTTCTGGAAATTAATTGAGTATATGAATTTTACAGATTTGTCAAGGTGGTAAAGTACCGAAGGATCTTTATATAAATAAAGCAGAGAAGGATAAATCGAATGAAGATTTTACCACAGTTACTGTGCGCAAAGGAGATAAACTCAAATTAGATTTTAAACCAGCTCAACTGGGATCATTGTTGAGGTAATAAAATAAATGCGTATTAAATAAATACCGTAACTTGCGTATATGTAAATTTGCTTTAACGATTTATTATAGTTGGGAATTCAGAACTGAAGATCATGATATTAAATTTGGAATTTTGAGGAAAACCCATGATGGCGGACAAACGGAAATTGTACCGATTCATAGAGTGGCTGCACATCAACTGGATGAGATCGGTATTCTTACCTGTGAAGTGCCAGCTACTTGTAAGTATATTATGATCGTTGTTAGGAAAGCAGAATAGTGAAAAAAAACTCGTTTAACTTTGATCGTGTGACGGCAATGGATGTTACTTTTCTCTTATTTCAGATTCCGTTGTGTTCGACAACAGCTATAGTCTTTTACGGAATAAGAAAATACATTATTCCATACACATTTTACCGCCGAACGAGGGATTAGATGATCTTGCTCTTAAAAACTCGTAAAAATGTGCTAAATAATTCGAGTAAACGGAACACTAATGGAGTGAAAATGTTGTTACTGTACTTAAGGCATGAGAATGTACGCAACGCAACAAGTTTAAATGGAGTTGGATAAATCTCTGTAGTCCAACGTCTGATAATCAAAGTTGTACTACGTACTATGCATATAGTTATTTCTTTTATTGAATTAAGGTATGGGTGTAGTCATTATTGCCCTGGTTAGAATTATGGAAGGTTCTATGAATCATATATTATTTAAGGATCTTATAGAAAAAATCAATTTTTTATTAAGTAAAAATGTATGTGTTAAATACAGCCTTACGAATCAGTTATAAATGTTCAATATATAATCACTTGAGCTTATAAGATTTCATCAAGGGTTTTTTATATCCTTAATTATGCTACTCTTATTGACTTGCCTGCTCGTCATTTATTCCATTAATAAAGGATGACATATACTAATTATCTTCGTCTGTTACCAACATTTCAACAAGGCCTGTATCTAAGCACGCATCACCTTCTAGGCGTTTTTGCGTACCCCATCTTGCAAGCGTAGGTAACACATTCAGTTTGGTCCTTGTATCTGTACGGAATGGACACTTGAGATCCTTCCAGCTAAAAAATAATTTTTTTTTTGGTTTGTTATAAATTCTGGTTGAATCATGAAATTTTGTAAGGACATAACACATAAATATTATACGTACAACGGTCTATCTCCAACTTCTACATGAATGAAATGTGATTTTTCAGGTGCAGCACTCAATCCTTTCTCAATAACAGGTTCAGCTAAAATGAAAGTAGCATTTATGCTCAATAAATATTCATAACATGCAACTTCTGTCAAGAAAGTAAATATTGTTATAAATTGATTAGTTATGTTTGTGGCACAAACATTTTAGCATATGCATGAAGGATTTTATACTTGATATATTTTTTTTTGTTTAGTCCGATGTGCAAAATATACTATTTCCTTACTTAAAATCTAGATAAAAAACCTGGATGGATATGGCAGATAATTAATTATACCCCATAAAGTCAACAATTAGGTTGGATACTGAATAAATAAGTTATATATATAATAACATATACGAAATTGCGAGATGAAGACAAATGTGTCTGAAGTAATATCAAAATGTAAGTGCCGGAATGAAGGTTGAGTTACGAAAAATTGCGAAATAATTACCTTCAACACAATCAGGACACCAACTATTTCCATTAGGTAACTTTGTCCCACTATAGAGAATATGAATAGGTCCATCAGCTTTGAAATTTTCCATAAATTTAATAAAATTCTCATAACCCTCTACGTGATGCCGTATAACCATTTTCGTCGATTTTTGCCTATTAAAAATATAATGCGCGACACGCCTACTGCCTCTGGTGAGCATAAAATGCCCGTTAAAGTACACGGATCAATTACAGATAGAGTATTATCGTTGAACTCCAATCTATTGCTCATAGATTCCTAATACCGGACAGAAGCAAAAGCTTCGACGACTGTTTAACTGATAACGTCTGCTGTATAAACATATATACATATACCTATACAAACTATGAGCAATGTCGCCAACATTGATCACCTATATTATGCATTCCTGCACAATTTACTGTAATTTTCCTAAATACTAAATCATTACTTATTTATTACGCATATAAAGAAAATAACATGCAACAATACATAAATTTACAACAATTTAAAATAAACAGGGATCTGTCAGAAACCGACACGAGATTCTAGTAAGTCGTATCTTAATATTCCCAAGCTTCTTCAAGCCGATATAAATGTGAAACAAGGAACTTTTTCTTACATAAATTATGTTATAGATTTGACAAAATATATAAGTTTCTAAGGATATGAAATGGCTATTAAAATTATCTAATTTTGAATGTACTCTAAAAATACGCGCATCGGAAAAATTGTCAGCACTGATTGGCTTTCCTTATTGGCAAAGAAGGAGTGATCGTTCATAGCGGTTGGTGGGAAGTATCTCCTCTCCCACTGTGCAGAGTTAAGTGGGGAATGGGATTTCCCACCAATGGATAGGTTTCCGAGTGTACCAGGTATAGGCCGTGGTGAACGCGTATTCCAGCCGTGCGAGGTCTTGTGCAGATTTTTTGCGTTGAACAATATTGTTCAATAGTAAGTGCGAGGGCTGCACGACAAACCTTCGTTACAGTCCGAGGTGCATTGTTAAATGTGATATCGTTTTACTCAGAGAATGGCCGCCGTTTTCGATATCGAACTGCACGACGGAGACACGGTCAACAGGGACGAGGAGTCCGACGACGACATTATCGAAATTGGCGAGGTAAGTTTTTCGAACAGCTATAAACAAACTAGTGGAGTTTTTCCACGTTACTTTCACTTGACTGCGGGTGGCACGTCCTCGTAATTTTTGGGTGCAACTGATTATTATACTGGCACGAGTTGATCGTGCCGTCGGAATTCAGCCATGCCTTCTCTTGTTTGCAGGGAGAGTACGATGCCAATCCAAATGTTAATGAAATAATTGAGTGAGTATTTCTGGCAAGTAATGCTTGCTTTCTCGCCTTTGTCCCACGTGCCCGAGGCGCGTCTTATTTATTGAGTCACGCCACTGTTCACGGCATTGATAAACTTCGGGAATCAGCATTTGTCTGCTTGAGCTTTGTTTATATCAGCCATGGCGGACTCTTGGTTGGCCACCATGTGCTTTGTATTTACTGCCTCTACACTCCATTACAAGCAAAAGAATGATTCTACTGTTAGAGACTTTTGCTGATAGCATAGAAATTCTTAAGCATTTGTTGTTGCTCTTAGTTTTTTTTTCATTATTCTTTTTGCTATACAGACATATGCTGGTGTAGGAAGGACGTCCTATGTAGTATGCAATGATTCTACATAAAAAGCAGTGGTGCAAATTTATGACATCTATTCATATGCCAGACATTTAATGTTTATGGTGGAATTGTTTCCTTTCATGTGATATATTTAATTGATATTTTTTCTTAAAAAAAATTAATTATGAATATGTTAATCTTGTAGTAACATGTAAATTATTAATCTTTTATTCTAGTCCTCTTTAATATTCATTGCACATTTATGACAGATTTGAGATTTATTATTCTGTGCTAATAATCAGGTGATAATAAAATTATAAATTCTTGATTGATAGAACTGAGGGTGTTGAGGCTGTACCTATATCAGAACAGAATGTTAATCGTGGAAGGGAAAGGACTGGCCCTCAGGATTTTGAGCTATGTAAAGTAATTGGAAAAGGTGGATATGGAAAGGTCTTCCAAGTACGCAAGATCACAGGCAACGATAGTGGTACTATTTTTGCCATGAAGGTAGGTTTTCATTTTGTTGTGCACTGATAATAAGGCGTGAAATGATAATTATTTTTTTTCTTATAAAACAGGTTTTGCGTAAAGCATCCATTATAAGGAATCAAAAAGACACTGCCCACACCAAAGCAGAGAGAAACATTTTGGAAGCTGTCAAGGTAACTTGTACCTTAAAAACAATCTATGAGAATATGTTTTATGTAACTTCATCTACATATACATATATTTATATGCCTTGCAGCACCCTTTCATTGTTGATCTTATGTATGCTTTTCAAACTGGAGGAAAATTATACTTGATACTTGAGTACATGTGTGGAGGGGAACTCTTTCGTCATTTAAATGACGAAGGCATTTTTTTGGAAGATACAGCGTGGTATGATATATCAAATCACTCTGTCGTAATCATATAGAAACAAACAAGAAGATTTTAGGCTAAATAGTAATATTTTTTACAGCTTTTATTTATCAGAAATTATACTGGCCTTGCAACATCTTCACCTTCAGGGAATTATTTACAGGTATGCTAATACTTTCATATTACCTTCCAAGGTATGGAAGCCGTTATATTTTATGCGATATTGATTTTCAGAGATTTGAAGCCAGAAAATATTTTGTTAGATGCCGAAGGGCATATCAAATTGACTGACTTTGGTTTGTGTAAGGAACATATACAAGAGGGCACTGTAACTCACACATTCTGTGGCACCATAGAGTATATGTAAGACTATAGACATTTTTCTTCCGACTTTAGAGAGTGTCTAGCATTCTATATATAAATATTCGTTCAAAGGGCTCCGGAAATCTTAACAAGAAGTGGACATGGTAAGGCCGTAGATTGGTGGAGCCTTGGTACTCTGATGTATGATATGCTCACGGGCTCAGTAAGTTTATCCAATAAAAGTATTCCTGAACCTGAACAAAATAAATGCTGTAAATGCAATCTTATGAATGAATCATAACAATTATCACAGCCGCCCTTTACATCGGACAACCGAAGGAAGACTATAGAGAAGATTCTTCGCGGCAAACTAAACTTACCACCCTATCTGACACCGGATGCTCGAGACCTTATCCGTAAGCTATTAAAGGTTCGTATCACATAAACAAACCAAAAAAGAAAACAACGTCATCACTCCCTAATCTAACCTTCTAATATATTCAATCTTACTCAATTTTATCCAATGTCCATACCCACCTTCAGACATTTCTCCTCTTTCAAACTTTCCACGACTTCCATATAAAAACTCCAAGGTAAAAAAATCACATGCTGGTGCTAACCATTTACTCTGAAAGATACTGCAACAATAATCAAATTTTTCATACAGCGTCAAGTCGCCCATCGATTGGGATCAGTTCCAGCAGATGCTGAACAAATAAAGAACCATCAGTTCTTCAAGCACATCAATTGGAACGACGTTATATCCCGTAAGCTGGAGCCGCCATTCAAACCAACCCTCACAAGCGAGGATGACGTGTCTCAATTTGACAAGAAATTCACAACTTCAGCTCCTGTAGACTCACCAGCCGAATACACATTGAGCGAATCAGCCAACAGAGTGTTTCAAGTGGGTTCCAATCATAATTATCTTTATCTTCTTTTTAAAATCACTCAGAGATCACGACCTTAACTTTTTTTTCCGTATCACTCCATAACACCCGTCTAGACATCTATTTAATCTTAACATTTTTTATTATCAGGGTTTCACATATGTCGCTCCAAGCATTCTCGAAGACATGTACTCGCAGCCGCGAGTAATAAATGCCCGTAGTCCTCGCAGAGGACACATGCGCGGATTCTCACCACGCGGAACCCACATTCATATTCACTCTTCCCATTTACCCAATCACAGGTAAGTACGAAATAATTAATTTCCCTGTGTATAATTTTACTCCGCAATCATTAGATATGAAGACATATATATGCCTGACTGCACATTATTTTCACCCTGTTGGATTGAGTTCTCGCATGTTCCTCAGGCACAACGGCGTGGGACACAATAGCATAGAAGACACGGAGATGATTGAGATAGGTTAACTGCCAGTTATCTCATAGCGAATAACGTTTAGCAGTTTATCGCCTAACTGCTGGGCTTCCCGTTACCGATGCCCGAGAGTCTCAGGGAGGGATTTTATAAACACTTTAGACTGGTTAACGTCGGCATCGGTCGTGTACGATCGATTCGATCGACACTTGGATGCCCAGTAGTTATGCTTAGCTAATTAATTACATTATTATTTAATTATATGTAACGAATTATTACGGATATATTAGTTAAGAGATTACGCTTGAGTAGCAGCGGCGCTGCCAGCAGATAGCCCTTTAACGAGACGGATACTATGAGTACGATCAACGCGCGAATCATGACGACGTTAATTTTATTTTTATCCGCGTCCACCTGTCACATAAAATATATTTAGATGAATGAATATATATATACAGTTCAATTAAACAAAACTCTGCGCATATCGAGTCGAATTTTGTGCTATTATTTTGTTTTATACTGTTTTTATGACCGCGCATGCGCACAGCGTATATGCACTGTCATTATGTCTACATAAATATTATATATAAAATTTAATGACATTAATATCGAAACAATCATTTTTCGTAAGTCCGCGGTACGACAGATAGTAAATAAGTAGATAGGTTACACGTATCTTTTTTTTGTACGCTGGTTAATTACGATTGATCGTCTCGTGAACGAAAATTTAACTATGAAAAAATTATATCGAAAGGCCTCTAAGGTTGTTATTTCTGCACCGCCGCTAGCTTAAAGCTTGTTCCACACCAATTGTTCATTAAATAAGCGATCTGCAGCAGTAAATTATCGTTTATCGGTAGAATCACTATGCAACGATACAGACTGTACTGGGATTTGAACGTTCGAGCCACAAAACGTGAACGCTGATATAATAATTGATAATAATAATAAACTGCACAAGAATAATTCATCATGTAGGGGACGAAGGAACTCTTGAAATACCGTGGAAGCATATAAAAACGTCGGGCAAGGAATTGGCGATGTGGAACGGACAAGTATATAAAGAGGAAAGAAATTTAAGAAAAGACACATTGAAGTTCCTACGATCACTGATATCGACAACTTATGACGTTATCATGGATCCGATTCAGATTCTCGGCGCCTACTCCACGTGTAGCATTGATATTACTTAATTTTTTTTTCTTTTTAATATTTTACCTTCTTCAAATCAATCTCGATAACGAGAAACTCCAGAGGGCTTCCCGTTGGCCGGTGTGCCATCCACTGCTAAACGGTAGAAACCAAAGAGAAATGAGAACCGAAGCCGCGAACCGGACTTGAGAGAGAAAAAGGAGTGAAAAATAAAAGTATAGTTACATTTAACGACTATATAACGTACGACGTTCCTTTCCACGTTGAGAAAGGGAAATCGTTAACTAGACTCAACTGAAGATTCGTGCCTATGCCATTAATTACGTCTACGCCAAAAAGGGCGTCGGTCCTCTTTATAAATAAAATATCACGACTATGACTATACTTGCTACTGAGACGACGACGACTCCAGACGTCGCAAGCAACGTTACATACGCAGCCAATCGCGGTCCTCGAAATCCGTGGATCTTTAACTGTCGCTTCTGTTCGATCGACAACTAAAATCGATCGACAATTAAAAAACACAACCGGTCAAGCGACGTTGAGAATTAGCAAACGCAAGATGGTACGGAATATGCAAATTCACCGTCTACTATGTCGAATCGCCCAAGAAACAGATTACGAAAACTGCCCAAGTGTTCACAGGTCGCCATAACCGGCTAATAAACAAAATCTTATCTTTTACATAATACTTAAGGCGGTCGGAAGGCGTCGTGCTTTTTCCGTTGGCGATTATTTTTGTAATATGCCACTTCTTTTGTCCATGTTCAGTTATAAAATTAGTGACTCTTCTTATGTTACTGCCTTCAAAGCAGACCGGCAGCCGACTATTGCAAAAGAATTCACAGATTTCTTAAAATGACGACTCTTATTTTTTAAATGTTTGACGTCGCCTTTCGACCGCATCCGTACGATTGCATACACTTACTAACATGCATACTGATTTATTATTTATAAGTGCATATACATTAATGAATAAGATTGTAATATTCGTAATTGATTGTATTATATGATAATGCGAGTCATCGGCGTCATTGACTACGTTCGGCGAGTATCTCGAGGTCACCAAAAACTTGCAATACGAAATTTGTTATATGTATGCCTGATCGATTGATACATATATACGTGCCTATGGATATATCATAATGATTACGAATCAGTTCTCCAGGAATGATATTGTAAAGCGTATAAAAAAAATACTTTGTCACTTTGATTGATTCTATTTGTGAAGCTCGCGGTGCGTCGTTGAGAAGACGTCGCAGGCGTCGCGACGCGTAACATATGACTATAGAATAATTAAGGAAGATAGACGTTAAGAATTAACATCATAATATTGCGAATTAACGCTACTATTTGTTGTTTTTTCTTCTTTTCTCTCAATGTCTCTTTTTTCTATTTTTTATCATCCCTCTCTGTAGAGTTGATGACTCTTGTAAAGTTTCGTCAACGTTTGTAACATCTGTGTTTCTTCTTTACTGTTGGCACTGTGTCCATCGATGGTAATGCATTTTGTGAAAGGGACACGTGGCGATTTAATTTAACGGTTGTTTCTTTTTATTCTTTTGGTTTGGTGCGAGACGAAAATGTGCTGTGAGGGGCTCCCGCAATGTCGACCCATTTTTATAATGTTTAGAGAGGACAAAGTAAAGAAAAAAGATTGAGCACATGAATTAATATTTTATTCGTTGCTTATCTGTTAATAATCGGTATCATTATTCGTATTTAATAAATCTACGATTGAAATTAGACTACGTTTAAATTTATTAATGGCATTTAACGGTGAAATAAAAATTTGAGAGGGGTTGGGAGAGTCTAGAGTGTAAGAATTTGAATTTTTTCGAACCACCCAGAACGAAGAAATAATTATGTAAGTGGTTTCTTCTCTAATTATAATTTAATAAATAAGAGATTGATTTTTATTGATCGAATGATGTATACCACAGCTATCGCCTTATACAATTAGTGTAACGAGAAGATGCACTTTTTCTCTCTCTATCCCCCCCCTCTCTCTCTCTCTCTCTCGATTATTAATCGTGTGCGTAATTAAATAGCTTGTAATGCTATGTTGATTAGTTGATGGCAGATAATTATGTATTATCGCGATTTTTGTTCTTTTTCGTAAAATCATTTTTCACGAACCCACGAAATCATAATAGAAACACAATATTGCGTCGTTCCACTAATTTTGTTTGAATCGAGGATCGCCGAACTTCAAAATATCGTTGACATTTTTGTACGTTCGAATTAGACATATTCATATACTGTTCAATGCTTCCAGTTAAAGTTGTAAGCATTAAGTGTGCGCCTTGACATTTTAAAATGACATTGAAATCACATTATTAGAACGGCAATACGATTCGTTCGAGACTTCGGAAGAACATGAATTAAAAACTGTTCGCTTATGTTTTATGCTCAGATTTAAATCAACGTTATTTTTTACTTTTCGCATTCAAAAGATATCTATCAGCTATATCGAATTGTAGTTACCATCGATCGTTCGAAAATAGTTTATCAAATCGTTTATCATACGACTCCAAACAGTCTAGTAAATAAACGAAATAAACAGCGTCATTCGTAACGGTAAATTCGATTAAGTATATTGGGGCTGCTTTTCAGTCGATTCTGAATATAGAAAAATAACACGCGATTTTCTCGTGTATTATTTTTCTAGACGGAAGATGGGCTGAATGGTAACTGTAATTGATAAACGAACAATCGCTAATTTAGTTTCTAATGTAATCTTATTTATTTAATTATAACTTTATAATATGTAACGTGAATACAGAGCTATTTTAAATAAATACTATCCATATCGTGATGGTAGGTACAGTTAACGCCAATGCGAAAGCACTGTTCGTATTTTTGTTTTATTCACATACGGTATTATTAATACCGAAGGAAACGCTATTGTTAATAAAATTCGAAACTTCAATTTTGAATATACGTTAAAAGGTTTACACGGTCCTATGTAAATGATGGATCCGATACTTATCAGATAATTGTGTATTGTGTGGAGCTAATCGTTTCTTGGCATTCATTATAACTAAGGTAGTTTACTTAATATGATTAATATTGTACAATAAAGTCGTGAATGCTTTGAAATTATGAATAACGTTTTTGAATGACTCGCATGCAACCATTTTTTGAACTCCTGCCCCGAAAAGTCCTATTAGGTGTAATAAGCGCATTGAAATTTCTAATTATTGATTTATATTATATCCATTACTATTTCACGCCATTGTTGTAAATCATTATATTAAATTATTAGAACGTTCTTTATCTATATGTTCGATATTTTTGGATATATTAATATAATACATACGTCTGTGATGGCTTTTCAAATGGTTCAGATGCTTTTCTTCCGACTGGTTGTTTCGTAATGGCGGTTCACCACATGCGGTACGATTTATGTGTTCTAACCTAATTGTGCTTTTTGAGAAAGACAAATTTTGTAGATCGTTGAAATTTATGTGAACTTGGTTTTGACGTATTCTGAATTTACACATAATAATGGAAGTAACTGTAGGTGATGTGGCGATGCCTGGAGATATCATAAAGGACATTTCAACACATAATACCAAGGATAAAATAATATTAGGTCCAGGACTTCGTCGCGACGGCGAAGTCATTGTTGCCAGTAAAGCTGGCGTTTTACGAAAAGGTCAATCTGCCACTTACTACATTGACAGTTACCAGAAAAGGTTTGATAATTTAATATATGATTATTGTATTTTTGTAATTATTCAATCAAAACATTCAATAAAACTAATTCATTCGTCGTTTCTGCAGGTACATTCCAAACCGAGGTGAAAATGTTGTGGGTATAGTAACTCAAAAGGTTGGAGACATTTTTAAAGTTGACATAGCAGCCAGCGAACAAGCAGGCCTTTCTTATATGGCTTTTGAAGGTGCCAGTAAAAGAAATCGACCTGATGTTCAAGTTGGTGATGTAGTCTTTGCAAAGCTGTTGGTTGCAAGTAAAGATATGGAACCTGAACTAGTTTGCGTAGATTCTCTTGGAAAGAAAGGAAAATTAGGTGTATTGAGTTCAGATGGCATGTTATTTACATGTTCTTTTAGTCTCGTAAGGAAAATTCTCAATCCTGAGTGTCCATTATTTAAAATGTTGGGAAAGGAGCAAGCATATGATCTTGCAGTTGGTATGAATGGGAGAGTCTGGATAAAGGCAAGATCGGTTCATGAAACAATAGCAGTTGCTAATGCAATTCTTGCTGCAGAATACACAGCGCTATCAGAAATGAACTCTTTATGTAATCGTATAGCAAAAATGTTACTACAGCAGAGATAACAATAGATGCTCTATGATATTCCAAAGAATTATGTGTGTTTATTGTATCGATATTTGTGATAATCTTTTTAAATAAATTCTTATAACTCAATCGACATTATTAACTTGCCTTACATAGCGATTACAATGACAAAAGGTAGACCAAAAGATACAAGTATTAGATATAATGTCATTGAAAATACAGTGGTCGTGTACAATATTATATTATGATGGAAACAGTAAGTTTTATAATCATTAGATTAACATTACTGTCGAACGAAATAAGTGATACTTCTTTATATTTCATTATTTTTTCTTGGTACTCTCTGACTGTCCTTAAACAATGTTCTCTATACTCTGTTATTATGATTGTATTCGATAATCAAATTGCAGCGGAGGAGTTGCAAACATAAGATCCACTTTTTCCTGCTCAGGTACAACAATTCATCTGATTATGCAACAAGAAAAAGTCTATGCCACAGTACGTAAGAGCCATCACCAATGAAAGTACAACCTTATTCATCATTAAGATACTCTAACAACACCATGAAATAATTATTAATAAAACAAAACAAGATCGATCTCTTAAAAATATCCTTAGTAGTCTCCTCTACGGCAATTTGATTTTCAAAAATGACTGTCCATTGAATTCACAACCCCATTTGTCTCACTCTCTGATTAATATGCATGCCTTAAAATAAACAACCATTTTAAGTTGTAGTACGTGTCAATATTGCATAATACGTTCTAATATATAGTATTGATGATAGGTACAAATCTAAACAGAGATTCCGTGCTGTAATGATAACATGAGAAAAATGAGTACGTAGTATCCTTCCTGATATGTTCCTAAGGTTTGTCATCGAATGTATTGCAATAGTGTGATCCTAGTAACACAAAGCGCTGATAGTTACTCACACGCGTGATTACTTTCTTTCATTTCATTCAGAAAAATACAATAAAGAATTTTTCAATTAAGATAGGAGTGTCACACTTCCGTATTTATAGTTGGAGAGAATGATACAGAAGACATTTTTGTACTTGGCGTTTACACCATTTCTTTTTCGTTTATTTTTAATAAATAAAATGTGAACATCCGAGTATCATTGTCATTGTTAGATACGCACGTCAATGAAAGAATCAGATCTCGAATAATTATGTATGTTATTGATACATAAAATCTTTATGAATGCCTAACGTAAAGTAAAGTTAAAACAATTTATTTGAACTAACAAATCAAAGACTCTGAAAAATTCACTTAGCCAAATTGGGCGTCGGTCATTCAGTGATCATCGGACGTTAATAATTATTCTGTAAATAAAATATATCCTCACTCTCAAAGGCAATATCGTAATAATTCACAGGTAGAGTAATGTCTTTAGTAAGCGTGCTTAAATATTGTGTAAATAAATTGTGTTGCTAAGTATAACGTAAAAACAAGTAAAGTGAACAACGGAACGTGACTTCTACGTTAAACCTATTTAAATAAACATAAACGGTACAAGGAACAATAAGCCAACCAATAACGACCATATGGAATATAACTTCAACGAAGAAAATAAACGACCGCATCAGCAATACCAATTAAATCAGTGCTCTGGTTTACGTTCACGCGCCTGTTAAATTTATTTCGATTATTAATTCAAAAGGAAGTAAGGTATGAACCACTGGGCAAGATAGAAATTCATTAAATTTGCAACGTAACCTGATACGCGCATATCAAAGAAGGATAAAGTGTGAAACAATAAGCAAGAAACAAAATGACTACAATGATAATCGCAATGATTGCTCAATAAAATAAAAAATATATATACGTTGTATATTATACCCATACCACATAGGATTTACTCATTAATCGTTATCGCAGCTTTGCATAAAATCACTAACAATAATATCCTTGTTTTCCTAATTCCCGTTTGAATTAGATGTTAGACAATGCGCATGCGCAGAATCGCCGCGTTACTCGCAAGGATATAAAACTAGCACTAACCATATTAATATAGTAGAATATGACAATTGCAGCGTTTTTTACAAAAAGAAACCAAAGAGAAAAATAAATAAAGTAACGAAGCTCTATTAACAAATGTAAATTAACGCACGTCCCATTAAATCGATACCGTCCATACGAGATTCTAAAATACATTATAATGTCACTTTCTTCTTCTTCCTTTTTTCTTTTGTAAAAATCGCTTCAGTTGTATCTTTATCTTTTTTTAAATCCATTTTGGTATGACAATAGGCAGGCAATATGTATGTTGGGGACGATCGAATGGTGCCACCAGCAACCATAACACTATTCTACGGTATTGTGCTTACTTAATAATAATAATACGAATTCACGGATGTGAGTATAGTGTGTATAAATATGCGTGTACATATAACGTTAATGTACTCGCGTGTTGTGTTCTTTATGCGTGCTGATTCAGATAAATAGAATATAGCAAATACCTTTAAAGCGACTATAATTGTGCGAGAATACGGAGGGAGAACTGAGAAGACAATTTGTTAAACAATTACGTTACAAGACAAGAGACGATTCGCTAAATGGCACAAAGCGGAGTTTAACCTAAAATTCGACTTGACGTTTTCTTTTTTTTTAACGATTGTTCTACCATTCTTTTCGAATCCCACGCGTCAGTCGTACCAATAAAATTTCACAAATTGTTCACTGCCATAATCGCCCAAGAGATTCCTTACTCGCACTCCCTCGATTTAAATCTTTCTAATAAATGTAATAAAAAAGGTGGTCTAATATTAAATGCTTATTACTAGAATTATTCAGTGTGCGTACATTCACCGATATCTTTTCTTGTGTCGCGTGTTATGAAAAAGAGCATTTATTTTATGCACGTTACAACGCACGTCGTAGCTCGATTGCATTGTCATTTTTATTAGTAGCAAAGAATTCCGTGAATGTAATTATATCTATAAAGCCGTGCCAAAGTGATTCTGGAGAGTGTCCTAATATAGGATCCTAGGTGCAGGACTGGGCCTCTATGGGCTTTTTGTTATTTGCTACCTTTTATACTATATAATAAAAGTACAGTAAATAACAAACGACGGACATGTAAAAGGACTAGTTTTTCTACTAAACAGCTTTGCAAACTACTACAAGGCTTCAGATATTTTAATTACCAAGTAACCTAAACTACGGATTGGCTGCCATCTGCTTGGTTAATGCATAAGGATTATCGCAGGAATTAAACTCGCAATTTCCCCAATATCGTGGTAATTTGAATAACAAGTACCATACATTAAAACTGAAAGTTGAAGTAAATCGAAACACGTGTGAGCGACATAGAAATCTATGGGTAAAAATGTATGATACTTCACTAGTTTCTACATGAAAGACGTGCGATTTCATTTTTCCTTAATATTGCCAATTTTTAGGCACATTCGTATAGAACGTGTGGAAGTATCTTGTTTTTTTTTTCGCCTAAATAAAATTTCGAAATTAATATTTAGGCAGATTCATACTAGCTATCATCAAACAAGTTCATTTTGACAAATCAGAAAGCAACAGAATATTCTTTACGTTACTGATTAAATCTCAAATTTTAGTATTACAATACAGAATTCAAAGTTTGCAAATTTGACAAAATACAAAATTACATTTGAAATTTAAACTTTTCAAAATTCTCATCTCCTTTGTCACTCACTTTCAAAAACAATATTTGGACGTTGATACGCTACCCCTATTACTACTACAATGTAAGCGCAGTATGTTCGAACATAATATTTGTGCTTTCTTTTTTTAAAATGCAGAGTCGTATCAGTTACAAAAATCTAATAGAAATTTTAACAGTATTTCTTGGGCAATAGGCCACTATATACTGTTGTATTTCACTTATTACGGTAAACAGGTCTTGCAAAACCTCTCAGCATGAATAGAGAAACTGTACGACTCTTCGAAATGAAACGGAAGAAACGAAAGACAATCGAAGGAACATATTTAACAATAAATTGTGAGCAAGTGGAACAAACCGCTCACGAAGCTCAATATATCATCGTAGGATAAAATCATGACTATACGAATATTATACAGATAAATATTACACCATATCGCGTCTCAGCATTTTATATATATAAAAAATTGTCTTTGCTTATAGCTAAAATATTACGATGCCTCGGCTATATAAATATATGTTCATATATATATATATTAATTATTATTGTTATTATTATCGTATCGTATTATAATTATTTTCTTTTGTTTTCTTCTTATCAGCGTGTATAATAAATATTTACCATTCACAACACAGAGTGCATAGTACGAAGCTGTAACGTATCTGTTTTAGTCCCCCATCCACGTTAACCCTTATCCAAAATTTTTGTTTCTTTCTTTCTCTCTTGCTATCATTAATCGATCATTACTTGTTTTTGTCCTTTCTTTAAGAAAGCGTTACCGGGACAGGAGAAACCGATCGCAAAAGCTTCTACGTAACAACGCACAACCAATTCTTATACAACCTGCGTGCACCAAATTATCGCGATTCACATTTTTAATTATTCTCTGACAGGAGCGAGCTTTCGTGTTTAATTATTATGCCTTTGTGTTTTAAGCAGTTACTTTCGTATTTTTAATCATAACAGATTCATACCTAACCGTATGGCATAAGTGTCACGTATCAACGGAATGTAATTTATTATACGATGAGTTTGCCTTAAGTATATAATTACAATTTAGAAATCATTTAATCATGGATATTGATCCTAAGATCTGACGCGTGATTTTTCTTGTTGTAGTATCTTTTCCGTTTAAAATCTATTCGCATTAAAAGTTACTCTTGGGGGTGAAGATGGTCCTGTCAGTGAAATGTATCTATGATAAATCCTAAGCACGTATCCACGTTTACATATTAATGACTACGCGTGATTATAATAATGGCGATATAGTATTCCGCATATTTTCAAAATACGAAACATTAACTCTCAGGATGAAAAGTGTATGCTGATTTGTATCTATGCTTTGTTTGCTTTTGACTTTTGAAAACGCGAGGAATACCGCAAAGGCTGGAAGTGGTTACTAATATGAAATTTAAAAATGACTTTTTCTTTCTCCTTCTTGCTTCGTGCACTCTGCTTGTCCTTTAAAACATTGCGTTTATTTCTTATGGTGCTTTATTTTATTTATTTATTTATTTTTTGATAATTTTTAAAAAGAAACAAAAACGCAACGTTTTAGGACTATACTATGTATGTATAATCAATCCAATAATAAAATGTGAAGTCTAGAGGACTCTTTTTCATTGAAATTTATATTAAGATGGCCCCTCGAAAACATATTTTATTCGTGGACGGATTATATACATTTTTTACTCAGTACAGTCGTATCCGATTAAGAGTTCTGATATGACGTTATTCGAAATTTACGAATATTCAAGGCTTTACGTAAAGTCTCTCTGTCATGGCTAATTTTCTCTTTTTCGCACACTTCATCAATTACGTCAATAAGTTTCGCGGCGAATAAACGTGCATAGTCTTCGTAGGAGTAAATTATAACAATCTAAATTCCCAAAGGGAAAAATTGGGCCCTTTATCGCGATGGCGGTTCGATGATAAATTATAAGAATATGAAAAAAGCTTGCTTAAACATGTTTTCTCCAAAAAAAGAAAGCTAAATTCGATTTTTATAGTGCACCATCTTTTCATTTTGTCTTATCCATCCTTGATACGTTTGAAGCGTTCTATGGTATAAAATCAGTTAAATTTAGGTACAAACCAGTGGAGGTTTAAGCTTGGAAATATTTTGAATATAAACAAATTTCTCAGAGCCCAATTAAAATTTTGCGTGTGCTGCATCTAATATTATTTACGCGACAATTAATTTTAATATTTTTTATAAACGTCTAGCCTTTCACCTTTCTAAATTTTGACTATCGCAAATCTACTTCTTACAGATTAATTGCTTAGCGAAATTGTGCTTATGCTTGTCTGAATTTCATTTGGATTCAATTTGATTCATATCGGAATCGGACATTCTGATTTACAAAGAGCAGTGCAAAACTCTAGAATGAAGAGAGTATTGCTTGAACGACTTGGCTATAGATACATATGAGCGTTAATGTATATTGTAACAGGATTCCAAAGAAGCATGCTACATTTGAAAATTGATATTCGAATTTTAGCGACATTTTGTAGTTTGCTCTATTTCACTTGGAAGTATTACTCAGTGTGCTTACGTTATAGTGTAGCAAAGCACTAAAGTGCTATTTCGTACATTGATGTTGCGACATTTATATGTACCAAGCAGGGCAGAACGCATTTCCGACTATAATAATTTTGTATAAATCGTATTGATTTTTCACGTATTGTATGAATGTATGACTTTATGATAAAATTTAAAAACAAAAGAAAGTAATACTTTTAACGTTAGTTGCGCATTATGAGAGAGCAATGTTTATCAATGATCGCATCTAAATTACGTAAATGTCAGTGAATAGTATTTTACGAATTTGTCATGTCCAATTGGTCGATCTAATGATGACTGAAGAGCGTAATACGTTAACCTACAAAAAATCTCACTTTCGACGCCCATGGCCTTAGTGATATCTGTGCATCGTTTTACGTCCCTCCAAAAATCGGACAACCGTCGATTGGCGACTTCGCGATTGTTTGCAAAAATAAGTATAAAAAAATATCTACAATAATCGAAGTAAGATTCACTGGAATGTGCAAGAAATACGAGACACATTCATTAATGTCATGGTGACGGATCTAGTTACCATTTCCATGAATTCCAACAAATAAAATATATTGGAATCCCTAATAAGAGTTTTACAGTCTTACTAACGTTTCGTGTTATCATCTTTTAAATTCCCTTCGATTTTTTTTTTCTTCTTTTCGTTATGGAAGTTTTTCTGAGATAAGCTCAGTCAACGACGGGATTGACCGCCTGTCGAGTTGTCACGACCGTGCGTGGCATCTGCCGTGAGAACTATTTTTTTGAAAAACTTTGTAGTCCCATTTTTTCCTATTCTCGTCTCATTTTCAATCACTCGAGAAACCTAGCAGAGTCTTACAAGTTTCTTTTTTTTTTAGTTTGAACACTTTATATTGCGACTGAAATAATCTCCGTTCGTAACGATCGGTGAAATTTCAAATTCGTGGACAAGGAATTGTAAAACCTCGCAAGTAATTTGCGAAAAGTCTTGTCTCGTTAAATCATCTCTAGCTTTTTCATTCTTCTCGATACTAGAATCACGAATTGCGTACGTACGTGTTCTAGCTGCTTACGTGTTTTGGATGATGTTGTTCCTCCTTGTTTAGTAAGCCTTTGTGATATACTGAGATTACGAAAAGTTTCGTTTAGTCTAACAATCGCTAGAGTCGCCTTGGTTGTATGACGGTGTTGTTGTTCAGTCGTGTAGTCGTTTGATTATTTGAATTTTCATCTTGGGGAATGCGTTCTGTCCTCTCGTCGAAGAATCCTGGATTCAGGATAATGTTTGGCACCAGCTCAATCACCTCCTGCTCCTCCAGCTGCGCTGCAATTCGTGAGCGGAGATTAATTTTCATTGGTCTAGGTCACGAACCATATTGGCTTCTACCCTTTCCCTTTGTCCACTTATCCGCTGGGTGTTTGACGTTAAAAGACCTAATATAAACCTTCGGTAAAGTAAAAGGAAGGAAGCACGAACAACCATGAGGTGTGATTTTTTTCTTTTCTACTATTTTCTTATTAACCCAGATATTCTTTACAAAATATCGATTCGTCGTCACTAACCCTTTCACCCAGCGGATGCATGTGCTAACCTTTGGCCTTACTGCTACCTGGCCAAAGATATTCTAGTAGCACATAACGACATTATCTAGGCCGTAATGCTCTACCTCTATCGTCATACTTGCTATTCATGACACTATTTCTCCATTCGGCATAACAGTTTTTGAATCAACCACCAAAACTTATTAAAATATATCCCATAACAGATTAGGGCGTTTTATCAGAAATCTTTAATCGATAATTGGAACCTGCATTAGAAAACAGTCGGTAATTATTTAATAAGTTTAGTGGTTGCGAATCTATGTATTAATTTAGGGTCCCATACCAAGGATCTATGAAGTGCAGTACCAAGAGTTAAATGATCGTACATAGAAAAACGTTAAAAGTTAAATTTAGTGCCTTATATTTTAAAGCATCTAGTGCGAGAGTTAAGAGAGTAAAATGATTTGTATGATTTTTTGTTGGTTGTTTAATTAGGATACTTTTAATAAGTCTAATCGTTTTGTAAAGCGCTTGCAGCTAGAAAAGATCAAGTGAAAGATAATTGACATTGTATTAGAGTAGCATTAAGTCGATCGAGAGATAGGTGATTATTTTAAGGAAAGCTAGAGATCAGGGCCATAGATAAGTTTAGTGGATAGCAGTGTCGTTGCTGCTGCCAATAAGAGCAACCCACATTCAGAGTACTTCAGTAGAGAGTCAATCGATTGTATAAAGAAAGAGAAAAAAACAATCAATAACAAATTTGTATATTTAGAAAAATATTCGTGACTCCCGGCAGAAGCAACGGCTCCAAAGAGATAGAGTAGAAGCAAAAGCTTTTATATAGAGTTACAAGAAGATGCTTACAGGGTGCCTTGCACTCATGGTACAGAAGGTAGCAAGTCCCTAAACCGAGGATCATTAAGGTCCCCATGACAATGCCTACCGCTGCCACCCATACGCGGGTATCGAAATTCTCCACACCGGCAAGTAGATGCCTGGCGAGTTCTGAAACAATTAGACCGTGTCTATCTTCTTGAAAATATGATCCCTTAGGAATGATCGAATAACTGTATGAGAGCTCGTAAATGAATACATACCTAGCTCCTCGATACTATGATGAGTATGACCTTCGACTTCCACGATCTCGCCAGGTCCGAGTTGATTAGTAGCCCAGACGCGGAATGAGTACGTCGTATTTGGCTCCAAGTGATATACATCTATTTGCCTCTGAAAGTTAAAGTATAGTCGAATTGAAAGGCGTCCAAGTGCATATTTTGATATTGGAATAAGGTATGTTTAGTTTATAGTTGCTTACAGAATTTGGAGGAATATGCGTTGGAATGATGGGCTTCCAGTCTTCGGGTTCCTCATCCGCACTCGGTTTTAGACGATACTCGGCAGTAAAATCTATAATAGGATAGCCGCCCGTCCCGGCTACTTCCCATAAAATATTTGCCAAAATCGTTGATGGCTTCACCCATACGTTGTGCAAAGCCGGAGGTGGTGCTAGAATGAAAATCGTTGCCAATAATTAACTACTAAGAGATTCTATGCGTTACTGATAAGGGTAATCACGACTGTGAAACGTACTTCTGACACGTACGTTGATCCTGGTCTTAACAGCATCTGCATCATTGTCTAAAGTGCAGGAGTAGTTCCCTGCATCATCCCTGCTTACATTGACCAATTCAAAGGATCCATCAAGTTCGACTTTTACTCTCTGAACTTGACCATCTTCCCGGCCTTCACGAACCCACATCACCCCCGAGGACTGACCCGTTGATACAAGTGCATCTTTCTCGGCACAAGCCAAGGTCAGGTTTTGGCCTAAGTCTACATCTACATCACGTACTGGTACTAACGCTAGTACTTTTTGCCATCCTAGAATCACAAAAAATTATACTGTGCATGGACTATGAATATAAAAAGCAATGATCCGTTTCACCTTTAGACTATTCTACTTCAATCTATCTAGTTGGCTGATGTGTCAAAGAAGACCTTGAGACATGCAATTTCCATGTATCATCATATGGTTTTTGTTCTCAGCTACTAATCGGAATACCTAATTGTATGTAAAATTGTATATCTTTAATCTTTAATGTCAGCTTTACTCTGGATCGTAACAAGTCACTGAAGCAAAACTGGTTCAGCATAAAAAGGATAAAAATTACTATCAATCAATATAATGGTATATAAAAACAATCTCAAGTTTCTATAATTATGTATAAATACATAAATTCTCATATGCATAAAATCATAATAATCGTACATCAATGCACTTTGTATCTTTTTATAATAAGTGTATCTTACCTACTCGTTATGTAATACAAATGATACCAGTATTCTGAAAGTAGCAAATTATAATAAGCAGTATTGAAGGAAGACTATATCAGATCCACATAACTATCATCAGATCACATTGTTCTCAACTAGCATGATACAGGTGCACGATTAAACGGAAGTGCTTATATATATACAAAACTGTGTAGCAGTGTGTGTATTAGCAGGGAAACAAACGATTATTCTATTCCGGCTAGAAGAAAAACATTTTATCACGAACGTCATACTAACTCGCTCCAATGTCCAAAACATTAAGGTCCAAAATATAATTTTGCCAATTGACCAATTTAAACGGCTAATCGAAATGATAACGACTTATTCGCAATTGGCATCCGCTTTATTTATTCGGTGCATATCGTGTGACACATGTATATAGCTACCTACTACACTCCCGGTGGCTTATATAAATACAAGAGCATTGATCGGCAGGTGTATACGCCTCACGTAAAATATTCGATTTTCTTACCTGCCAGTAAAAGTAGCAGTAACGCAGCCCCGTGCCCAACCATTCTCCCATATTAGGCAGTCGCGACATACACGCGAAAACGTTATTAAACCTTTGCAGGCGACTTCATTTCCCTGTCAACGAATAGAACGTCACTTCTCAGCGTCGCCTGTCAAAAGCATCACGCCTTCGGGAATACCACCCGACCGTCGCACTTTATTGAATCGATCAAAGAGCCCTCTACCGTAATTCCGACCAACTGCGAGATCAACACGTGTTACCAAATGATTCCCTGAAAAATACCTAGCATTAGAACAAAAAAAAGTGAAGCTTAAAAAATCCCAGAGGTTAATTAGCTATCATAAATTGGGAAATGTCAGGATAACTGAAGGTATTGTAATTGAAAATAAATATGGTGAACATTCGTGTGAATGATACTACTTCAAGTTTACATTTACAAACGTTTCTAAATATTTTTCTGAATCATATTTGCTTGTATTATTAAAAATTTGGATCTGTCTTACTTCGCTGTAATTTTTCTTGCGTATGTTGCTATGCATGACGGTTTTGAGGTCGCCATTACGAATTGTCAATAGGGTAGGAATCTTTTCTATCAACGGAATCAAGCAAGCTCAAGATCCTGATCAGAAATAACCAGAGAAAACTGACGGCAGTTGCGGATTGGATAATTGGTGCAGTTTGTGTGAGACAGTTGTGTATATACAAGGGGAGCAAAAAGTGACTAGCATCACGGACGCATCAAGAAATTGGTACGTAGATTGTACTCGAAACAGAAGGCGCCATAATGATCGATCCACTGCTCCTATCAATTTAACCGACATCTAAACCTTGCATCCTACTAGAAACGTTATTTTTCTCTTTATCAATAATATGTTCTTTGAAAAGCGTTTGAGTAGGATTAATTTTCACATATGTATGCAAGACGTCACGCATATGTTTTATACATACGATAAAGCGTTTTATATCCTGGTTACCTTATCAAGCCAGGATGAAGAAAGAAACGACAGCCTTCGTTCTTCATTTGTAGAAAAGTTATTGAAAAGTATAAAATAAATCGGTCGAGATATTATTCGAATTATTAACGACGATCTTCAAGTTTATTGAAGATCTTATCATTAATGTTATACTGATTGTATTTTTTGCCATGCTTATGATAAATTATTAATCCTTAGGCTTAGGATTTTAGTAAATATCAAGTTTAATTTTCTTTATAATAAAAATGTCTACTATTTTAAGTATTACCTTTTATGATTTACGATAAATTATAAGGTTTTGACACAAGGCCTTTATAAGGTTTTATCAGTCCTTTTATGTATACCATTCATATTTTCTCTGATCATTTGGAATTCTTTTAACATTTCTTGCTTGACTCAAAGAATGTGCGATACAATACATCCACCTATTATAATGTCTGTGACGTGTCTATTTGTTAGAAAATATGTAATAAATTGTTAAGTACTCGTATCTTTTCCAGTTTTTCGTAAAGTGTTCGGTATACATACTCTGAATTTCTGGCATATATTACCTAATTTCAAGAAGTCATTTTTCGATGACTCATGTTGGTAAAGCGTCTGTCAAAAAAAAACCAATCCTATCTGTATGACGAAGCGTGAACTTGTATCACAATTTTCCAGGCGAGCTAAAAACTAGATGTAAATTTTATCGATTTCACTCTGTTCCGATTGTCCGTTGATTTAACGCGTTTTTGATCGCTCCGCTTCGTCGTTTCGCAACGACTGTCAATTAATTATTCGTTTCCAGAAATTTTGATTATACGCAAGCCAAGAGATGTACGTAATTGTATTATAACTTCTATTGATCACGTAAAAACACTCAAGATTAATCACACTAGAACAGTACGAATCGTTGCTACACTTATAAAGGAAACCTCAAAACCAATAATAGCTGCTGCAAAAAATTGTCTTATGGCAACTTTAATAAAATCAACTATGCACAACGGAGAGATCACGAATAAAATTGTATGCATATAAAATATTCTTTAGTTAAGTTTTCTCACTGGACTTCTACCTCGAGCCGCATTCTAAACCCAACTATGACTCTGTCAACAAGCTATATATGTAGTTATAGAGATAACTAGTGTCAAAAGAAACCAGCTATCTAGCCGAGAAAACTAGTACAAACGAAAACGATCCGGACTCGCATAACACGTGAACTCAATATTGAAAATTAAATTCTGAAAGGTTCCCGCGTCAATACGTCTAACAAATAGTTACGTTGACTCCGCGTGACGTTGTAGCACGGCTCGATGAATAAATAAATTACCGAGGTGTGCTCTCGCCCAGTCCTGCTGCGTTCCCTCGGCCAAGAATTCAACAGCCTTGACGTCATGCAAGGTTCTCTTCGTCTGAATGACGTAAGAGGTGACGTCAGTAGACTGATCAATTGGCGCAAAAATGGGTTTACCTGGCATGCTTATTCGAATATCAACAAACTATGTATGTGATATATACTGTATTCTCCGTATGATGACTGGCGTAATGGATTTTGGCTCATTCTCAACTTTCTGTCGTTAACGAAATACTCTCTGTCTTCCCTGTCACACACATACCCACTTTATCTTCGTTTTTCTCATTCTTAGTGCGTTCATAGAACACATGACGTTTTGAAGTACGGTTTTGTTCTTCTGTACGACGATGATAAAGAAGCGTCACCTGTCATGTGAAATAACGATTACGTCTATGGGTTATAGGTACAAATTTTTATGAGATACAAATGACGTGACGCGTGCTTTGAATATAGAATACATCATTTGTTATTGATATACGGATGCACAACTATAAATCTAATTTACGTGACTATCAGTGAATTTTTGACAATAGCTGCATGATGAGGTCCCCTTGGAGACATATTTTTCAGCGCTCACACAACGATCTAACAAAGCCAGTGGTTGAATGTTTTTTCACAGAGTGGCATTCGAGTCTTGTGAATCTTTTTGTTGTAAAGGAGTGCACAGACGTTGTTTGCCTTCCCACTGAACGAATTGGAGTTACATGTTTCGTGGGATATTCCTAATTAACGCGTGGGGTAACTAGCAGTAGTGGCCCACATGTCCGATCGTTTATTTCGTGTCGACGAGAAATAGGTGGAGAACGTAACCTAATTACATTGGCGTACCTACCGATGCGGTCCCATATAGTTTGCCTTTATGGCTAGATTAACTGGAAAATTTATACGGATTTCGAAACGCCTGGTAAAATAACATAGAATCGAACACTACAATATGACCCGGGAAATCCTATCAGAGATAAACGACCCACGTGATATAAATTACATGAAAACCGAAGCACCATCGACAGGTAAAGGAAAAAGTGAATATATAAATTGCCTTTAAAAATTATTATCCCAGTACCGTTTTTCAGTTTTATATTCGGATGATTGAATTTTACATTTATATAGATTTCGCGTGGGCTGTCAACTCGTTAAATTATAGTAAAGGTTGACCTTCCAGCACAAGAGGTTACCACCGTAACAAAAGATCTCATCTCACGGTTGACATTTCAACGTACTGCTTCCAGTTGCATGATCCTTGCAAATTGACCCTGACGATTTTATACACATTGCAAGACCAAACAAGATAATCCCACCTGGAGATCAACTCGAGTCTCGTTTACAAGCAGCAATTTCTTTAGGAACTACTGAATCGCATGTCATCTTGTCATGCTCTCCTGATGTAGACAACGACGTCACAATACCACGCCGCGCCATTTCTAATAACATTCTGCAGTCACTTCTTTGTTGGAATGCCTGGCCTTGTTTGGGAACACGCGATCGAGTTCTCATCCCTGTATTTCGCCCAAGGTGAAGAAGCGAAATAACGAGAGCTATATATGTACATATATACTCTCAGCACACTGAAGTGGATTGCGCTTTTTATTATATCTCAGGGGAAGTAAAGAAGAGTTGAACAAAAATTCGTGGGAATTTTTGGGTGAGCTTGTACCTTAATATTTGGGCCGTGAGGCACAGGCAGAAATGGGATATCAACTCGGAGGGAGAAACTTCGACCCGTACTCTTGAAATGTCAAAGGTTACCGCGCAGGACATTCGCTTGTTTCGCATCAACCCTCCTAGGAAAATTAGAGGCATCGTTATTGTTACATTGCTGTGAAAATAATTATTTCTACTTTCATACCAGTCTTCATAGAAAACATCAGTTTTCGTTGTACCTTTAAAGGCATCGTTCCATGTCGAACGGATTAGTCGTATAAGACAGATTATTCGGGAAATTAAATCCCTCATTGGTCAGATTCAATGCGCCATCTGGTTTTCCAGGTTATACATCTTGTACGACGAGTTTGTTCGACGTTGGAAGGTAATTTTTTTTCTTAATCATACTTTTCTTTATTTTTGGTGATTTTCAAAAAATAACTGTTTACCCATTGACGAAGGATTGATTCGCTATATGTATTGAATTCTTTTGTACGCGTAACTGTGAACAAGAAAGTCCTCACGAGTCTACTGGATTTTTTGGTCTAACTATACGCTAATGTAGTAGCTATACCAGGGTAGGACGTAGTGGAAATAATGAGCAGGTTTACTTTATATCCTCCAGACTTGTCCGTGACCCCAGACATCCTGGCGTGCTGATAAAATATATAAGCTGTATGAGACGTATCGTCAGACATGCTATATATACTGTTATAAAGCATTATGCAATGTTAAGAGCATTTATACTATATAGGGAATGCATAATAGCTATTGCTGGAGTCCGTAGAAAAATGGCGTTGCAAGTAAAAGTGTAATATATGATTTATGTATATCATATATACTATAGAATAATTTATGAAAAATTTGCATTTTCAAATCAGTCGAGCTTCTAATATTTGATTTAATTTGACGAACGGCTGTACATTTTTCGAAGAATAGTGAATTCCTGTTACGATAATTGGTATTCAGAACGTATACTCTTCCGTTAAGAGCTGCCGCTTTAAAATCCATTACGATGATAAAGAGTTCCTATACAGAAAATCGGCCACGTTTGCAATTCTGGAGAGTGTTGCAAATTGTGTGTGCTATATGTGAATTGGTAATTTTGACACATTTGCTAAATATATTTGATTTATAAATAATATAAAACGTGAACTGGCAGTCTGTTACGGTTAGCTGACAAGTATCAGGGTCTTTACATGCGCGCATAAAAATTTGAGATTTAGTAAGATAAAGAATTTTATAACCTGAAAGACTTATTATGGTATTCTAATGTGATGTTTTTTTTACGTATTATCAATTTTCAATTTAGTAGAATCAAGCAAATACTAGCCGACACAAAACCTCTATATTATTCTATGGTCTTGGAGTAAAACTTTGGAAATGGCCAATGACGCAATTTTGAGCGAGTTTTGTTGCTTTGACGTGGGAAAAGAAGAAATTCACGTTGAGTTCATGGTGATACCAAAAAAAAAAGAAAGGATAAAACGTGTCACGTGACAAATGAAATTTTCTGAAGCTTGATTCCTTCGGGACTATCATCTGTGTCAAAAATTGAATGAATTATCTGTATTAAGTATTATAAAAAATTCTTGTCTATCTTTTACGAAAAAAAAAGAGGAAAATTTTGATTAACCATAAAATGCAAAATGGCAAGATTTCCGCGACCCCGCTGGATAAGAATCTTGAGTGTATCAGCTGTTGAAAATTCTTGCAGATATTCTATGCCCTTGGGAAAAATTTGGTCCAGACTCGCATCCTGCGAATGTCCACCGCCAAAGAATTCACGTGATGCAAAATGTCCTCCACCTGCATCTTCACCTTTAGAGGATCCTTGTTCGAAGACTTGTCCACCGCATGAACAAACACTACCTCCAGCTCCTTGTCCTTGCCCAGAACCTACGGATTGCGGGTCAAATGGTAAATTTAAAAAAGATTGCCTATTAATAACGAAAAATTCCAATTAAAAATGTCATGAATTATTTTTGAATTTTGAAACTAGATCAATCATCCCACGTGAGGCTATGGCGAATTATTACACTGTTGGCACTGCCAGTGATACTGTTAATGTCATCCCAGGTGTATCTGAAGCAACAGGAGGAAATGACAGAACCAAGACCAGAATATATACCATATGAGTACATGTACCGGCGCACAAAGGTACAATGTTCCAGACAAAGAAGAGCGTATAAGATTTATTTAAGATTTTTCTATACCGTTTAGTCATATCCATGGGGCGACGGGAACCATACATTATTCCATAATCCTCGTTTGAACGCCGTACCGCCAGATGGATATGAAGTTGAAGATCCATACGCGAGCAAACAGAAGAATAAGAGTAATTAAATATTTTGAATAAATTTATTAAATACGGAAGCGATGACAGGCAATGGTTAAATAAAGTTTTGCTCGTTCTGAATACACATATATTGATATGCCGGAAGGATTGTGTCTTCTTTACTTGTTTATTCCGCCATTTTGTCTGGAAAATAGATTTAGCTTTATGTGAGTCATCGATCGAATAAGAACTACCGGACGAGCACTTCCTGCACTTCTCAAAGGCACGTTATTACCGGTTGCCATTGCTATTCTATTGATGTTATTAATAGTCTATATCGAGTCGTTTCTCCAAGAGGCTTTGCTGTTCTGTTTACATTGCTGGGTAGCCGTTTTAGAATTGTTTTTGAAATTCACATCCTGACGTTTTTTTCACTTATTATACAATGTAGCTAAATTAACGCAATTACTTATAATGCATTATTTATACGTTTAAAATACAAAGGGTGCCAACATAATTATATACAGGACTTTATCGATTCTGACAACCTGTCAGCACTACGTTCCAAGTTATCAACAGGTTACAGATCAATCTATAAACCAGAGCGTTTTTTTCCTGAGTGAATACACGTCCTAAACTATAATATAATATAATATAATATAATATAATAACCCGCGAAAAATAGATTACAAAATCTAATATTACTACAGAATTATACATATACTGAGAGTATATACATATAATTTACAGGAATATATATTTTTTAAATTTAAAAATGCGCCAGAAAAGATACTATTTACAAATAATATTTTAGATATTGAAAATTGAAAAAAAATTCATATCCAACAATCTTCTATATAGACTGATCTCCAATCTAAATTTGACTATTGAGTTTCCTCATAAAATTCCCAGTGAAATTTTGATTCCCTCAATTCCCCTGGATCGATCAGGGGATCCATGCTCTCACCTGGCCAGAACCCCTAGGAGCTTCTTGGTAGCAGAACTCTAGTCTCCTCCGGTAGTGGTGCTATCCATGTTGTGGCGCAGCTGGTCTCGCGTTCTACCTCAGGATTGGGGGTCGATCAATAGAAGGCGGTTGTCCGGTTCGCCGGGTCGGGGGCGGATGATTTGCACTCCTTTGCTTCCTTCCAGCAACGCGGGTTGGTAGATCCGACACACGCGCTTTCACAGACGCGATCCAAGCGCGTTACCTGATAGGAACAAAACGGGGACAGTTTATTAGAAGGTAGCTCCCGTTTAGAAATTCTATAGTGAGCTATAAAAGAGGGCTGAAGAATCTTTTACAAAAGAGATTTACATCAATCTTCATTAATCATGAAGTGAATCTTTCAGTTTACTTATCTCGAGTATGTTTCAAGGATCACCCACTCATTAAACTGTGAATGATTGCGAGATAAGACGACTAATAATGTACTAATTGTTATTCGTGAGTGACAAGTGTGAGGAGTGAGCAAGTTCGAATTGCTGTGCGATAGTGAATGCTATCGGATTATGAATAATTTTATGTATAAAGGATATTTTTATTTTTTTATTTTTTCTTAAACAGTGATGTACGGGTTAGATCTGACGATCGAATGGATTTCCTTTGCAAGAGATTGGCGAAGCTGTTATAATGCCTGAGAGACTTCTTGAAGATGTACGAGATGGATTCATTCTTTGAATTGTCTTAAGTATCTGTTGTGGTCGTCCTTGGAATTTGGATGCTGCGCGTTTCGTCAAGCCTGGTCTTGGACATTGAAAAGATTTACATATAGTAAGTAAACAATCAATGACACTTAACTTAAAAATATCGTAGTTGTTACATGAGTTTTGAGAGATGAAATTTTATGTATGTACAAAACAGCGTAGTTCATAGCTGACAGAATTGAGAAGAGATCAAAAAGATATCACTGAACCCGTTCAAGAATACCAAAAAACGCGGCAAAATCATTTTCGCAAAGTTTTGCATATATTTTCTAGCATCCGTTAAATAAAATAGCTAGCAAGTTATCAACTGGTTGTCACTGACCATTCGTCTTAAACTATTAGTCTATATTCGGGTCATTTCAAATTTCTGCAAAAACACCAAACTGAAAAGGTTTATAAGTCAGTCATTAATAAAAATTGTTTAGAAAATTGCGTGGACTACTACTTGAATAATTTTGTTATGTCCACATAATAATAATAATATTACAGCTGTCCTATTAACAGAGTCTACATTTAAAATTGGTTACAATTAGAAATTATTCTAGCAAAATCTAGTTTCGTTGGTCTATCTGACAAGAATATGGACTGATATTTTTTATAAAAATAGAAATCAGACAATTGCGTATTTCCAAGGATGAATTAGAGACATTAGTCATTAGTTCGCACGCACCCTAATTTTTGATTGCAATGTAAAACTTGTAACTAGGGCACGTAGAAGGTTTCTGGCTAGGTTTAACCTGAGAGGGTATTCTATTATACGTTAACACAAGGAATTGGCACTTGGTGTGATTCCACGTAGGTGATGACGAGGCAGCCAAGTTCGTATGTGTAGTTTGGCCAGTTGACGGAGAGGGTCACTATCCTTGATTACGTATAACCATAAATGTGTACGTCAATTAGTTATTAATCAAGTCATTCTACTTAATTGCGTTTGAAGTCACGTGTATTCTGGCACCTCGAATCTGCGAAAAGATAGATCATAATCCTTTCCTAATACTTTTATTTATAATGAGAGTTTAATTTATTTTTCAGAGATGTTTGGGTGATGAAAAGCTATTGGCGACAAGATGTTAATAAAGGAATACCGAATACCACTGCCTCTTACGGTAGAAGAGTACAAGATTGCTCAGCTGTATATGATAGCGGTAATAATGATTTTTATAAATCACATTTTTACATAATTTTAATGCTTACTTAAAGTTACGATATATTTCTTTCTTTTGTTGGTTCACAGAAAAAATCGAGGGAAGAGAGCAAAGGCGTGGGCAGTGGTGTTGAGATTATCGTTAACGAACCGTACAATGATGGTCCTGGGGGAAATGGACAGTATACACATAAAATCTATCACGTAGGAAGCCATCTTCCAGGATGGTTCAAGAGTCTACTTCCGAAATCAGCTCTCACGGTGAAGGAGGAAGCCTGGAACGCTTATCCTTATACTAAAACAAGATACACCTGTCCCTTCGTGGAGAAGTTCTTTATAGAGATCGAGACTTACTATTATCCTGATAATGGGCATCAGGAAAATGTTTTTAAGTTGAGCGGAAGTGACCTCAGAAATCGGGTTGTAGGTATGTCAGCGATAAATCTGTTATTGTATCAAAGACTATGAGTAATACTTGCTTCCCAGCAAACGCAAATCGACCACAGGAATGTCGCAGATAAGTCTGTTATCTATGTAAAAGTAGCATAGAGGCTCCAAGTGGAAGTGCAGAAACTTTAAAGAGTTTTTTTGAACATTACGATGCAACTTCGCGACTTTCCTGCGATTTACTTGCGTGTTGCTGAGATATGCTGATTTCAAGCTGTACATTTTTTATTAACGTTTACAGTATATATTTTTTGTAATTTCGCAATGGGAACAAATTTCAAATATGTTAGAAACGTTGCATAATTGCTGTGAAATGACATTCCTTTGCATATTCTAATCGCACCCCACATTTCTTTTGCTGATTGCCATACATATATTATGACTTCACAAATTGTAACTTTTTCTAACATCGCAGATATTCCAGCGAAGTAGGAAGTCTTGTGGGTTTACATAGTTCCTAAAATAGATGCGTATAAATATACAACAGCTTATGTGAGCCGGGAAGTAGAATGCATGGATTACTAAATGTATGAAGACAGTCAATCTTCTTATCAAAGATTTACATGCTGCAAATCTATTCCAAGGATTGCATAATGAATTTATTATTATGTTTTTCTTATTATCTGAAGATATCATTGACGTGGTGAAGGATCAATTATATGGAGCGGATTACGTGAAAGAGGAAGATCCTAAAGTGTACGTTTCAGAAAAAACAGGACGAGGACCTCTTACCGAATCATGGCTGGAAGATTATTGGGGAGAAGTCAAGGTATAAATAAGTTTGAGTTTAATTATTTATCCAATGTAAGGTATGTTTTTGGAACCTTCAACTCACTAGGGAAAGCCCCAACCAACGTCTTCGGGAAAGTCCCTGATGTGCGCTTACAAACTATGTCGGGTGGAATTTCGTTACTGGGGCATGCAGACAAAATTGGAAAAGTTCATTCACGACATAGGTTAGTATATGTTCATAAATAATTATAATTATATATTAAAGCTTCCACAACTATTACAATGTCAATTTTAGCATTGCGAAAAATGATGCTACGTGCACATCGTCAAGCATGGGCGTGGCAGGACGAGTGGAATGGTTTGACCATGGAGGACATAAGAGAAATAGAGAGACAGACCCAACTTGCTCTTCAGAGGAAGATGGGGTTTAGTGAATCCGCCGAGGATATAGCAGATGGCGAAGAGCCAGCAGTAACAACAAACGCAGCTATGACTCCTCAGGATTCTGACGTAGCCAAGACATTAGCAGCTACCCTGGGCAGTATCGAAAAGAACGAAGATCCCCAAAGTCCACCGTCCTTAAGAAAACCATCCGATATACCGATAATTAATACAGCCGTGAGTTCCGAGGGTGAACTTAGTCCGGAAGACTCGCCCACTGAGTTATCCGCCCCAAGGTTAAATCCAATTTCTAATTTCAGACTAACTAATCGAACGCTATAGAATGAATTTCGTTATTCATTGTTTTGGCGGACGAATTTTTTTTTAGGAGCGTGGAAGAAAAATCAGACGGTAAAAAGGCGTGGAAGCGTAGCAATCTGTCTTTACATTCGCCAAGTTCAGCGAAGAGTTTTGAGATTCAAATAGCGAACTTACGGATGGAAAGTATCGTGAGAGAATCGGAATCCGGCAGCGAAGATGAGTTCTTCGACTGCCAAGGTAAATTCGACGCTCGTACCCTTTACGGGAAGCATGGCTATGATTACATATTTGATAGACTAGGAGTAAGAATTTGATCGAGCATTTTATCGTACCATAATTGAATGATAGCTAGGCAACACTGATACTTGCGGTACGCGTTAGTTTTATTATCAAGTCGTGCCACATGTCGGTTATTCAATTCCTGATATTATTCAATAAATTAATGATACTTTTTAAGAGTATCTTCCGATTGCATTTTTGAGAAACTGTCGCGTCCCGGAAGAATTGCATAATCGATATAAGCAAATAACATAGCACGAGCTAGCCTTGACAGTTTCTGTTTTTTTATGTGTACTCTCTCTTTGTTCTGTCGCACTCCGATACCGCAGCTGGGTTCATTATACCTACTATACGCAAAGGTAGGCGACGTAGGTAATGAAAATAGCTTTATATTAAAACAATCGCTTCAAATACTTTGAATACCTAACGACGAGTAGCCACGTATAATAGGTTAACAATATAAAGTACAACTTCGAGTAAAAAATAATCTTGTGGTGGAATTATGAAAGAGGGCAGCATTGAAGAGACACACTGTTAATTAATATAGGAGTTGAGCAAGAAAACGTGAAGCCCTTCGATGAGAACGGATGCTTCGGAAATTTGTTCTTTCTTTCTCTGCTAAACAATAATTTAATGCTTTAGATCGTTTGGAATTGAATTCAAGATAGAAGCGGAGGTTTATGCGTACAGTCGGGAACTTCACTAGATTCCTCGGAGTCGAGCATGATTATTTATTAGACATTCGCAAAAGCATGTGCCAGCATGGCTATATTATATTTGACCGATAGTGTCGTACAAGATGTTGGAATTTTACATGGAGAATTGAAGTATTTGAGGATTTGAAATTGAATTAGTATAATTAATCCAAATACGTGTGTACGCATACAGAATTAATCCAACGTGAGTAATACTTGGTTTAATCGTTAAAAAAATATTTCACAATCATTGTTTGTTTTTTAATTAAAAAAAAATAAGAATTTTTCGATACATTGATTAGCACTTGAACAGTCGGGCTTTAATGAAATTATAATCAGGACTCTGCAGTCTGCGATGAATTCTCAAAGTTCATCCAAATAAATTAGATGATGCACTAGCAAGTTGACGTTTCTGATTATACAGAGGACTTTGGAGATAACTCGGCATTAGCTAAATGGAGTTCTTTGGATCTTCTAGCTGAAGAGGAGGATACCGCATCTCCAACGGCATCCCCGGCTAATAAGCAAGGTAATGATAGTTATGAAATAATTAATGAATTATCAAAAAAAGATTTAGACAATGCTCTCTTTTATAATCTTCAAGATTCCTTTGTGTTTACAGAAGATACCATATTTTCGTCTTCGTACCTGCAACGTGTGGCCAGTGAACGGAGTAGCAAGAGGCTAACTATTCATACATCAGCCAGCATTGATGTTTCTTGTCCAGCATCTCCTCAGCATTCACCGACGCATCAGCCCTGCAGGACTACTGTTCTACTTATAGTGCTACACGCTGGCAGCGTTCTAGGTATTAGACTCATTAGATTATTTATAATATGAATTTTAGATTAACTTCTTTTTATATGAGAGTAATTTTCAGATGCTAACGTCGACTTGACTGCTAAAAAATCTGACATTACAACGTTCAAAGGAGCATTTGAGTGTGTTATGAGACAACATTATCCTAGTATGGTTGGACATATTGCAATCAAGTTTGTTTCCTGTCCCTCAATATGTACGGAAGGTCTTGGTATTTTATCAAGGTAGAAACAAAAAATTTTTCTTAAGAATTCTGTGTTTTTCATCTATATGTTGGAATGCTATTATTTTTTATTGCAGCTTGAGTCCATACAGCTTTGACGTATCTCCATCGTGCATGGATACTCCGCAAGTGACTCACGATACAATTCCAATTGGTGCAATTCCATTGCTTGCAAGTTCCACGCCTGATTATCAGGATTCAGTTTCGCGGGTGGTTAATGGCGCCAATCAGGTTTATCACGAGTTTATTAAGAGTGAGGAGGGTCGTGGTTTTACTGGGCAGATTTGTTTTGTCAGTGATTCGGTAGGTTCCATTTTGGCCTACGATGCTTTGTGCAGATCAGCCCAATATCAATCTAGGAATGACAGTGAGAATAGTATTTTGGAGAATGACAATCAAGGAATGGACAACAATGGTGGGAACGAAGATGGCAGACATTTGTCAGCTCCGTCACCTAGGAGACGATCCTCGTCAACGAGGTATACCATCGAGCAGTTTGTGTCATTCTCAAGTCACCGACTGACATAGAAAAATCATTGTTTTCAGCGATTTTTCTCATCAGTGTAAATTGGAATTTGAAGTGGGCGAATTCTTCATGTTCGGCAGCCCGTTAGCACTTGTACTGGCATATAGAAAAATTTCATCTGCGGGAGAGAAGAACAGTATTATACCGAGGCCAATGGCTAATCAAGTTTATAATTTGTTTCATCCAACAGATCCAGTAGCTGCGAGATTAGAACCGTTAATTTCCGCTAGATTTTCACTTCTGCCGCCGGTTAATGTTGCTCGATACCAGAAGTATCCGCTTGGGAATGGACAGCCGTATCACTTACGTAAGTATCAATGGCTTCAAGACTTTTTTGCCTATTGTAAAAACTTGATAATTTACAGTCGAAACGATACAGACGAATCCACAATTATTCTATGATGGATTGAACGTTCCTAATACGCCTTTACCACATCTGAGAAGGCTATCTGATATATCTATCCAGAGCGTCATGTCTGGAATTAACGATAATGTTCCTTTGCAGGCTGTATCTGCGTGTAAGTATAGATACAATTTATTTCAATAGAAGAATTAATTATAAGCTGGATATGTACAATATTCTGTATGCAGTGACGCAAAAGTGGTGGGGCAATAAGAGAATGGACTACGCCCTATACTGCCCGGAAGGGCTTGCCAATTTTCCAACGAATGCTCTGCCTCATCTGTTCCATGCTAGCTATTGGGAATCTTCGGATGTCATTGCATTTATATTAAGACAACTCGGCAGGTTTGATCTTCCGATGCTTGGCAACGAAGAAAAAGAGCTCGCGTTCTTCCGTCCAGGTCAGCCGAGAGAGAAGTGGAATAAAAAACGTACTTCTGTAAAGTTGAAGGTACAAGCTAAATATGTTGTTGCCACATAGACAGAGAACTAAAGTTCTTTTTATATTTAATTATTAGAGATTCTTATTTCATCCGCAGAATGTCGCTGCTAATCATAGAGCCAATGACGTTATTGTCAGAGAGGGTGCTGCGCAAATTTTAATTGCCAGATTTATGTACGGGCCAATAGATATGATAGCTTTGACGGGTACGATGGCCAATGAATTAATAAAAGATGTAATACCTAATTCTCTATAATACGCATATACTTTTGTCATGTTTTACTTTTAGGTGAAAAAGTTGATATACACGTCATGAAAGATGCTCCAGCTGGTGAATGGTCGTTCCTATCTACTGAAGTGACTGATAAAACTGGAAGAGTTACCTATCGGATTCCTGAGGAAAAAGCCCTTGGCTATGGAATTTATCCTGTTAAGATGGTCGTGAGGTAAACCGACCTGCCTTAAGGATTAACAAACTCATCTAACAATTTCATTGGCGCATAAAAATAAATGAGATCCATCAACTTTCAGAGGTGATCATACATCTGTCGATTTTTTTATGGCTGTGATACCACCGAGGACAGAATGCGTTGTCTTTAGTATTGATGGCTCCTTTACTGCCAGTATGTCTGTTACTGGACGAGATCCTAAAGTAAGAGCTGGTGCCGTCGATGTAGTAAGGTATTATATGTTTCCTTATTACTTTAATATCAATCAATCGTACTTTTATGATACGCAATCTTTATATTTCTACAAACAGGCATTGGCAAGAGCTGGGTTATCTGATCATCTACATAACCGGTCGACCGGACATGCAACAACAAAAAGTTGTGTCGTGGCTCTCACAACACAATTTTCCTCACGGTCTTGTATCCTTTGCAGACGGTCTCTCGACTGATCCTCTAGGTCATAAAGCTGCATACTTAAATAATCTCATACGGGTAAGACAACAAAGTTTTAACTTGTTCCTACGATATTCTAATTGATGTAATAATTTTATCACTAATAGGAACATGGCGTAATAATTCATCATGCCTATGGAAGTAGTAAGGACATCAGCGTCTACACGGCTATAAATTTAAGGCCGAATCAAATATTTATCGTGGGCAAAGTTCCGAAGAAGCAACACGCTCTAGCTACAGTGCTTCTCGAAGGCTATGCAGCTCATTTAAATACCCTGCAAGCACACGGTGGCTCAAGACCAGCCCAGGGCAATGCTCGCATGGTCATTCCTAGGGGACAATTTGGTTTACCCGGACAAAACGCTTCTCTACGTCGTAGAAGGTAAGTCCACGTATCCCCTGTCAAAAATATACAATACTCCAGAGAGCATCAAGGTAATAATTATCTGGTGTATTAACGTAAACGCAAAAAGTGTCCGTGGAGCCAAGTGAAAATTATTATCTACCGTACTCTTATCTCCCTTGCCCATTCAAAGAGAACAAATCTGTACATCTATGGGATATTAGAAGAGAAATGAAATCATCAATATCAATGCTCATAGTCCAGCCAAAGTCTAGCTATTAAGTACTGTACTAAATGTAGAGGTCGAAGGTAAGGTTTGCAAGCGATATGGACTAGCAAATTGTTTAAGGCCATGGCTAATATCATCGTTTCGAAAGAGATACGGGGGCACTGAGGAGGGTGTACCAGTGACTGTAAACTGCCGGTGAACAGGGGATAATAAGGAGTAGACCTTTTGCCAGTCTATACCGTTTGGATCTTTGGACTCGCAGAAAAAACTGTGTGCAGTTCCCAGTGTGTGTGTGGGTGTGTGTGAATACGAGCCCTGGCTCTGTTCCAGTAACGACACTGCAGTCAACTCACCGGCACGCAACAGCGTGTACTTAAAGCGGAAAGTCTACCTTAGTCACATCTAACACACGCCTATTATCTACCTACAATTAACTTACTCACATTGGTAACTATCTATATCCTGTCTTTCATCCCCTAGTCTCGCTAATTCCACGCTGAGTTAACAGGCAGAAAGATTGTCTCTTAGAAGATAAAGTTTTGAGAACTACTTGGGCAAATGTTCTATGGCTACTTATGGACACGTCTGTACATACAAATGAAATCATTGATTATATTAATTGCACACAAATTTCTATTGGTAAGCACTGAGATGCATGCACTGACAATGAGACTGTACCTTTCTGTCTTTAATGCGCTATCTATTATTTTTATTCCCCGCTCTTTATTGTTATTATTATTCGTAGACTGAGAGATTCATTTAGGATGTCATTCTGAAGCTTATCAGGTTCTTGGTTCCAGGTACCTGCTATGAGGATATGTCGCGTTGTGCAGCGTAGCTAATATTTCGTCCCGGCAACAGCTATCCTGATTTATCGTTTAAACTGTCAGCCCATATATATGTTCAGGATTTGTGGTTAATACCGCTATGAATGTCTAGGCAAGAGACTAGATTTTGTTCGTTCCATCCTGAAACGAAAGATGGTCTCACTTTAGTGAGCAAGGTAAACTGGGACCCATCGTCGTTGTTCAAAATTCTTTAGATGAATGTTCAGTGTATTAACGACTTAAGCGCTGGATCCACCACCGGCATTCATAATACATTGTATCAAGTTCATCTTAAATATCTGAATGACAAGATATATTCTTGTCATAACTTTTCTTGTTTATACATCAATAGTTCTCGCAGTCTACATGGTTATTATATTCTCAGAGATCATTGATCCCAGTCGATTTGCCTATTTTTAAATACGTTTGTACAGTTCGGTATCAGAGAGTTTTTTATACAGGAATCTCTTGCGTTAAGTACGGTCTTGTACATTTGCTTTTGTAATATCTATTCCTGGTGCTGTAATAAGCTTTCATATGAAATCCCATGTATGTACTTATTAATCTTAGTCTATATTGCAATAGTATAGCGGTACCAATGAGTTATTCAAGTTCGGTGGTAGGTCGAGTTTTTCTTTTAATATTAGTTGTACAGAAAAATACGATAGCACGATTTAAAGTGTTCTAGACTGCAACGATGTGACTACACGATGCACGATGATAGATGTGAATGCAGACTCAACAACACCACAACTCGCGGACATACTGTGCTCTGATGACTAAGAAACGATATAGACAATATAATAGGAATCAGTCTCTGCCGGTTATATACAATTAGAATTTTTTAATTTGTTTATAACTGTTTTTATTGATTAATCATAATTACTTTGATAGATTTTTAGAGGTTTGTGTCGTTTCTTAGACGTCGTCATCTACTGGACGTTCCAAGAGTAAATGATATAATTATTTGACAGCGAATGATATTCTTTTTAATAATATAAGTAAAATGTAATCTTGGAACGTGCTTGGAACATCACAAAAATTATTAATGTCATTTTATCCAAATCCGTCCAGATACAACGGCTGTTAAACTATTAATTAGTGCTACAATTATTCGCTTTTTCGTTAACACACTGTGTCTATATATGGTAATGATACAATCTACACTTACAGCATACAGGACATCCTGCTTATTCTGTCATGCTGGCTACATCATGCTTTCATCAAGTTCAACCAGCGATAATTTACTCTCATCTCATTATATATTTATCTATGCATTTTATTATCACGATAATATTCATCATGGTCATCTGGCTGATCAATTAGAATTTAATACCGAAACAAAGATGCACAATGAAGATCCGCAAAAATTTTGAACAACGTCCACTTTTGGTATTAGCTTCTAATTGGAATTCAAATACGCAACATACACGTATATACATGAATAAAGTATACTTTGGGGACAATTTCAGTAATACAGCCGCTAGTTTGAAGGCAAGTGTATAGTTTGGGGTCGGTCCTCAAAGTATTTCCAACATAATGCATGTTTTAAGAACCATAAAGCGACTGTCACACCAAATTTGTTTACTTTTTTTGAATGCTAGACATCCGGGGTTGTGATGGACTTAGAACATGTTTTATTAGGTTAGGTTAGGTTAAGTTAGAGATTCAATGCTGTAGAGCCTCAAGGTATTAGCTAAAAAAACATTAGCTCGCTATTCTGAATGCCCCTTAATCGCCTGAGTCCTCAAACTATACTTTGTACAAGATTCTATAATCATACTCTACACAAATACTATACATATGTTTAACGTAAATCGTTTTTAAAAAGTTCAATGACAGCATCCATTTAAGTTAAACAAAAAGTGCGAGTAACACGTATAAGGAGCACCGCTGCTTGTTGCATATGCTGCACATATGAACGATGTAAAAATGGTTAAAAAATTGAAAATTTAAAAAAGTATCAAACTCAAACGAGTGTTTCGCTCATAAGCGAAATAAGCACCAAAATGATAGTTGACTGATCGTAGGTTGAACGTATGAAAAACATAACCCTGTCGAAGGAACGTATAAAATTATTAACTCTCAAATTAGCACAATCGCCTCAAAATTTCTCGTTTGAAGACTTAAAGACTTTTTCGAAAGAGAAATTAATCAGTCCTAAATACGTTTCCTCGTAGGGTCTTTATCGGCCTTTTTCTAAATTAATTTAAAAATGCTAGCTCTTTTAGATCGGCTAAGCGTGCGATTTCACATCCTCTGATGGGCAAGGTGACTATTTTGGAAAGAAGTACAAGCGTGGGTCCACCAACAACGCCACAGTCGGTACCGCCAGTAAGGACAGTCGCCCAGGAAAAGCTCTGACGATTTGCACGCTGCCGCTCGTTCTTTGAGTCCCGGCAGTAGAGGAATCATCATTCACGAGAAGAAAAATTAACTAGCACCGCTGTCTCTTGGTGTCTTGTAGTATAGTATCCAGCAAAAACAATAGTACATGTAACTTAAACATGGTTGAAATTTTCCACACATTGTCATAAAGCCAATATAATAGTGCTGTTACATAGACGTTGTGTACGAGTGGAAAATTACAGCAAAGCGTCCACGTTAACATGTAGTATAGTATTTGCTGGATAATAATAAAATAAGAAGTCATCGTTCTGAGAATGACGAGGCTGATGACACGCAATAACCAAAGGATTGAAGAAATCGAAATTCATCTAATTTCGTCGAATACGCTTCTGCCCGGTACAGAGAAGACTAGCCGAAAAATTCATTCATATATCAGTAGGTATTAATTGATAAGTTAGAAAGGAACTATCGGTCCTAGCAAACGCCTTTGTCACGTTCTTATAACTTAGCTACTGTATAACAACATACAATTTATGTAGCTAAGATGTAACTGTTACAAAATGTGTTTGCTGGGGTATACTATACCTACTGAGACCGTTCATTTTGGTCATTCTTTAAGATTGAATAGATTCTAGAAGCTCCTATTATTTAATTACCCAAAATGCATCGATACAGTTTATTATTACGACACGATTGCGAATTGGATATAATGAAACTTGTTGAAACTGTTACCTGAGTCCCCACGTTGTTATCTAAGATAATTCATAGGATAGATTTCCATTGTCGAATATCGTTAGTTTATGGATTATCGCCAAAATGCCAATCTAGCGGAATACGCAATGCTGAGGGAAATTAAATTAATTAAAAAAAAAAAAAAAAGATAATATTGGAGCAGATAGCTGGGATCGAACCTGCGACGCGACATTCTTCGTTCACTCATCACATTGAGCGATCGATACTCATCACGGTTTGTCCTACTTGTTCTTCATTGTTCGACGTGACTCGCAATGCAATAAGAATGATTGTTACTGACTTCACGATAAATCAAAAACCTCCAATTATGGGTATTACTGTCTCTCTCTATCTCTCTTTCTCTCTCTCTCACTCTATACTCTACTCTTTCTCTCTCTTTGTTTTTCCCGTAAAATCGAGCTGGTTAATGTTGTGCCATATGAGAAGACAAAGCAATAACGCGTAATACCAAAGCTGAACAATTTGCAATTGCGACTCGTTGATGTTGGATTCAATCCGTATCGACAGTCGCTGGTTGCTTTAAATCTTGTGAAAGATATATAATTATTGCGTGCAGGATATTTATGTTGTTAATTGGGAGCACTGTGTCTCGATATGTCTTTGCTGGGTGCATTGCGTATTGCTCTATTTAATATTATACTTGCTATGGTGTAATGCGTCGTGTAAGACGTTACTGTAAAATGCATATTGACTGTTTGTATTGTTGTAATAAGTCACGAGAGTAGATCTATTATTATATATATTATATATACATATATATTGTGACGTTATTTTATACCGTCACAAGACTCGGGAAGAGTAACTCGCGTGTTTCAATGGCGGGACGCAGTTCCGTCCCTTTTTCTGGCAACCCAGCACGATACCGGCTAAGAACTCCAGGCTCATAGACTAACTATCGAACCTTAAGCTAATTCCAAATTATACCTTATTTCATAAATCGCGAATACGACACCGTACCGAGTCATCACGAAATAACAAGCCACCAAAGGAGGACTTGCCAGATCTACGCCAAGGAACGTGGAGAGCTGTTGCCGATACCTGACGACTCCACCCTGGATGGACCCTGCCCGAAGTAGAGTACGGAGGGCCAATTACAAAGTACAGCGCCATGGACTACACCTCACCTCTCGCTACGTATCGCCGGTATGTCTAGCCAGACTTGTATCGGCTAGTACCGAAGACGAGAAGGCCCCGAGTTCCGCGGGAATTCTCGTGCGGAAGGATCAACGGGCCCCCAGACCGGAGGAGCCGCACCTGAGCTGAGACGACAGACAGCGACTGGAAAAAGTATTTTAATTATATGGATGAACGATTACTATCAGTGATAATAAAAGTTATATTTTTGTTAGCCTAACTTAAAGAACGTTGTAATGATCGATGGCGAATCATTGTTTTGTATTTAACAATTGGTCTCGCTAGAATGCATTCTTTTATAATGTCGTTGATACGATATCGTTTTTTTCGGCAAGCGACAGCGGATTCTGGCTGTCGCATTTCGTTGTGGAAATTATGCCTGACCGACGTATATGTATTCGATTATCTTTCTTGGATATTATAATAAATGATAAATCATTGACGTTTAACTTTGTCATTCATTTATTATCACACTCTATCACGACTTTTTAAAATTTTGAACATATTTTTTTTTTTAATTTCACATTGTCTTTACTGAATTGTATATAAAATAAATAAGATTATACAACAAGGATGACTATGAATATTCAACAGTTAAAGAAACTTGATTCGATGAATTATTTGGAATCAATCAGTTGGATTTAATTAATTCCAAGTTAATGTAATTTAAGAAATTCACTTGTCTTCAGATAGACGTGTCATTATTTACTCTAAGTATTTCCTTTCGGTACAAAATTTTTCTTTGTTCATAATTTTAAATAACGTGCAACCAACGTAAACACTTGTGTGATCAATGATATAATCACAAGAATCATATCTTTAATTGTCTCTTAATATTATACTATGGGACCTTGAGCTATTCTGACACTTTACATGATAGTAACCAATACATTTTCCTAGTACATATTTACGCTGCTCATGATTTCTTACTTTTATTTTTTATTCATATAGGTATATATTTTGTAACATTTGGGGCGTAACAAAATGAAAACAAAAAGATTCACGGTATTCAAATAAATACTTACTTTAAAAAAATTTTTCTACAGATTACGAGTATATTTCAGCGTCAAAAATTACCTGTCCCGGATTACCTCGCTCTTCCCTACTTTCAACTGTCTACAACGGACTTATCTAATATATCGTTCAATCCCCATTGTTATCGAGGATGGCCTGGGATCTTCTCGGCATACTTTTAACCAATTTTTGTGCGTACCTTTTTGGTAAGAAACGCCATATCCTCCTGATGTGTAGAGACAACTGTTTTAAGTTTGAGACACGATTTAACGCCAGTTTCGTATTTACCAAACTCCACACATTTTCAGTGTGATTAGCATCTGGAGAATGTGCAGGCCAGTTTATTCTTTTGATGCCATTTTCCTCTTTCCAGGTGGTGCAAAGGCAATTCAGGTTAGCTCTGATGTTTGGGGTTATTATCTTCTTGTAAGACCCAAGTGTCATTTTTGCTCCCGAACATCTTTTTCTGAGTCTTCAGAAGACCATGTTGATAAATCTTGAACATTTCTCCTGCAATCAAGTTCTTCATAAAGAAGAGAGAGAAAGAGAGCTTCATAAAGAGAAGCATTCCCAAACATGGATATATCCCGGGTGTTTTATTGGAATCTGTGCCTAGAACGATGCTTCGTCAGACAACAGAACATTCGTTCAGTCGCGATGGGATGGGACCTTATGAATATTTATGTGTACCTTGAAAAACCAAAATTTGGAGAATGTCGACTTTCACTGGTGAATATATCCATTGTATCCGCTTGGCACACAATGTACTCATTTTTATATACTTCTGCGTTTGCAACGTTTCGAACGATACTGAACGACTCTGTAATTCCGTCGTAGCTCATCGTACAGTCATGTGAAAATAAGAAGACAGAACAAAAATTCTTAAAACTTTTCGAGAAAACGCATTTCACCATTTTCTCCACCATTTATCCTTTTTTGTTGAACAAACTGTATATCCGAATACATTTAATTTAATACAGACTTGTTTATACATTAACAGAATCCTGTGGTCGTTAGTTCACCAATGTATACAAACCTATATTTTTCATTATACAAATCAGACAATAATTTTGGTTAGGCGTTAAAACGGTTCTGGACTGAACTTTAATCATTTTCGTATCCTTATCGATGGGATAAGGAAAATTTGTTACATTTATTTTCAGAGAAGAAAGTTTCCCGGGGATTTTAAACGTATATATCTGAGGTGGGAGAAGAGGGTCGTTGGAAAAGTAAAGCGGACATGCGCATTGCTCCACATGCTGAAAATAAACAGCAACGCGTGAGTTCTTGGCCGGCTATCTGTTACTAATTTGTTATAAAATATATTGTGTGAAATTGTACTATTGATAAAAATATGGCAAGCATTTTACTGAGTCCTAGCATGTCAGCAAAACTGAAGACCAGAGATTGCGCGAATAGGATTAAACATGGATCACCGAAATTACAAGAAGTTCTTAGACAGGTTAGATAATCGTATATCTTGAGTGTTTAATGTATAAGGTTTTATGAATATCTTGGGATTCAGAGATGCCGGGAAGAAATGCGGAAGAAACGTGGTCAGTTGTTCAATAAACGAAGAATTGGGCTTGATGATAATCCTGCCAATTTACAAGAAACTTTAACGGAAATTGTACGCAAAGAATTCAATACTCTTCACACTTCTGATTGGCAAATTGATGATCCATCTACTACAGTGGAAGATATATTAGACTCGGACGAAGCTTTAGAATTAGAGGGTGAAATAATAGCAGAAACTGGTAGGTAATACTTATTGGTATCTTAAATACACGTTAGCAGAAAATAATGAAACTATTTTTCATAAAATTGAAACAGAACAATGGATTTTGGGAGAATATGAGAGATGGTCTCGCAACGAAGAAGATATGTTGGCCCTCATTGCTGAGGAGAGCTTTAAAGATGTTATATGTCCAATTTGTCAAAGATCTTCTTTAACTGAGATCCCTGAGTTTATAGCTTGTCTAGCATGTGGTCTTAGTTTGCCTGCCAGAGTAAGCATTACTGATCTTGGGAAAATTATAATCAATAATGTCGAGGCTCACTCTGCAAGATGTGACGAACCATCTTGTTTCGCTGTTATTCCTGAAAATAATAATATATCATTGTACCTGATGTGCCAAATATGTTCTACATTTGAGCTTCTCTTGTGAACTGAAGTAACATTCTTACCAAGCTCGGTCCTAGCAAATCAACATTATTAGTAGCCGTTTTCTAATTATTTATAATCAGATTGAAATAAGAAAATATTTTTGTAATTATATGAACTTCAATCTTTCGATGCACTTTTTCTTATGTAACTAGTGATTGTCATAATTAATATTAATTTTAATAGTTCCACGACAGGTACTTTTGTATTACAACTTTGAAGATTGTGTCTCTTTGTACAATGATTCATAATGAAATTATCTACCATGACTCAAATTGTTTCTCTGAAGTATTTGGTTTTTTGATTACGAAACAGTTTGTTGAACTTAAACAATAATATTTATAATAAAATTAAGATACCCATTGTTAATTAGTAATAAGGATAACGAGTAGACGCAGCGCGTTTGGAATTCGTTTATGTTAGGTTGATTATAAAATAATTATTTGGGTAACAACTGAGTGTTTATGATTATATGATACATATTGTACAAAACAACATCCCTTCACTGATCCGCTTATGTCATATTCATCACTTATACATATACATACACAATATAATTTCCAGTAAAGGACTTTTGCCAATCGTTCAAATATTCAAGCAAATACATCAGTCATTAAGTACCGATTATATCAAATAAACAATTGAATGTTTCTAGACTAAAAGGAAGCAACGGTACAATAATATTCAGGTGTAACACAGAAGGAAGATATTGATAAATTTCTACCTGTTTGAGCACCTGCATATGACGATTCATATCTCATACAGGTATCACAAACTTAATTTAAAAGTTTGATTTTACTCTTTTTCTTGTTCTCTAGTAAACTACGCAGGAATGGCTAACAGCCTAACGATTTCGCAAAGGTCCTTTACCATACGTATAACACTAACTCAATAATTGAATTGTAAGAAATGATTTGTACATTTTCACATGAAATTTCATAATAAAAACCTCGTATTGCATAACATTATCGATTTAACATATGTATAATTGATTTATGAGCAACACTCCCTTTACTTTTTAAAAGGAGAAAAAAGATTGGTCCTTACGTGTACATACACAAACCAATTTCTCATGTAAGAATCATCAATATCGATAATGAAATTGCTGCGTAGGCACATATTTCAAGATTTCATTTTTTTTTTTTCAGATCGCGTAGGACCTTTACAATTGTTAGTAATAAACCTAAGATCAGATATAGTACAGAGATAACGTAATTCGTTGATAATATGTTGTATCGTTAATTATCTAAGATACGTTACGAGAATATAATTCGCAATCTATAAAAATCTCTCCTTTTGCATTATCGTATCCGCTAAGGGTGTATCATCTCGTATATAACAATGTAAGTAACATTTTTTTCTTTAAAATAGCTCTCCTACGTATTTCCTGTCATTCAGCCATACTGAAGTCCCGTTTTGTTTCACTATATCAATTTTCAAAAAACACCAAGCTATGGCACAATTCATTAGTTCGTCTCTGGCCTTTTATTACATATATTTATTTTCTTCGTATCCTCTTTATCAACTGACTCTAGTCATCGACCGTACTCAACATCAAATAATGAATCATTTTACCCTCGTGAAAAGTACAATTCTCTGTAATCTACGTATCGCGCGTCATTTGGATAATATCTTCCCTAATTCCAGTCCGCCTTTCTTTGTTTTTGCAATCTAACATTGGAACAATATATTACAAAACAAAGAAAAATCTATTTGGCATCGTTCCGTTATGAATCTCATCACAGTAGGGCTTTACAGTATAAACGAAAGTTTCCTTTTTTTCGGAATGTATCCCAGAATGCGAGCGAAAGTAAGGAGACCGATTATCAAATTTAAGCAAACTTTAGAAAAATATTTGTCTCTCTATGTCCTTCGTCGCACCTCCGAGATATTCCATTTATAATCTGTACATTGGTTCTGTAATCATCTTATATAAATACGTGTCTTACTGTTAACAAGGATTTATCTCAGTGATGATAGTTATTTGTCAAGAGGGTATGCGATGATTTGTCTACTATGCAATTTTCGAGTTTTCTTTTTTGTTGTTCAATGTGTGATCGATACGAGACAAATAGGCAAGTTGTCGGCCGAAAAATGGGCATTAAAATTGGACGTACGCGATAAGTATACACTTAAGCATTGAAAGCCAAAACACGTATGAGATTTTAAGAAATTTCTTAAAAATAAATTTTGTAAATTCTGATTCTCCTTGGCTTGGAACAATAAATGGTTATCACCGTACATATTTTAATATACATCCTTAAAGGTACTAAAAAAAAAAATAATAGTAATACAATTAATCTTTACAAATTCTTCGAGTGATTGCTATTTTGAAGGCTGTTCTTCTTAATGGTTACAGATCGCGCGACAAGTGATTTTACTAAATATCATCAGACGCCATTAATTTACAATATTTTTGGTATCGATGAGATGAATTTCTTTAAAAAGTAATTAAATTTTTTCAAAATAGGAGAAACTTCTCATCGCTTGCGTTTGCAGTGGATTACGGAAATAAAAACAGTGCAATTGTTTTCGAAATACTAAAAAAAATACTTATAAATAAGTTTTCCTAACTGGATGCGCGGTGTCTAGTGATATTTCACTTTTGTCTAGCCTGAGCCAATAACAATCAAAAAGCTTTTGTACTGATGAAGTCCATACCAAAATGAGAAACAATTAATTAAAAGAATCTTTCTTTTATTCGCGACACGTATGCGTACTAAAAGCGAGAATGATTCAAGGTTGCATTGAAGATGCATATACAATATATTTAACAGGCAAGCCGATATTACAAATTCGAACCAAATGTATCTCAAAATATATTTCCAAATTTTGAGATTATGAGAGTTCATATTTATATTTTTTCCGACAAGATAAAATTACTTGCACTGATGTTAAACAGAGCATAATAAAATTGCACTTTGTATACCAGTCCGCTCGTTAAGTTGTGCCGTTGCAAAAGCAAAACCCGATAAACTATTATAAAGAAAGATAAAGATAGAGAAAAGAAAAGAGAACATGAAAGGAAAGGTTTCAACAATTGTTTATACAACTATAACGTTTCCTGGCGTAAACTTATTTCTACGGTAACTGTCCTTCGCCATCGAATGTGCTCCCTTCTTCTTTTCGCACCTTCAATATTGTAGATTGTCAATCTGTCACATCCACAAAGTCACGGATGATTGATCACTGCGTGGATCGCCGTCGTTCTGTTTGATTAACAGCAGCAAGGGCCTCTTCCGGTAGACGACCCGGATCTGACAGAATGTCAGTTGCGGTGCACAGATACTTTAGAGAGTTGAGGACAACTGCAAAAAGAACCCATAATAATAATTCACCTTGAGAATCCATCAATAAACGTTATCAAGGCTGAATTAAGCAATATAAAATGTTGATCGAATGAAAATGTACCTGGCCTGAGATCAACAAGTGAACAATGTTGCTCTACCCATAGTACCGTACTCCTGTATAAATCCTCTATGCTTGCAGTAGAGACTGATGCATTAAATGACATCATCAAAGGCTCAAGAAGTATGCTGAACTAATGGATATGGTCAAGGAAATCATTAAGATTCAAAAGTATGTGTATGCTCATAAAAATAATATTCAAATATCTTGCGTAAAGGATACAATCCAGAACTTCCAATTTTCTCGAGTACGATTGCGTACGTATTCGTCGAACATCTCCTTCATCTTGCTCGTTCTGTGTCTAGAAACAGGAGCACCTGTAGCTGGTAGCATAGATTGGCAGTTGCTAGAAAGACATAGTAATTGACAACAATTATTCATAGTCAATAAGAAGTATATTAGTTTAATAGGCTGCCAGTCATAATTTTCTAAAAAATAATAATATGCTTACCTAATAGAAGTATTAAGGCACTCAATTTGATGTCTCAGACTGTCCATCTCCTCCTTTAATTGATTCCTCTCAGCTCTGAGCTGCCTGATATAATCTGCCCCCTTTTGCAGCATCGCAGCTTTACTTAGCTTTGTGTTTGGATTCTGATTAAGTTGCGGGATAAGGCTATGCAGCATATCAAAACCATTTTTAATATTATATCTGCGTTTTTGTTCCGCATGTATATGCCCAACTCTTCTTTGTTCCTTATACTGTCCTCTCTCTGGTTCGCCCTTGACATATCCTCTTGATGGAGACAAGGGACTACCTATACTCATGGGGCTGTGCAGGGGACTAAGGTTAAGTGCTTGGGGACTGTGCGCATTGGAATTCTCTTTCGGTGAGCCAGGACTACCCTGAGGCAGGTGACTTTGGTTGTTCGCGTTGAGCAAAGCAGGTTGTCCACCGGTAGCTTGTGGTATTGTCTGTTTATCAAATGGATACTTATATTTAAAAATACCTTTTTAAGTAAAATACGACATTCATATTACAGAGCAATCAAATCTAAACGTGGCTCACCTGTTGTTGCGTTTGCATAGACGATGTAGCTTGCATAGGCTGCACCGCGACCGGAGCAGTAATATGGTGGGTGATACTAGTAGATTGGCTGGACGATGACGTAGATGGCAGCATTGGCAGAATGTGCTTGACACCACTCGGTTGACTGACAGCAGGCAGTACTTTCTCAGGGCCACTGCTCACCGTGTACAGACCGGACGTGTCTGCGTGGGGGATGATGTTGTTTTCTTTATATTCTTTAGAATGACTTGGAACAATAGTTTTTCCAAATCAATTATGATAGCAAGGACAAGAAGATGGCAAGCCAGTGAATCAAGAATACGTAAAGGAGGCGGGACTACCATCATTGAAGATACTACTAGATTCTGAATAAAAATGGCACGTGATAAGTACATACTGTTCGTAAGTAGATGAGCGAGTAAAACATTGTTGTTAAGGTTCAAGGCCGGATCACTCATAGCTGATACCAAGGGTGGAGGATGCATTCTCGGTGCCGCCAGCGATGAACTACTTCGTGATCGATTTCTTGCCTTCATCTGATACTGCAAGAGGAAATTTCCACGATCTTATTTTCTTTTCGTTCTTACTATTTCCAGGTAGCGGCTAAGAGTGTGGCAAGTGATGAAGGCTCAAGGTATTCTTGTGTAATTTGTCAACAGGTTGAAGCCGCGTCTCTCCATTCACAGGTTTTGCAACAATATGATTGTTGTCAAACTCCATTAGTAATATTTGTAGAAATAAGCACTCAGGAAAGAATCCTCGAAGATATTCGACTCCAAATTCAAGTTGTACTGTCTAACGGGGACAGTGTTTAAAAACTAACTAGTTGCTGTGAATGCTATGTCGGATCTTGAGTCCTTTACGCGCTACTGCGATACTTGTAATGGGAATTCTGTAGATAAGCTGTCTGCACAGTCAAGCTGCGCCCGACCTATGGCTCTTGGCAAGCAGAGTTCACAAGCAGATAAAATAAACATCATAGGGTCCACGGAATCATTTCTAATTAAAATCGTTCCATAGACACCACAATTTGTGTATATCTTTTTCTATTATCTATCAAAACGAGTCTTGTACAGTAATACCCAGCTCTATCGGCGTATCAGTGTGACTAATCAAACATTTCCCGACTCATTAGACTTCACATTTTTAAGAAATGTATAACATCAGCTCTAAAAAACTGAAACTAGAGGCAAACCTTGGGCACTGCAAAGACTTCCTCCTTGTCGGAATTCGTTGTAGGCCGTGGAAGAAGTTTCGTAGGGTGTAGTGCAGGTGCAGTGGGATCCAGCACTGTAGGTCTACATTGAAACAAGATATGCGATTGGGTTGGTTGATGCGGCGAGACTGACACCACTGGTTGAGCCGGCAAAGTCTAATTGAACAAAATAAAAAACGCTGAATATATTTCAATCGAAACACAGACTGGATCTGTGTCTATTTGTGTGTGTTATTACCTTCAAGTTATTGGTACTGAATTTGCACTGCTGAGAGTTGTAACTCTGAGTGGGAGTAGGAAATTTGTAGCCCTGCTGAGGCTGAACAGCCTTGTACGGCTTAGACATAGGGGTATTTGTTGGCAAGGGCCTTATGGGTCTTTGTTGAGATTGTGGCGGTGAATTCGATTGTGCGTAATTCTGTGACGGCGTGGCCAGACTTTGGACATTATTTGTGATTGAAGATATTTGACTGGCGCCAACACGGTGGCTACTCAGAGCATTTATCTGTACTTGATTTGACTGGCCGGGAGTCAATTGCACGTTTTGTATCTCCATGGTGTAGGATGACGGTGATGATTGATGTTGCTGCTGTTGTGCCTGTTGGTATACCATAGTTTGGTGTTGTTGGGATTGTTGATAGGCCATCTGTTGCTGTTGTTGAGGTTGTTGTATCACACGATTTGTTCTTGTTGTGGATCTACTTTGGCGGCCTTTTCCGCGCACACTTTGTCCAGTTGCAGAAGTTCCAAAGCTTGGTTGAACCGTGGTGGTGTAGTTGTCAGCCATCCTATGTTAAGTGAAATATCTTCTTGTTTTATTTTGTTTAATATTTCATCGTGTTCCATTGAAATTAATACTCACACATTATTTCGATATACTTGCGTAGGTTCTGGTTGCGGCTGAGTGTATATTTTTGCCGTATACTGGAGATTCTGTAGAGTACTATCTTGCTGCTGTTGTTGTTGTTGGGCCGATTGCTTATTTGCGACTGTAGATACTTCATTCATCTGACCGGCTTGATTTATTTGGTTCACCTGATTCACTTGGCTCATCGGTGTCATCAGGTCCAGTTCAGGATAATTGCTATTCAATGTTTCACTGCGAAACATATCCTCCTCTTCCGGCACGGGTGGTAGCCTCGAGTTGAGAAATTCTAAAAATTGAAAAATAAAATGAGTAAAAAAGTATCTTAAAAATGTGATAAATTCCTATTTACCTTGAAGGGGCTCCAAAGTGTCCATGAAGTCATCCAAATTAGGTTGAAGAGGTCCTAAACTGGGCTGAATGAAATCAGCTAGACTCGCGCCCCTTGCTGAAATTATCAGATTTTTTAAATTGTTAAGCCAATTCGCTCAAGCATAAGAATATCGAATGAACAAACCAATTTCTCTCGAATCAGGGAAATATATGGGCTGATTCGAGCTTATAGTTGAGAACAGTGTATCGGTCATCAATTCCATATAATCTTCATCAACCATCATACTGTGAACATTTTCTCCACCAGGCATCCCACTGAGTCCACAGTAAGAATTTCCCGCACCAATTCCAAATGCTCCTGCATTTCCCATCCCACTGCCCCAATCGAGCATATCCATAGATTCCAGCTGAACAAAGAAGGATAACAGCAAACAATTATTTTTATAAGGTGGGAAATAACAGCTAGTTTCATTTGATTATTATTGCCAAATATATCATTGCACGCTCTCTTACCATATCTGTACCATCTTTGGTTGTCCATCCAAGAATCTTGTTTCGATAAAACATTCGCCATTTCTTGTATTCAGCTGTGACAGCAGCTAATTTTCGCTTCCAGTATTTACCCTCCAGGACAACCGCCTAGGCAGACAAAGATTCAGTAAAAAAATAACAGATAAATTATTTTCAACGTATCTTTAAAAAAAATATAACTTAGCATAGATCAATTTCCATTTCATTGACATCACTACTTAATTAATCTAATTTAATTTGGCTCGAGCAATCAGCAGTAATAAATAACTAATCAGCAGCAAAATAACCATGTTCGAGTACGATGGCTGTGAAACCAAGAAAATGATCCAATTAGCCCCACAAGGGTTTCTTTAATAAGAGAAAGCGAGAGTGATAGATTTCTCAGAGAAGACATATAAAAGATTTATCGTTCGAAAAAAAAAAAAAAAACGAAAGAAAAAACATTTCAAAACATCATTTACTTGATTGGTCTTTGCTTATGTAACGTCTGATTTCGAGGAATATGAAATTCATATCAATACGTTATAATTCTGATAAATACTGGTTCAATCAAATTACAGATTAAAACACAGTTATCAAAAACGTAAGTAAATAGCAACTGATATCGCTCCGAGTGGTTCTGATTTCTCAAAGAGCTAAAGGATAAAAAGATTTGAAAAAAAATTAATGAGTTTATTCGCCCCTCAACAGACTGTAACGAGCAATGTGTTTGCAGTACTATTTCCGACGTCTATAAATTCAAGTACTCAAAATCTTCAGAAGGATTTACATTTTCATTGAGTATCTTCGAAAGACCATTTCACATGTATTCTTTTATATATACAGATAGCATTAATACCGTACACGTGACGTAGATGTATAGAACGTCCAGAAAATTTGTCGCCGCTCTATAAGAAAAACGTGAAACCGAGTTTCCCGCAAGCGCGTAATTCCTATTAATAAGCAGATTAGTCCAGGAGAAAGAATGAGGCATGTTGCGAAATGGCAGCGCGTGTCACAAGGTTACGCAATACGTGCGTCGTTACTATCTCGAAAAATGTGTCGCCGAATTGACTAGCGCATGGAAAGAATTCTCTCCGTTTAATTATCTCTTAGCAAGCTGTATATCATCTGGCAGTGCATTTTAATCGACAACTGCACAATAGACATTATCCTGTATAATGTTCTTATCATTTGAATAGCATCAGCGTGAATTGGCTGATACGCGACACTGAGCTTCTCTCTTCATCGCTCCTTATATTCTTATTGTTTGTCCTTCATCGTCTTCATTTTTCCTCGTTTAAAATCCCATGCTTACCTCAGGCTTATTATGAGTGTCCACATCCAAAGGTGAGGCGAATTGGCAGACCAGGGTATTTTGCTTAAGTATAACTGAAAAATAAATATAAAGCGTATATGAGCGAGAATGAATTTTCAGTTGGATTATGGAATATTTTCGTTTTCATTATTTTAATGCACGGTCATTGACAGCTTTAGTTTTCTTTTGGATGACTGTACCAAGATCATTGTGGGCGAAAGGATGGAAAAATGTTGATCTATTTTTGGTGAGGTTTTTGCTTACGTATTTTGACGAGTCATTGGAAACAACGATTTTCGCAGGGACGCGCGAAAATAAATTCACCATTATGCCCCGTCGCGTGCACGACACCTTGTAGATGATTTCCTTGGTGTGTCAGTTTTACAACATTTTAAATATCTTTGAGACGCTTTTAGGCGTCCTTGTGTTCGAAAGACACACATTCCGACTTGGCAACTACTGTTTTTATACGGTTCAATACTTTAGCGTGTCTACCTGTACGAATACATTGAGTATATGTATATGTATATATTCTCGTTATCGATAAATTTTATTAGCCCCGCCATTTCAATTTCGCGAACATTCTACTAATCTGGTCAAGTTTATCAAGGCAATTTCGGTTCATGCGATTATCGTTGAGGTCAACTAGGTTCACAATTGTTACGGACCAATGATTTTGACTCTTTCCGGCCTTTGCGTTATACACGGTATTTAATCAATCGGGCAAACGAGAGTAAACAAATAACATATTTCCACGTTGAAGAAAAAAAATTTAATATAAATAACGATCAGAAGTTCATCGATATACGATAAAAATACATGTGCGATTGAAACGAAATATTATAAAAAATCAACACACCTCCGTAACTCTAATAAATTTTTGTTTATCACAAATTTATGATAAATATAATAATAATCGTAAAAACTTACTGCGACAAATTTGTCTCCCTCTGTCCCGAGAGAAATTCTTCTTTTTGACTAACTACCCTCCGCCCCGATCTCACCCCTGCGAATCGGAACTCCGCCATAGCAACCTGTCCCGATGCCGACTTTCCGACGGCGCATTCTCGAACGAATAAGACAAATTTTTACGTTTTCCCTCTATCCAGAATACCAATAAGTCCCGTTTTTTTTTTTGTGAAATCCCCGGAAATGAACTTTATCAAAATCGTAGGAGGATTATCGATCGCACTCGTGTGACAGTCCGATTAGCGAATGATCGTTGTCGAAATAAAGCCCGGTGACCTTGAGAGCGACAAGGATAGGAAGCGTCGAAGACCACACGGTAAAAAGAGAGAAGAAAAGAAATGAAAGGAAAAAAAAAAGGAAAACCGGTTGCCTACAAGATCAGTGCTGGAAATCGGACGGATAAAAACGAACTGAACTCAACTTACAGATCGAAGTCTATTAAAGCGCCGGTGATTTTAGCGCAAAGGTGGGGAGCAGCGCAATCACGAGTTCATCACATGCATGGAATTCTCGTTATCAATTGGCATATCGCGACTCGAGTTTATGGAAAGGGAATCTGATAGGAGAAAAGGTGGTATTTCTTAAGTGCGCACGTGTCTTTTGCACGAGGTAATACCGTTGCAGCCTGAGCTTGTTCTTATCAGACTCGACTCAGTCATTCAGCTGATTATGATGTATTCGAGTACCTTTTAATGAATTGAATGCATGAAGATGTAAATTTTCTATTAGAATTGATAATTATATTGCATAATTTATACTTGCATGAACTTTTTTTTATTCAATTCACTTACATTGCATGTGCCAGCATCGCCATATCACATTGTTCAATCTGATCTTGTCTTTCCATCTCAATCTGATTCCCTTGAAGCGATTCCATTTGGGCGATGTCAACTTCTGTCTGGAACAAATTCACGTGTTCGCATGTTATGGAATCTTTTATAAGTATAGAAAAGATTTTTTTTTGTAAAATTATACAATCTCAATAAACATATACACAGATTGACGTATAACTTATATTTATACTTAAACATTTATAATAACTAGATACAGTCGTTCCACAATTACAAAATCCTTTTAGGGGGACTCATTTACTTTAAAAGTCATAGGAAGATGGCCCCTTCAAAAGCTAGTTTATTCTTGGACTGACTATAGCAGTTCAACAAATAAATATTTCAATCGATACTTTGTGCTTTTATGCTAATCCTTGTGCTAACAATAATTTCAATTGAAACTGATGTTAGGTATGAGTTATATACAGTGGCTAAAAGTAACCGGACCTACGGGGTATGGCGATATTCGCGAGACGCAACGGATGACGAATCTGATTTCAGTTTCGGCCAAAAGTGCATAATTTTTATCGAATTTTTAATTGAGAGTTTATATTTATAAATCAAAGTTTGTTTTAGTTTCTCGATGACATCGACGAGGTTGCATGTGTAACAGCTACGGATGGATTGCGCGATTACCAATTGTTTCCCGGTTCAAGCGCCAAGAGCATTTAATGACGATACATATACTGACGCCTTAGCGTCGCGTAGCTGTTTCACGTGGAATCCGCAATTCGCAATTGTTTCGAGGTACGCCTTGGATCAGACGAAAAGTCATATACGGTGTCTAAAACGTATTGCAACAGTATTTTCATTGAAAACAGCTCGGAGAGACAGAGATTATTGCAGAATGAGAGAGAGAGAGAGAGAGAGAGAGATGTTATTAAATATATAAAAAATAATTAAATGCATTAAAATTTACGTGGGACGAAAAATTACGCATATCTTTCTTTTTGCAAACATCCATATCAAATTGCATGACCTCGCGAGTTCAGATTACAAAGTTACAAAATACGTACAGCCATTGGATGATGTTATTAAATATATAAAAAATAATATTGCAACAGTATTTTCATTGAAAACAGCTCGGAGAGACAGAGATTATTGCAGAATGAGAGAGAGAGAGAGAGAGAGAGAGATGTTATTAAATATATAAAAAATAATTAAATGCATTAAAATTTACGTGGGACGAAAAATTACGCATATCTTTCTTTTTGCAAACATCCATATCAAATTGCATGACCTCGCGAGTTCAGATTACAAAGTTACAAAATACGTACAGCCATTGGATACTCTAAAAATAGTTAAACGTTCAAAATGGATTGGGAGAGAAAAGCAGAGACATGTATCCTTTATTATCCCTAGAATGCTCGCCGCACAAGTCGTAGCCCTTCGTGATTTTCGGTGTCAAAGGTACAGAAAAGAATAAAATACAGTATATAAAGTGCAAACCCATAAAATCAACACAAGTCTTGACACAATTTTTACCCGCTTTCGTCATCACGATATCGCGCAGAAATTCTCCTGGACACTAGAACCTCAACCAAGGACGGGCCACTTTGGGAATTTTAATTTTTTCTCGTAATCCAATTGTACAAGGGGAACACCCTTTATTTTATTGGTAAAGAAGATTAGAAAATAAACTTTATACATCGACTTTACCAATTCGGATTGATCTTATAGATACGTATTTTTTTTCCTCTCCACTTTATCATACGATAAACTGCCATTTAATCAGTTTGACAATAAGCAGAGACTATTATCAAGCGGGACTGAAACTGGGCCACTCAAGCGTGACATTATGTAGTGCATGTACGTATATATAGTCAGGTCACCGCAAAACTCAATTGCAAACGGGACGAGCCTCCTATTTATTATCGCCTGTAATTCTGCGGTCTGTCCCTATTGCATACTACTCGCATGTACAGGGTGTTCTGTTATTATATAATTGAAACAGTCACGTAACAGTCGATTTCAAGCATTCGCAATACTAACACATTTTAACTTAATCAACTTCAAACTTTTGGTTGAAAATGGAAATTGTTTATAATAAATATTTTTCAGTTTCAATGCAGTCGTAATTTTTCAAAATTATTATTGACACTTTATATACGTATATAATGTACAGCAAGCTTATCCTGTATAACGCCAGCTTCGATGCCCTCTGATTGTGAGTCTTGTCTGTTTGGCACGTGGCGACGAGCCTCCCTAGAGCTATCGTTATAATTTGATTTACGGTAGAATCTATGAATAGCAAATCATATCTTCTATTAATCCTTTCGCTATCAATGACGTCTATATGCGTGAAAGAAAATTCGACCCACTTTTGTTTCGTTACAAGGATACGCGTATTGTCTAATTTCAGCTAAATTCCGCTCTCTTCCGGACATAATAAGTGACCTCAAGGACCCTTCATTACCAAGTTTTATAAAGATTCAATGACTATTTGACTTCAGTCGACCATACTGGATACGCCATCCTGAATTCTGAAAATACGATTCAGAGTCAGTGACCGCGAAAATCGTAATACTGATTTTTCAATGCAGTTCCTATCAATTTTTTAAACATATCATAGGTACGAAAAATTGTGTTCTGCGAAGCTGTTAAAATTACATGAGATTCTGTTTAATGTTGAAATTGAATTATCATTTTTTATGAATCTAATTTTTCAGACTCTTTTTAAGAATATTGATTATTATTCCGCAATTTTTTAATCCTTATATATAAGTATTGAAAATACACCAATCTTGTAAGGTTTTGTTTCGAAGAGATTTTTTATAAATTTCATAGCAAAAAATTATAGACACGATTAGTGCATAATTTACGTGAAAATATTCCCTCGAGTTAGATACAATATATTGTCTTTCAGCCCTCTAAGGGTTAAAAATGGCTGTGCCTGTTTCCTGCAGCGACATATAATCCGGTATGTTGGCCAGTCCTTCCGTATTAGCTGACTGGCAATAATAACCGGTTTCGTAAGTATTCGTGTTTTGCAAAACCAAAATGATCAGTCAATGTAAGCGTGATTTTTAAATATTCTAAAGTAGCCTTAAACAGTGAGAGACAAAAATATGCATATGGATACCTATAGGAAGGCTAGTATCCAAGATATAATGAATTAATATCGTATTTCGAATCATCTAAGTATTATATGACTTTTTGTTATACATAAACGATTTTGCATGACTCCTTCAAATTGTCTTGTGATAAAATTTCGTTATTGGTTAAAATTTCATATTCCATCATATATTCAGTTTACGAGTAAACTAGGTTAAAGTGACAGATGACACGTGTTTCGTGCTAGGGACTCCCGTGGTAAAATTGCCTCTATTGCCAGTGCTCTTTTGCTAAACGTAATAAATGGTCTGCCATTGATTTTCATTGATTTCCCATACATTACCTCTGATAAAAAAGCATTGGCAAACATGTTACTAAGGGGCCTTGCCAATAAGAAATATAAATTGTAATGTACTGTGTACTATGCAACGTTAAATTTTCAATCTTTCAGCATTGATGCAGGGTCCGACGGACTCGATAAGGTGTAAATTTCTTATGAAAAAAAAAAAAAACGGGCGCCTGCACTGGATGGTTAATCGAGAATAAATATAAAGAACGAAATGACGAAGGGAAATAACTGAGGACTTGAATCAATCAAAACACGTAGACGTTTCTCTTATGAATATTTGCTGATTCACGGCAGGACATTCCCAATTGTTAAGCCCCATATTTTTGGAACGATCGACATCGGATCACTAATACTGATAAGCGAACACAATAGATTTTCGTTGTTATCGGATGCGGAGTGAAAAATTGGATAAACTATGTAACGTCAGAGAAACCGAATCTCCAGAGGATAAAATAAATTGTAATGGCAATCAAGAGACTGAGAGACATTCTTTTCTTCGCAATCACTGAGAGACATGCACAATAAAAACAGTATTCAAACAAATTAAATTAACATTCGACTTGAAAATTAAAATGAGCAATTTTGAAAATTCTCTCTAAATAATTACTAAAATTATACCCACAATACTAACCAATTTGAATACGTGTAATCAATAAATTTTAAAAGCAATAACCTGTCCAACCGGCACTCATTCATACGTATAATCTAATACTAATAAAATATTAAATTTTATAAATATACGTTCAGTATCTGCCACATTTTACGAATCTTCGTGAAAGTTACGTTTAGCTATTTCGTAACGCAAACCTTGGTAGCAGTGGCGTGATATCCCCGGAACTCATATCGTGTATGTGAAAGAGAAGGAGGCTCGTCCGAATATGATTGTCGAAAGGAATCTTCGTGTAGCAATATTATATTAGTCGTTATTTATTGCCAATTAATAAAAAAAAAATGACGTTTTCACGTATGCGGAAGTCATGACGCGTATGGATGACGTTGCAGTGATCGACCCAAAAAATGTCTTCGATACCAATGGAAAAATTTTACAATTATGTGTAAGTACGTTATCATATTGAACTGACATATAGATAATGAATTACGAAGGTTAAATAAACAATATTTTTTTGGCTTGTTACGAAGTGCATCGATGCTTAATGGTAAAGTAACATTAACGCTATAAACGAGAGAAGAGGTCAACCACGTCTCAGGCTGAACTCACGATTAGTTATCGACTTTCCGTCGTGCAAAAGTCTGATACTATTATAACCAACGTCAACGTTCTATCTTGCGTCCCGAAGCTCGGCAGCTTTTAATTTTCTTTACTCGGTCGGCAAAACAGACGACGATTGGCGATCTCGTTTATTTGCGCAGTCTAAAAATATATTCATATTTATTGTCTATTGTCCGAGAATCGTGACCCTAAACAGGGGGGTGGGGGCGAGAGAGAGAGAGAGAAAGACAGTATGTATCGGTATAAATAAATATACGTTGACAATAATTATAATGATAATTGATAATCGTTTTGCTAGACATATACATATACATATTTAGAATGGTTTGAGTTTCGCACAGATGAACAAGAAAATTCTGTCTCGATTGCACAGAGTATGCTGATTATATCGACTGTCATTACCACGTTGTTTAGAATTTCATAATAAATTTTTT